GTTTCAACATGTATTCCTATTTCTTGATATCAAGAATTACCATTGCTTTACAACAGAAAATCATATATTGATATCAAGAAATAGGAATAAATGTTAAAACGGCTTGCCATGGACACGCATGATCAGTGGACGTTCACGCCGTTCTCGTCCACTCAATCTAAAAGTCCCTAATAATTTTCAAAATGAAAAAGATTAAATATTCACGACTTCGGTACTTTTCTTCAAATACAGGTGCGAAACGGGAAATAGCCAACAAAGTGTTTCTAAATACTGAGTAAAGTTTCGAGGACAATGGCTCTTACAATCCTTGAAAAGAGATCTTAGAAAGGCTTACATGTAAGTATAATTTTTTCTTAGTTACAGTGGGCTTCTCAGCTACTAGCTGGTGGGCTTTACGTATTCTTTTCCCCATCCTGTTTTCTCTGTATTATAATGCCTACCAGAACACAAAGAATGAGAACTTATGATGGGAACATAGCTATACATGTGAAGATCATGCGGAAATATGAGAAATTGTATATACAGTTTTACAAAAGAAGACAAACATTAACAGATTGTATAGATTTTAAGTGTTTTTTTACTTCTTTTTATATGCATGTATTCAAAAACATTTCCTGAAATTATGCCACTGTTTCATTTCTGTACGTATCATCTTTTATTTAGTGATTAATGTTATTTTGCCTTATAATTTGGGAATGACGTCATGATTATAAATTTACATGGATACGCATGCAGGATCAATTTATTTCAGTAAAAGGGGTAATCAAACTTTTGATCTAGTATGCTGAATCATAAATAACTTATAAAAAACCTTATTATTTTTAGTAGTAGTAGTACTATTAGTGTTAGGGTCTATTAGTATTATTATAGGTACATGCATAATATTCCCATCGGAGACATTTTTCAACCTTTACAAACAATTGCTAAAAAGGGAGGGCAGTATAAATGGAAAACTTTGATTTAAGCTCCATAACCATTATTCTCTCCTTCCCATTTACTTTTGCATATACAGTGTAATAGGTATAAAACATTGTACGGATGACCGAAGTAGGAAGATGGGAGTTGGTCTAGCGGCACGTTGATTTAGTCAGCTCTCTGTCTTTGCCTACGAACTGGCTCAGACGACACTGGTTCGAAACTGAGTCACGTCTTTCGGATGGTGACGTTAAAAGGTCGGTCTCCAGACGTAAATAATCATATCTGATTGATACACGTCTGTAAAACCCCAATTACACACACCAAAACACACGCAGATGAGACACGTCATAATGCAGATACAACCAGCAGGGAGTTGCGAACAATACATAAGACGCCATTTTGAGCTGAAAATTGAAGAACTCTGACACATTACCAAAGTGTATTACACAATTATTATTCTAGCCGCGCCACATAACTAGGGAAAGGGTTGTATGTTGTATTGGATGGGTTGAGATAACAGCATTGTAAGCTGAGCTGACGCCATATAATGTAATTGGGATCTGAAATGAAGCCGTGTGTAACGAGGCGTCAGACTATTATTTCAAGTTTTGTTAAGTTTTTGTCGACAAAGAGATGATTCGCAATACATTTAGAATCGGCACCATGCATGACGCATATTAACATGTAACCGTCGTGTGACACGTGCAGTATTATTATTGTCTTCATTCATAGACAATACTTATCATGAAAGAAGAAGTGCCCCATTAAGCAACCCACCCCTCGAAATGGGGCGAAAATAAGTTTATTTTACCCATCAAAGCAGTCAATAGTGATATCATCAAAGATTGAAACAGAAAACCTAAATTTTGTATTCTGTCATCGATATTCGACTTCAAACAAATTTGTTTTGAAAATCCTTGAAGAAATTAACATTTCCCATCAAATGTTTGGGGCTTCCAACACTTTAGAGGGGCCTTAATCTCTGTTGAAGAAAATCCAGTGTCGCGATATTAACTTTTTCTAAATAAATCAGCGAAATTATGATTACAGCTTTCATATTTTACAGTTGAAATATTTATTCGACACTGTGGGAACTACTGTATTATCAATATACAAACGTAATAAAAGGACACAAGAGGAGTTGTCTTTTTATCTCCTTTTCATGAATGGCACGAAATGCTGACTAGTTTTGAGATGTGTGGTGTCTACTATTAATCTAGATTAACATAATCATATCAGACATATCCATCTAAACGCCCTTTTAAAATTGGATAAGGTCACGTCAGTTTGGAAATGTCTCGCTCGTTGTCAATTTAAAGCTAAATAGACATGGCATGAATCTTGACATTTTATATGAGGGTTAGTCAAAACTGTGACCTGGCATCAAAAGTGATCAACCTGCATTATATTCGATGTCGAATTAAATCATACTTGTCATGGTTGTGCTACCTGTTTCTGTCAGTGACATTGGTATGTTTCTCACTAAACTCCTGATCAAAATGACCATTATTGGCAATTTTTTTAGACCAAATCCGTGCATGGACATGGATCTACTGTAAATGTTAATTTTGGCAAACAGTCTGTTAGAGTGTATGTTTTTTCTTCTTCAACTAAATGCCTCGATTATATTACTTCTTAAAGAATGATTTGGACCATCGGGTTAGAATGGATTCAGTCAGAGAGTTAACATCCTAATAAAACAAATCATTTTGCAATCTCATGATGATGATGATGATGAAATGAACGATCCTACTCGAATGCAGAAATCATTTAATTGCACACATTTTGTTTTTTTACATCCTGATCAAATATCACTATTCTAGAAGAAGGTATACGATGGTTTAGTGGTAGAGCAGTGGTCTGGTAAGATAGGTCCCGGTTTGAAACCAAATCGATGCGCTATGCCCTTTGGTAAGGTATTAATCCTCATTACCAAGTCCCTCGGAGAGGACTTGAAGCTGTTGATCCCCTGTTTGCTTACTTACAAGCATACAGTGCTTTCTTAGTAGTCAGGTAAAACAATCCAATACTATGAATATAACGTCTTGTATGGTACAGTATAATGATGCATATTGCATGCACCAAACATCTTTGATCAATATTTAGTATGATGAAACTGAAAAATAAAAATGCAAACAGTATGTTCCTTGAGTATCATTATTTCATCTCGCTCGCTATGATCTCTCATTTAATAATCTGAATGGTTATCACGATGATAATCAAAGAGCTTATACAAATTATTGTAAAGGATTGTTTTCAAACGTGGCAAGAGACATGCAGTGTGAATTTCCCTCTCTCGTTCCCAGTTCGCCCCTAAAATACTTAGTGGGTTATACAAAAATTATAATAGATCAGACAATGATCTACATTCCAATATATGTATACGTTATGTAACCAATGGTGCTAAATCACGCAATCTCCTTTGTATGGTTATTTTTATCATACACCTGCAGTGGTCGTATGAGTGAAACCAGTATAGCATCATTGTAAACAGATAGATCTGTTAATCATAATACCCCCTGGATACGCATATAAAAAGGCCAGAAAAATAGGTATTGTGTAAAAGTTACAATCCCTTGTCAATAACACTCGAAGCAGTCCCAGAATTTTAATCCATTCGAGTGTCTAATCCACATGCGAGACGTATTAAACACCGGTTTACACCCTTTAAGAACTCCTTTGAAATAAGCTCAAATGGGATAGAATGCAAGTCATCATGCAGAAATTGAAGGAAATAATAGTATTTAAACCATATCGTAAATTTATGGTAGAATAATTTAATGGGTGGATATTATTCAAGCATGACATTTATTGTGATTGCCCATATTTATCTTGTGGGTGTTTTGTTGTAAATGACTTGGTTGATGTATTAAATTTTCTGTCATTAGTATTATTTCATTTTCCATTCCCACGCATAAAACAAGACTTGGATTAAGTGTCTAATAAATTGCTTGCTTTCACGATAGAATCAATTTGGTATAATGTTTTTTTTTAAATAATTTGTTTTCTCTCTAACAGCAAGGCAATATAATACTTAATGAATGTTATGACATGTATGCGGGACGTCGATTTAGAGGGTTGCCCCTTATACATTCGTGTTAAACTGTGTACTCTGTGGGTCATTTTATTTCGAATTTATGTTTTTTTCCCCCTCTCAATCCTTAAAATGGACGAACTCCCCTTATTTACATTTAGTGTTAATGGAAGAATTATATAAATAAATGAATCACAGAGTGTGATATATATATATATATATATATAGGAAATAGCTTTAATAGCTCCTATTAGCTATCATGTACATGTATATTCTCTTAGTCTGTAAGCTTTTATTTTCGTTTTAATGTGTTCTTGAACAAAAAAAAAAATCAAATCCACATGCAGAGAGAGGCAAATTTTCAAATAAAATCACATCGATTAATAGCCGTTCCTGCTCATTTCTCAAAGCTAGTAACATATTGTTCAGGCAACATCACCCTATACCTTCAATATACTGCAGGTTTGAAATTTTCCTAGCCTCATTTGTCCTCCTAAAGAGTTTTCACTGAGCAGTGTGACATTCTTGGTCCTACGGATATGACGAAAAGGCTACATACACAAGGGCAGTGCGTTCCATTAGTTTAGAACCAAAGTGTTATATACTTCAACCCCTAGTATTTGTTTTATATCCTTGACGAAGAAACCATTTTAACATTTGACCATAAGTTGTAATTGTTACTTCCACGGTACGAAGACAAATTTCAAAATCCTATATCGTATAGGTTAATGCTAGAATATGTATGTTGGTAGTTAAAGCCATAAGTTGTAATTGTTACTTCCATGGTACGAAGACAAATTTCAAAATCCTATATCGTATAGGTTAATGCTAGAATATGTATGTTGGTAGCCCTGGTGATAGACATAAACATGTTTATGAAGTAAGTGGACTGCAACATTATCATGAAGATAATACTCGATTAGAACTTATCCAAGCAAAAAGTGTATCAAGGTGAGGAAACAAATAAAATCGAGGACATGAAATATCTCGTCACCCTAAAAAAGAACTCACAGCAGGAAAATAAACCATGAAAGGGGTTTACACTTACCTTGCAATTTTCGTTTAAGTTGTCGATGTTGTTTGACGAGCTTGATGTAAGCTTTCATCGCCTGCACCTCGAAGTCGATTGTCTCCCTCAATTGCCTCTCTAGATCTTCATTCCCCTCTTTCAACTTATCAAGCTCCTCTTGGAGATCCCTCTGACCATTCCCTCCATTTGTTCCCACAGAATCACTTTCTGCATTATCTCCCTGAAGTTCATCACCGTCAACTGCGTCCTGGGCTTTGCTAGCCCCTTCGCCTTCTCTCCCGTGTAGAAAGCCGCCTGGCAAATGATTTTGATCTGGATGGGTAATGCCAATTGAAGCATCAAGTTCGGCATGGTTGATATCGGTTTGTGTACTTGATTCCACGAGTTGATGATGCTTATGGATTGAATCTGATCCTGATTGTTTTGGTTTTGATCTCACCGTGTCGCTATCGATTTCCATTCGTGTTGAAGTCATTTGTTTCTCCGAGGATCTTAATGAGGAAGATGCCATCGATTTTTGTAAATTAGTTTGCTTGATCTTCGTTCGTGCATTGCGTTTTGCCTCCACATCGAAATTACCTTTCTCGACATGGGAAATTGGTTGTGTCGATGCCATCGCTGATTGGAGCTGTAGTTCCGTAAGAATCCCATCGGTATTGTGGTCACTCATATCAGGTGATATTTCTTGGGGTTTTAAGTTGTTTTCCATTCCCTTTTGTGGGTCATTTTGAAAGATTCTCCTCCCTTTCGTTTCATATGTAAATGGTTTAAACGGTTCTGAGGAATGTGTAGCTTTCAATGGTTTAAAGTCACCCGACCTTAGTGCCGCTACCCCTCGCTGGTCGGGGAATGGTGCATTAGTTTTACTTCTATGGTCAACAAGGTTCCTGAGTTTTGAGTCTATACTTCTGTAGACATGATGTTGTTGATAAGGTGTCCCTTTTTGTCTCCTCTCTTTCAAATTGTTATTGTCTTGTCTTGTCTCGTCGACAAATCTATTTTCTTCTAATTCGTCATGACTGTCCTCCACCTGTAGCTTTTCGATAGACACCACTGTGTTTTGAATGACCTGAAGTGCCGCAAAGGCAGTAGACTCTAACTTTTCTAATTGTACATGATTTAAAGTCGTTTTCGGCTTTGTGGTTTCACTGCCGTTTATCTGTCTCCTGTGCTTTGCATCGCTAGGAGATTTTGTGGCAACATTTCTTTGCTTTACAGAGGCTTCACTGCCAGCTCGGGACCTGATTAAATTCGCATCAGATTTGGAGTCGTTGCTGTCTTTCAGGTCCTTTATGATGGAGTCTAATTCACTTTGGTATGCACTGATGTTCCCACGATGGACATCTCTTGACTTTCCCGACACCTTACCTCTCTTTGTAGCCTTTGCCATCATGTTGCTGGGATTCACCATCGCTTTTGATACCAATAAACAATGTAAAAAGTCATTGATGTCATCTTACTCAGCTAAGCAATGTCAACCAACATGCATGCCCACTGTCCATGGATCCCACGCATTAGACAACTTGTGTGTTACGAACCTCTACAAATAGGCAGGTGGTTTTGTGCATCCTCCACTCTGCAAAATATGACAGTCACGTTCATGGCGCTCTTCCGCTGCAGTTTTTTGTCACCTCTCATTCACATAAGCACAATTAATCTGTCCTTTCAAAATATTGCGATGAAGAGGTAATTACAAACAAGATAGATATATCATGACCGCATGCATAATTGTGTACTAAATCGTCGAATTCAGTCTTACATAATGACTTATGACGCATACTTTCACTCCGGAGACGTTGAAGAGACAGATCCGATGCTTGGCAGTTGGCTCCATTAGTAGCTAAAGAGAAACACGAAGGTCTTTGTCTATTTTAAAGTGTACTTGTTTGTTTTTTAAACACCGCCGTGTAAAGCACGAGAACCGAGATCATAAAGGCCAACATCATTATTAGGTAATTGCTCTTGTAGGTACTTGTGTCTCGGTGACTCGGGGGTTTGGCATCGATAAATCCTATTCATGGTGCGATATGCATCCACTGAGCCAAAGAAAAGAAGACGTAACAGAATGAGTGAAACTTTCGATCCCTCTTCGTTAATATATAGGGAGGCTAAAGCGTTGAGGGAAACGAACGTTTATTTTCAACAGACACACATGCTCGTTAAATCGATACCCTTATGGTGGCGCGTGCACACAAAAAGATCGTTGCTTGTTAAAACGAGCCCATGTTGGTTTTTCATATTGATCAGTTTAGCATACCAGTATGTGGCATTCCAGTGGGCTAAACCAACCCAAGAGGATATAATTAGGAGCCGAAGTGGGTGAGAAACCGGGTGAGAGGTATACCACCCCCAGTCGTCCCCATTTTGCATATTCTATTTCACACAAATTAAAAATAGGAAAGAAAACAGTTTATTGCAAGAGGGCGGACCCATTATTGATTACCCCCTCCTTAAATAAACAACAAACAATTATCGTAGATACCTTGGAGAATAGATTGAATGGGCTATAGAAAAGGCACTTAAAGCAAGACCGATATGTAAAGACGTATTGCTATGACTTAGATCATCATACTTTTACTCATTGGTTCACTTTTCTCATTTTAACTAAAAATATTTCTCTTATCAAAGGATGGAACGACAGTTTGCACAATGCCCATGATTAAATAGATCAAAATAACGTAGTATTCTACTTTAAAACACGTGGATTAAATAAATGGGGTAACGGGGAGTTCACTTCAAGAAGGTGGGATCATATTGATTGCCCCTAAAATTGAACAAACATGTCAGAGATAGATCTACATAGTTGAAAAGAATGAATGGATCTTATGGATGGATAATAGAAAAGGACATCTAAAGATTGATTCATGACCCAATGAAGGCATACTCGTTCGAAGCTTTCTTCACTCTAATTTGAAGAATATTTCTTGGGCTGGATGGACCGATAGATTGCTCAATGTCCAGAAATCAACTTGTACATTAATATTTATTGTACAGTTATACATTAGCATGGATTAATTTTGATATAGCATTATTTTAAGGATAAAAAATGAACACTAAGTTTAGCTGCAGCATGCCGAAAGCATAATTATATTGATTATTCGTTCCTGGAAAATGAACAAACATGATGGAGGAACATACAATGTAGTCAAAAGAATAAATGGACAGAACAAAGTATACTTACAAATCCGTGTATTTATTAAAAGCGTATATTGCTATGACTTGAGTTTGTCAGGAGCAGTAACAGATTTAGGGGCTTTGAGGTATAAGCCCCGGCCGTCGACCCCCCCCCCCCAAAAAAAAAAAAAAAAAGGAATTCTTGATTATAAATCGTTTTAGAGATGAAGTTGTAATACAAAATTAATATCTGACAAGGAAAAAAAGAAGTTGTTTCCAAATTTTTGTTGGGGGGAAGGGGAGAGGACTCACGACTAGTCATTATGCACGTCTTTTCTCTGCTGTGTATCAAGGTATTGCATATTAGGTTTGGAAGGATGGGGGCATAGATAGAGTAAACCTTCAAGGGAGTGGACCTTTGAAGCATCACTAAATCCAGCTTTAAAAAAACGAGATAATTTGTTTAACCTTTCATTCACCATTCTGCTGCACTATGATTGCAAACCAATTTACACAACCCGTAACTATTTTGTTTAAACCTTGAAATTAATTAACTTGCTTTAAACAAAATCGATCAGGGGAGACTAAGCCCATAGTCTGAGATCATCTTTCTGTTGCAATTTCGAAGCGGTCCGTTAGGGGAGGGGGGGGGGGGGTTCTCCTCCTCCCAATACAGGACATTTTTAGGCTCAACAATTGACACTGTATATTGTATTTTGGGGATGGAGTACATTATAACGCAGGCCTAAGAATGGAATTAATAGTTCATTATAGAGTGGTTGCCGCGGGAATGTTATCTTCAGTAGATAGCATGCAGCCTGCCCAGTAGCAGTAGCATAATAATAAAGGAGGGAGGGCACAGGAAGTTCCCCTCAAATGGCGATAAGGGATGAGAAGAGGAAACGGGGAGAGAACGAAGAGGGGCGAGGGAGTGATGGAGAGAGGAAAGGCAACATTAAAACAAACTAAAAAGGATTCCCTATACCACACTTTCCCCTCACTCTCGGTCTTGTTCTTTGCATTTCATCCATTTTCACGATACCCCCATGAAACCTGAGCCGGGGGGGGGGGGGGTTCTCAGATTTGGTTTGGACGGAGGTGTGCCGCTCAAGAATTGAAAACCCTTCCCATTTTTAAAGGCCATTTTGGGGGATTTTTCTCGAAATAAAGGCCCATTTTCCACAATTTTCGGGTGTTTAGTATTGTTTTTAAACGGACCCATGTTTAGGGATATGAGACCCATGCAAGGGTGTCGATTTATTTCCGTGGTTGGGGGGATGATAGGTGCCAAAATATTTTCGGCAATGGATCAAAGCAACCAAGAGGTAGAAGCGTGTGGCAGGTTGCATCCCCTCCCCAAACGCGTAGCCAGGATTTCACCGGGATTTCATTTTAGGGGGGGGGGGGGCGGTAGTGAGCACGCAAAGCGTGCGAAACACAATACTTTGTTTGAATCTGTTTGAATGTTTGAATCAAGTTCCCCTTCCTCGGCGCGTAGCGCGGAAGCTCTCACGTTTCATTAGATTATTAAAGAAAGAAGACGACTCGATGTACCATTCTCGACTCTTAATCCTTGTCTGAATTCAGTTCCCCCCCCCCTCCCGCGCGAAGCGGGGAAGCTTTGACGTTTCAAATAATTATTACTCTTAATCCTTGTCTGAATTCATTTTCGCCCATCCCGCGCAAAGCGCGGAAGCTTTCAAGTTTCATTAAATTATTAGAGAAAGAAGACAATTCGTTGTATCGTGTCCTTGTCTGAGTGCGATTCCCCCCACCCCCGGCCGCCCGCACAAAGCGCTGAAGCTTTGACGTTTCATTTAATTATTACTCTTAATCCTTATCTGAATTCATTTTCGCCCATTCCTGCTCGAAGCGCGGAAGCTTTCACACTTCATTACATTATCTGATGTGCATTGCAGATTGCTACTTTTGCGCTTCGCGCTTAACATTTAGCTCGTTGCTTTTTAACGCGGCGGCTTTGCATTTGGCGCACTGCATTTCTATGATGCTGTTGATTGAACAAATTGAATAAATTCATCAATTCCTGATGAAGCCGTATGAGCGAGAATTCAATTTATTCTTGTCTCATATACGGTTGGGTTGTCTCATTTACTTCGTATATATTATGTATGTATTATGAAAATTTGTATATTTATGGCCCGACCCCCCCCCCCCCACTCCGAGAACGGACGGACCCCATGTGCCAAAATGTCCTTTTCGTAACAAAAGAAAAAGGTCGACCCGTATTGGCTTTACACACCGGACTTTTGCTGAAAAGGGGGGGGGGGGGGGTCGGTTGGAACACGCATATGCGTACCCTAAATAACACTGAGTGGGGGGGGGGGGGGGGCGGGATTTATGGTCATCTTGCGAGTAATAACCATTAACTACTCTCATCATTAATTTGTCTTTTTATTTCTTTTTATTATGTTGAATTATTATTATTATCTTTTTTTTGGAGGGGGGGGGGGGTGATTGTACAGGCCATCCCCCACCTGAAATTTTTTTTTTTTTTTTTTTTTTTTTGGGGGGGATATCCCCCCACCCCCCCCCCCCCCCCGGGATCGACACCCATGGACCCATGTTTAGGATTTTCGTGTGAAAAAGCGACCCATTACAGCGGCTCACCCCCGTATATCTTAATATATGAGTATCCCCCCCCCCCCCCCCCGGGCACCTAAGCCCATTCAATCACCGGACCTTCCCTACGCCACAACTCAGTTGAGAGTGCAGGCTGTTATTAAGGATATGCGGGTGTGAAAGTGAGATAGAATAGGGACAGGTTGAGATAGAATGGGCGGCCATTAGATGCGATGAAAATAACAATACATGTATACTCAGCAAAAAAAAATGGATACTCTTTTTGTTCAAAATTTTCATATAAACTATCAATAAAATATGATGAAATATATATAAAATTAACGAAACATCAATCAAGAGTTTTGATTAAGAGAATCGCAGAAATAGAGCAAGTAGCTATTCAAATGTTGATAAACAAGTGTATCTGTTAGACATTCTTGTTCAACAATGATAGCAAAGAACGAGAAACAATGAGGGGATTGAGCTCTCGATGTCACGTCTCAGGGCCGCATGGTTTGACAAGCATGGTCATGCATGACGCCTCTCTTTTCAACCCAAGATCGTGCTTGTTTGGACGAGATAATACCTACAATGCTCATCAACATTAATTTTAAATGACCAAATGCCCCATTTTTGCAATTTTGTAGTTTTTTTTCTTCTTCATTTTGACCCCCCCCCCCGCAATTTGAAAAAAGTACCCACCAATATTTCGTGGGGGGGGGGGGGGGAAGCACTACAAAAAAAAAAATCATTTTGCCCCCGACATTTAAAAAAAAACCTTACCCCCCCCCCCCGTAGCTCCGCCCCTGTATTAGGAGCATGCATCTTTCTATAAAAAAGAGTTGTTGTTGTTGTTGTTGTTGCGGGTGCTTCAGTCCCCCAAAGCCCCCCCCCCCCCCCCCCCCCCCCCCCCCCCCCGGACATGATATTATAGGGATAATTGGCCCTCGCACCCTTCTTTCCTCCACGTCTCCCCCTTTTCTCTCTCTCTCTCTCTCTCTCTCTCTCTCTCTGTCTCTTTCTGTCTCTCTCTCTGTCTTTCTCTCTCTCTGTTTCTCTCTCTCTCTCTCTCTCTCTGTCTGTCTGTCTCTGTCTCTCTCTCTTACTCTCACACTTTCAAAGACTATCTCCTCTTCCCCCTCCCCAACGCCTTTCCTCCTAGTTCAAAACCCCGCCCCTTTGCTCTCTCTCTCTCTCTCCTTCTCAAACGACCTACCTTTACCAAATATTCTTCATATAATATGAAATTTCATCAATTACATGGTTAAATCTACCATAACGTTAATAATCATTAGTTTCATTACAATTATCCATAACATTTGTCATTTTTGTTATTGAAAAGTTTTATTATCAGAATTCAGAGAGAGAACGACATTTGACCGGCAATGACGTCAATCATGAATATTCATTTTTCAGTTAAGCCGTTCGCGAACATAAACATACGGTACGAAAGCTGTGCGAGACATGATACCATTGCTCACCCGTCCCAACCCGGCGCGGCCCCGCTTACAATTGGGTTGGCTTCGCTGTGATATACTGGACGTCCGACGTGATCGACGTGAACTACAGTTCTAATGCTGTCATCTTGTGCTTAAATTTTTGACGATTATGGCAGAACCAGATGATAGTTTGTTAACACAGACCACAGATACGGAACCAGCATTAGTCGTAGGTGAAATTAAAGAGAATAGAGAAACCCGATGGTAAGCAACGACTAAGAACATGAGTGACTAGCGATGATTATGATTTAATGATGATTGATGGTGTGAAGTTTGTGTACAGTGTGAAGTGTAACTATGTGTGGAAAGATGCGGTTCCTGTCGAGAACTTTACACGTTGTCACTTATATCAAACTGTTATTGATGAAAACTTCGATTGGAATATAAGTAAAGCCTTGTTTGTTCACATATAGTATCTAGACTGTACAATGTTCGTTCGTTCGTGTCTCCTTAGATCAAGATAGTAATGTAAAGTTCCTTAACTTAGAAGTAAATTAAATTAAATTAAGTTCTTCCATCGCTCGATTGCTGCAATGGCCGTTTCATTAACAAGGGACAGGTCTTCATCTGTGCAACCCGTTCCGCCGCACTGCAAGAGGTGGTCCATCGTCTGTACAATGTAAACTGCCAGGATCGGATTATCCACTTGGTATACCCAGACGGGGGGTCACTCCCAACATGACTGGCTACGCACCCTCGTCCAGAAAAAGCATCGAAAGGGTGTCTTTTTCAGCTACACGGCGTCGTCGCCGTTTTCCTCAAACAGGGTTTTTTTCAAGCAATGATCGCACAAAAGCCCAAAAAGGGCACCTTTTCAGGTTCACAGCCTCACAGGTCTGGCGTCGTTGACATTTTCCTATAAAAGGGTGTGTTTTTCAAGCACTGATCGCACAAAACCCCAAAAAGGTACCTTTTCAGGTTCACAGGTATCTATGTTTTCTTTAAAAAAGGGTTTTTTCAGAAAAGGTGCGATACGCCATTAGAGTCCATTTCAGAGGTTGATGGACACCGGTGGTTAGCACTTTTGTATGAGAGTGACCCCCTGGAACCCAAATGTGTCTGGACAGTTGATTTCAACTGTCTTTGAAGATGTTTACAAATACAATGTGAATAGTCAATAGGCCTACATGCAATATTAAATAATGTTATAAATTATTGCTAAGGATAAATACTTATGATGGTTAGTGCTGTTTTATGCACACATTTTGGTAAGTAAAAAGTAAAGGCTTTATTTTTGTTTAGCGTCTGGAGACTGGATACTCAACTCTCCATCATACTGGCAATATATGACTGGGATGGCCTCGAAATCTTCTGGAATATAGCCAAGGAAAGATCAAACCCATTTTTACTACACCACCAATCCAAGGCAAAATAAAATGAAGCGCAATGGCAAATATGCCTCATACATTTGTTACTTATAGACATGACAAACAGTCATTGATTGAGTATGTTATACCCAGACGTTGTGTGTCCAGACAGGTTGTGTATCTGGGCAGTTAATTTAAAATGGTAATTTGAAGAAATTTACAATTTCACAATTCTTTTAAGACCTATGACTATGTTTATAGACAATATTATAAAGGAGACATACATGTACATGATGGTTAGTGCTATTTGATGCACACATTTAGGTAAATCCAAAGACAAAAGTGAAAGCTTTATTTTTGTTAGTGTCTGGACACACAACCCCCATCATACTGGCATATTAGAGTATTAGATTTACAGGACCTCTGCTTTGCTTCATGCAGAACCCTTTTCCCAATAAACCATGATTTACTGCGTCAAATGTGAATGAGCTTAAAGGATCTGCTGAAAACAGCTAGGAAAATTCTAGCCTACAGGCTTGGCCTTCCTTGGTGATATGAAATGAGATGATATCATCAAAATATACACCAGACTCTCTGGAGAACCACAACATCAAAATTAGTACACAAATGTTTACAGTTTATGTACAGTACAAGCACCCCTCTCCACTTTATGCTAACCATGGGAATCACCTTCGGCATTCGCTAAAATCCTTCCCTTCCAGCCTATCCAAACAAATATGAATTTACAGCAATATTAGGCAAAAATAGAGAATATTGACAATAATAATGGCAATGAGCATACCTTGTACAATGTACAAGGGGGAGGTTGTGTGACATTAATACAAAAATAAAGCCTTTTCTCTTGCCTTCGGATTTAACAAGAAATTCTTTAAATAGTATTAACCATCATGAATATTTCATCTTTTAAATATTGTCTAGCATAAATTTTAAAAGATTTATGAAATATAGTGCTTGTAATTACACTTCTTCAAATTACAATTTTAAATCATCTGTATGGATAACACTTGACGTGTGGGTATATAATGTACAGTAGGTGTTGACTATGAATGGCCTCATGATTTAGGCCTCCAAAATAATTGGCTAGGCTTAGTCCTGAGCTGTAAACTAGGGAGCTATCTTTAACTCGGTGTAAAATACTTACCGGTAGCCAAAAGCTGCCACTGAATACCAAAGTTGGATATGGTAAGTATGCTCTTTTAGCCGAAAACTGAGTAAAGTACTTGTATTTCTGACATAAATACTGAATTGAATATCGGCCCAGATGTCAGTTGTATGATATCTTAACATTTACTGATCAATATCAATGTTTTCCTTTTGATTTGTTATCTCTCAGTGAAGACACCGGCATGGAGGAGGAGGCTGTGAGTGATGATCCAACTAATGGTGAGGAGGTCCGTCTTTCAGAGACAAATGACGAACCGGAACAAAGCCCAGTTTCTATGCAGGAAGATAGACACCTTGTAAGAAGAACTTCTGAAAGTGATGACATAGAAGAGGAAGAAAGAGAGGAGGAAAGCACAGAACAAGAGATTGCAGAGCAATATGCTAAAATTAGGGAAAGAATTCAAAAATCAAAACTGTATGTGAATGTGGAGCCTCATCAGTGGCCTATAATCTACTCACCCGATTACAATATTAGCTTCCTTGGATTCGAGAAACTCCATCCATTTGACTCAGGAAAATGGGGAAAAGTGTACAATCTACTCAAAAGTAAGTGGAGAACCCTTAAGAAGCATCTTTAGAAGAAGCATGTTAAAAAATGTTATAATTTTAGCTCCTAGCAAAAGCACTCAGACGTCTTGTTTGCAGTGCAGTGTTGAATGCATTTCCAGTCATGTATAGTAACTGTAGTGTGGGTTTGTCTTGTTGGTGGAATTTTGTTTAGCTCTATATTCATATCTAAAACCATTTTGAGGTGCATAGAAACCAATGCCTACAGTACATTTACCTTGGCTTATCCAAGCTTATGTGCGATACCCAAAACATTCATGGAATTTCTTTCTAAACTATTCTCCAATGCACTACACCTGGATCAGGGCATAATACTGGAGATCATTGCCCCTTTCAGATCAGACAAAACTCCAAGGGGTTCACCGAGGCCGGTTTACCCATTGAAAATTTAAATTTCTTTGGTATGAAATCTGTTTCTTTGGATTAACACTAATGAGATTTCAAGAAAAAGTTACCCTCAGCCCCTTACTGGATCTAGCTGAAGGCTGATGTGTAATAGGTATTTCAAATGTAATATTACCAATCAGACATATGAGAAAGTGGAAAAGTCAGATTAGTGCACACCTCGAGCGGTAGCCTTTAATTTTACAGAACCTGCTATTACAGGGATGTAGTGATTGAAGGTACTTGTACATATTGTATTAGAATTATCGCTGACAGATTGAAATCGGTAGTAAATGTAGCACATAAATTCCATATTGCGTCATTATACAGTGATTTCATTAAAGCTAGATGCATCAGCCACCAGTTTATTTATTACCGGTAACCAAAAGTCCCAGATGATAATGTCACTGGTTATTTTAAACCGTTTTTGTTGTTGTTCTCTGGCAGACTTATCCTTTCATGTGGTCGCTGCCTTATACACCAGTTTACGGTTGTGTGCACCATTTTAAACAAAGCCAATGACCTAGAGGTCATGTATTTATGCGTAAATTAAGATTGCGCCCATGCAAATTATGATGATATCACTGCCTACGCGCTGCGTTGTGCGCGCAAATCATCATTTGCATGGGCGCAATCTTAATTTACGCATCAATAGGTCAAAGGTCATTGGCCCTGAATTCAGGGCCAATGACCCGAGATCAACTGTCTGCGCATGCACACTGATACAACTGTAAACTGGTGTATTGCTTGTTTTAATGCATTTACAATGAGAAATGATAGATTTGATGGTGGATCTTATTATGAGAAGTTCATGAGCATTGCTAGACATGGAGAGGAGGGGGAGGGGCGATGTGATAAACCCCCTCCCCATTGAATTTTCTTGGCAAATCATGAAAAATGACAGTGTGATCAAACATTTCAGTTCATCAGAACATTTGGTGGAATTCCTTCATTCAAATTGGTTGAGAAATGGCCATGATGATGAAGTTGCCGTATGCAATTACTTCCCCTTTTCCACGTTGTCTGTCAGTTTTATGTACATGTATGTACAAAGGGGTATACACTTGAAACTCTTCAGAGAAATACTCATTAAAATCGTGGTAAAAGTATGAATTGAAAACCCAGTGCAATATTCAGAAATTACATACAGTGTATGTGTATTTATACTCTAGTAACCCAACTTATTGTTGATTTAATGCTTCTCTGCCTTTTATATTTAATACAAACTAATTGTCTTTTTCTTTCCTTTTTTTTTCTTATAGAAGAAGGGATGTTTTGTGACGAGACTACAGTCTGTCCTTTAGAAGCCACAGAAGATGATCTCTTAGTAGCACATACAAAGCAATACATCTCTCGTTTAAAGGTACAATGCTATTCCCGTATTATCTAAAGTATTCTCTCTCTCTCCCAGACTTGCCCCGTGTGTAATTGTCTTGGGTGTTAAAGAAAATATTTGCCTCTGCTGAAGCGGACATTTAAAATTCTGCTTATCCTATTCAGCTACATACACTTGCAGTGGCAAAACGGATTGCATATTAAACTACATTTGCACAATGATAGCAATTTCGGTGTTCTCCCCTCATCTTGAGATGACACATTATCTATACTAATTTATGTGTAGTATTTGAAATGACGCACACCTCGTGTAGTGGTGCTGTGAATACTGTATGCATCCTGTACACAGGAATACTTGTACTTGATCCATAAACACTTGTAACTGTGAGTGTGTGTGACAGAGACCCACTTTTCATATATAAAAGAAGACCTTATTTATCAATTGAGATTATCAAGCCTGCTTTTTCTATCTACAAATGTACAGGGGAAAGAAAATGACATTTAATCCATACGCTATTTACATGACTATCTCTATTGGGTGGGATATGTGCATTAACATTTACAATTTTGATTAAGGTAATCAGTTTCTACACATGCTGAGCAACATGTACACATACATGTGCATGCAAATGGCTCAAAAGCCAGTCCAATTTTGATCATTATTTGATAATTGAGATAACATCTAAGTCTGCATAATCTAATTTCCTACTCGGGTAGGTGAAATACACTTCCATTGGTGACACAAAGAGAAATGTATTCATCCTAACCGAATTCCAGTGTGATGCAAATTCATTTCATCAACACTAGTTGCATAAATTTCAGCCTGTCAAAATAGCGCTCTGCATGCCCAAGTATATTTCCTATTAGCCTGATGAAGGCCAAGTAATTCATGGAATGACCGAGAGCAGGAAATACAGTTTCATCCTCCTTATCTATCTGAATTCTCTTGTTCATGTACATGTATAAAGGAATGCCAGGACTGAGTAATGACAGAAACAATGAAAGCAAAAAGTAACCATAGATGATGGTTTATTTTACTTATAAATACTACATCCTTTCTTTCTTGCTGTGCCTGATAATTCATAAAGCAAAAATCTGTGCATTTTCTTCTAATAAAGGAATTGGGTATTCTACTATAAATTGATTAATTTTATTCTGATATGCACTGTAAACTGTGTTGAATACTCTGTATGAATAAAAAGAAATGGTAGGGCCAGTAAATAGGATTATAGTGATATATTTGAAATTTGGTATTATAGACTTGTCAAAATATGTAATCTTTTGCATGTCAGCTACTTTGAATGTGAATGCTATCATATTTCATTGTGAAATTATTTGGGTGTTAATGTTGAGAGTTTCAGTTTTTTGAGATTGTTTGGTATACTTTATTCACATCTTCTCAATATCATGATCTATGATGAATCCATGAATATTATCATTCTCATATCTGTAATATATGCACCACTTTTAATAATCCTATGCCATTTTACATCGTTTAATGTAAAAAATAATCTTTCAGCCATCTCAAACTCTTTTATTCTGCATATATATATATATATATATACACACCTGTACATGTAAAGGGCATGAAGTCTTAGGAGGGTGAATCTGGTTTTATGTTTAGTAATTGGTTAGATTGGTTAGTGGTTACCATGCATGTTATAGTTATCCTATACCACAGTACTACAGTAGACTCTACATAGATAAAGGTTGTATAATGTTATCTCTAATCTTGGACCATTATCCCCTAGAATACATATACCCCGCCCCCTCCCCTCCTGCCAGACAACAACCTCTTGACAACAGAACCCCATATGAAATTTACCACTTTGATAAATTGGCAATTACTTTCTGGGACAAGTATTTGTTTGGACAACTGCAACCCATTTATTTACCAGTCCACTTCTCCATGGACGTCTAATAAAGCATTTTCCAATCAAACAATTGCTATCAGTACTTCCATTCCCAGACTGCAGTATTTTTGTAGTGATATTACTTAATTACTAAAGTATCAACAAACATTGAAATCTGAATAACAATTTAGGTATTAAGTCTTAGAGAGATAGTTATTACAAGAGGTTGTTGATCATATGGCTGTTGTCATAGAGGGGGCGGAGGTGGGGTTAGTTACCCAAAACATTTTATTTTCTCATTTCTAAAGCAAAACTGAACATTCACACTCACATTTCCAGTCATATGAAATAATTCATTCATGCATAGTGTAATTTTTTAGAACTGATACATTGCAGTAAGAAGGAACATGCAGGATAGCATATTTTATCATTAATTGTCCCTAACAGATGCGAGAAAGTATAAAAACTCATGCCACCTGCTGCCATCTGCCAACATATTATCCATGGTTGCCTACACATGTGTCAATGTGTCATAGAAAAAAGGGGGGAAATATTATAGCATGGGGAACTTATATGGAACACTTTCACAGAACAGATATTCAATCTTTAGAGTAGATTCTATCATTTTTCATTTTAATATCAATGCATTTATATTTGATCGAAAACCCATAAAAATTCATGCTTTATTCCGTAGATGCATTGCAAAATCTATTTTATACAACAATCAGTAATGTAACAATGTTCATCTATCACATCACAAGAAACAAATTGTCCCTCAAAGGCAATAATGTTATTTTAAGTGTTTTTATGGTGGTGGCTGATTAATTTCTATTTATATTTTTGTCTTCAAATCAGTATTAAACTTGAGAAATATACACTTGTGCATTTTTACCCTGTATGCATTTCCTATGGGCTCTACAATGCTACATCCACTCATCTTTGCAGAAGGATATATCAGAGGGCTTTCCTAAGGTACACATTATTTATCGACTTCCGCCTCTTAGAACCATCATTCATTTCAAATCTCATGTAGACCTTTCCCTTTTGGAGTTTATAATATATTTTTATTTTGGACAATATGATTTCTTTTAGTTTGTGTATTTATTTTTAAATATTTTGTTTTCTGTATCTAAATGTAAAAGTAGTCTAGATTTGATATTTTACAGTTTACAGTCCACATTTCTGTTACTTTTCCATATTTTATTTTTAATTTCTTGTCCTCAGTTTATATATTCTGTACCCTGAGTGAATATTGATGTGAAAATCGGTTTACTGTTTGTGGTAATCAGAGTAGGTTTCAACAATTCGCAAGTTCCACTATACCGAATGTTGTATACTTTTATGTAAGAACACTGAAAGGCTGAACTGATCTTTAGGTCATTTATCGTAACTCCCTTGGCAAATCAGAGACATTGGTGATTAATTCTTAAACACTATATTATGTGGATATTATCAACATGCAGAAAGCACTTATTATTATTATTTTCTTATTACAACTAGATTGGGAACATTTATTTTGAACTGGCTTCATTTTGTTATTATCTGTCTGCATATTGCCTATGTGTACATGTACCTCCCAACTAATTAACTCTGCCTATAGAGCTCAGACAAAATTGCATTGTGAGATCAAAAGAGATGTCAAATTTAGACTTATTTGAGAAAAGTATATGTATCCCCTTAGAATTAAGTTATTTGAAACCAGCTTGACAGGCATGCATGTACATTACAGAAGTGATAAAAACAAGACCTGATGCAGCCAGGTCTTATAATCTCATTCTTTCACTAATTTGCTTATTACTCTACTAAGAAAACAAAAAGAACACCGAAATAATTACAAATAAACACACAAACTTTGCAGCTGATGAGAAAAGTGAAGGTCCTAATATTAATAAGTAAAAGTCAATAAATCAAATTGATTCACTGGATTACTAATGCTGGGTATGTGGCAGATTTAAAATTCATCCCCTGGTCATAGCAACATTTTCTGCACCTGCTTTGCTAAAAGTGACATTTACAAAGGGCAATTTTTTCATGAAGGCCTACCAGTATGTTATTTTTTATTTATTATTTTTCCTACCATAGCCATTTTTGTTTTTCAGAGCTCATTTAGAGCACCCAAGTTAAAAATGAAATTGCTCATTGCTTCTGTTTATAAATTTTATAAATTTTCCATTGCATTTTATTTTATGTTTTTTATATAAGATTTCATGAGAGGCATATTTTTATTGATGACATAATTTCTGCATTCGTTGACATTTATAACCTACCGGTACATATATGACAGGGCTCACTCAAGCTAACAGGCATCTGAACCTCAAAAATTAATTGCAGATCGACCCCCAAAATGTCAGAATATTGACAGATGCCACATCATGTGTGCTAAGAGACCCACAGTACTTTTCTATAGACTCCTTTTACATAAATAAATAGTGTGTGGCCTTCCCTATTGTATTAGGTAAAAGGGATCTATAGGTATTCTGAGAAATGCTATAATTAACTTGAAAGAAGAAATCAATACATGTAGCAGTCATAACAAGCCTTGAAATTACATTTTTAAGGTTTCAAAAAGACCATTTAACATTTTGGGGGAATAATAACGGTTCCATGACACATGCTCCGCCGACGATTGCTCCGCCGACATTTACTCCGCAAAACGCGACAATTGCTCCGCGACATTTGCTCCGCGACATTTGCTCCGACGTCAAATGCTCCGCCGACAGGTGCTCCGCCGACAGTTGCTCCGCCGACAGTTGCTCCGCCGACAATTGCTCCGCCGACAGATGCTCCGCCGACAATTGCTCCTCCGACAATTGCTCCGTCGACAATTGCTCCGCCGTCAATTGCTCCGCAAAACGCGACAATTGCTCCGCCGACATTTGCTCCGCCGACATTTGCTCCGCCTGAAGCGACACTTGCTCCGCCGACATTTGCTCCGCCGACATTTGCTCCGCCGTCAATTGCTCCGCCGACAATTGCTCCGCCTGAAGCGACAATTGCTCCGGTGACATATGCTCCGCCGACAATTGCTCCGACGACATTTGCTCCGCCGACAATTGCTCCGCCGACAATTGCTCCGTCGACAATTGCTCCGCCTGAAGCGACAATTGCTCCGGTGACATTTGCTCCGACGACATTTGCTCCGCCCAAAAAGTGTCCCATTAAATACAAATGCTACTAGTACTACGACAAATGCTTTGCCGACAATATTTTTTTTTTCACGGGTTGTTTTTGTTTCTTTCTTTTTTTCTTCATTTTTTGAATACATTTCATGACATTATGTAAATGAAATGAAATGAATGAATGTTGATAATGTGGGAGGAAAAAGCAGTTGCCTAAAAGTCATTTCGAATATACTGAAATAACTTTCCATCTATCACTGTACGTCCCACATAATGTACACTAAACACTCATTACATGTCATGGGAAGTTTTTTTTTTTTTTAAGTAGAGCAGCAAGCCACATTCCCCAATACGCGCATACCTCCTAGTTAATTTCAAACAGCTCATCAATATGTAAGACCTCAAATTACCTCAATGAAAGAAGACTAATAACATGAGAGGAAAGAAAAGAGCAAAAAAGACAACCGTTTTTTGCTATTCCCCATAATGTTTGATTTAAATAAATAAAAAATAAAATTATAGCTCCTTACGCAAGTTCTCCGGCGAAAGATAATTACTCCGCTCAAAATCTGTTTCATGTATTACTCATTACCTGATCCAAAGCTCAAGGCTATCTCTCTCTCTCTCTCTCTTTCTCTCTCTCCCATGCTCCTCCTTTTCCTGTTTACACCGTTTTCTTGTCTTCTTTGCTCTTTTCTTTCCTCTCATGCTATTAGTCTTCTTTCATTTCCATCACTTCTTCTCTGCTCCCCCTCTCGAGTTCTATTTCTCTCGTGAAATTGAAACGTAAAGTAATACTATCATGTAGTACATTCTTGTTTAGAATAATATTTTCAATAATATCCAGTCCATTTTCTAAAGGTTTCTTTCCTTTAGTTAAGTGTATGTAGGTTTAATATATATGTGTTAGTGTGCAAAACACTCCGTTTCATTCGAGTACTTTGTTTTCACTAAATAATTTAAGGGACTCACGAAGCCACCGGAAGAAGAGCAATTGGCTTATCATGAAGAACTAACATCAAACTGCAACAAAATGATTTGTATAAATGTGAATAAGCAGAAAGGCTGCCATCTCATTTTCCCGTCTGAATGGGTTCTCTTCCTTACGTATATAAGTGCCCTTATTTTCTAAACTTTTTTTTTTAATATTTGTGTGTTTATTAAATTTTCAATCATATAAAAATTACATATTTACAAGTCATTGGTAATAATTAGACAAACAAAAAAACCAATATGTATAAGAACAACTAACAATAATGAAAGGACAAAAAAAATATATATATAAATCATTATAGTAAAAAAAAAATACACTGTACACATATAAATCATAGTTTGAACTCCAGTGCATAAAGGGGAGTGAGGGGGCACAGGAATAAAAGTTAAATCAACATGAGTATCATAAGTCAAATCGCCATTTCTTAAAATGCGAAACAAGCTTGTTCCTTTTTTTCGCTGAGAAATATTCAATATCTTTTTGTTTCTTTATAAAACTCTTAAAAAGATCAACACTTGGTAAATCCCCTTACTTATTTTCTAAACTTCCATGATGACCTATTACATTGTATAATGCTTTACCTAGTAAGATGCATTGATCGAGGTAATTTCAGGTATTACATATTGATGAGCTACTTGAAATTAACTAGGAGGTATGCGCGTATTGGGGAATGTGGCTTGCTGCTCTACTTTTTTTTAAAAACTTCCCACGACATGTAATGAGTGTTTAGTATACATTATATGGGACGTACAGTGATAGATGGAAAGTTATTTCAGTATATTCGAAATGACTTTTAGGTAACTCCTTTTTCCTCCCACTTCATCAACATTCATTCATTTCATTTCATCTACATTATTTCAAGAAATGCATTCAGAAAATGAAGAAGAAAAAAAGAAACGAAAAAATAGGTGTAAAGAAAATATTGTCGGCGAAGCATTTGTCGTAGTACTAGTAGCATTTGTAGTTTATGGGACACTTTTTGGGCGGAGCAAATGTCGTCGGAGCAAATGTCGGCGGAGCAATTGTCGCTTCAGGCGGAGCAATTGTCGGCGGAGCAATTGTCGGCGGAGCAAATGTCGGTGGAGCAAATGTCGGCGGAGAAAATGTCGGCGGAGCAATTGTCGCATCAGGCGGAGCAAATGTCGGCGGAGCAATTATTGTCGCTTCAGGCGGAGCAAATGTCGGCGGAGCAATTGTCGCTTCAGGCGGAGCAATTGTCGGCGGAGCAATTGTCGGCGGAGCAAATGTCGGTGGAGCAAGTGTCGCTTCAGGCGGAGCAAATGTCGGCGGAGCAAATGTCGGCGGAGCAATTGTCGCGTTTTGCGGAGCAATTGACGGCGGAGCAATTGTCGGCGGAGCAATTGTCGGCGGAGCAATTGTCGGCGGAGCATCTGTCGGCGGAGCAATTGTCGGCGGAGCAACTGTCGGCGGAGCAACTGTCGGCGGAGCAACTGTCGGCGGAGCATTTGACGTCGGAGCAAATATCGCGGAGCAAATGTCGCGGAGCAATTGTCGCGTTTTGCGGAGTAAATGTCGGCGGAGCAATCGTCGGCGGAGCATGTGTCGGGTTACCATAATAACAGGTTCCAGGTGACTAACCAAGAAGGAGAGAAAAAGAGAGATCCGAAAAGAGAGGGAACAAAAGTTACATGTATATGCAGTACTCCTTGAACAATATGACCCTTTAAAATTCTCTGTGCTCTTTAAAAAACATTTTTATATGTTGCAAAAATGTTAAGAACAGCATGACCAAACATTTAAAGATGAAGTTGAGTTCTGATCATTAGATTGCATTGTGAAAGAAACGGTGTGGAATCGACCAGAAAAGGTTGATCATCTAGCGTATAAGAATCTGTGTGTATTGCAAGGTTCTGGAATCATCAAATTATTTTTCACCTCTTCCCAGAACTCAACCTTCTCTTTAAACGCCTTTAAATTAACAACAACATTTTATGAAATGTGCTGAAGCAGCAGACTCCCTCTGAGAGCCACATGGGCCAGTCAAGTGGTTCACTGTATCTCTGAATAATTACAAAACATGCAATACAAAGGAACAAACTAATACTAACATGAAATAAAAGCTAAAAACAAAAAATACATCACTTTACAATATGTTTGCTTGCGTATGACCAGTGCCTTTTCTATTTTCAAGGTGAATTCATCAGTATGTATTTTTTGTAATAACTCTTCAGCAACAAAGCTTTTTAATAGAGGGATGAAGAAACTGCAATACCCCCAAAATGGGTCTTGCTGTAGTATCTGAAATACCACATTCACTTCCATTTCACTTGAAAAGAATTGTGAGCTCTTTACCCATCTACTTGTTGTGAGACAGTGATTTTTAAAATGTTTTATTTTTAAAATTATTATTTTTATTATAAAAAAAAAAAAACATTTGTTAATGTATTTTTTTAATTTATTATTATTATTATTATTATTATTATTATTATTATTATTATTATTATTATTATTATTATTATTATTATTATTATTATTATTATTATTATTATTATTATTATTATTATTATTATTATTATTATTATTTTATTTTATTTTATTTTTTCGGGGGGGGGGGGGGTGGGGAGTACAAATTTAAGCATTTGAAGGGAAACAAAAATAGTCTTGTTCTATGAAGAAGGTGCATTGCGACCGATTTTGTAATCATTCTGTAATTATGTATATGTTTCTCCAATAACATAACTGTAAATGCATACAGCTAAAACGACCCTGAATTAGGCAGCATAATAAGTATCTCCATAGCTTCACATAGTTTCCACTTCCTGACACTGAGTCCGAGTGTATGAGTGAGTCATGCCAAATCAAAAGAAAAAAAAAATATCATTAAAAAAATGTGATGTGTCTAAGCCCTCATCATCAAAATCATCATACATATATAACTATAATACTAGTGAAAAATATGTTGTTTTTTTTTTCCTTCAATGTCAGACCTGATAAAAGTAATAGGCTGCCTGTATGGAAGATTATTACATGTATCATTATACATTTGTAGTCTTTAATGCCAATACATCACCATTACCATGATAAAGACGTTTCTGTTGCTTATTTTCCTCTCTCATTCATTCCAGAATCCCACATACTTTTACCAAAATCTATAGAATGATTATATGTACATTTCGTAGAGGATCAAAAAGGCTTATTCCTTTGAAAAAAGGCAATCATTGAATGATTGTCTGATTCGCTAATATTTGAGTATGCAATCTATTAAAACTAATTGGATTGATTGAGCTGCCATAATTGAATTAAGCTATATGTAATCTGATGGAGAATTGCCCATGTGATGCTAGCAGCACAGGAGGCAAAGCAGAAGGCATTTTAATTTATTATGTTAAATCTAAATACATGTCTTCAACCCCTAATACCCTAATGAATTCACTGTCAATACAGATGAAATCTACAATGTACATCTACATCTGTCTGTTACATGTAGTGTACATACTGTATGTTGAGCATGTATGCAGTAAATTATTGGTTATTCATATCATAAAGTGTTTTGCAAAGTGATAACCTAATTCTGATTCGTGCTGGGGCTTGCACTAGGGCTTGCTGCCTGTGCAACACGTACTTGCACACACACATACATACACACACACACCCCTACCCACACACGTAGCTCCAGTTGAGAGTGTGATATTCATGAGTTTTTCTTCTCCATCCATCTCACTTTACACCTAGACATAACCCCTTAGGCACCTTCAATATAATATTGCATAATTTGTAAGGTGGGATGCGCTTCCAGAGGAAATTTATGGTACGCAAAACCCACAGAGCTTCACCGCATTGCTTACCGTACAAATATAACTTTCACTAGGTGTTATTTATATGTGCCTATCTAAGGAGAAAGCAAAATAGTTGTAAAGTATTCATGTTATTATGTCAGTGCCCCTGTCATTAGGACCATTGTATTTTATCCGAGCTTTGAATACCTATTGTCAAGAATTTGTTATCAAATAAACACAGCTTTAGAGTGTAGGTTAGACAAAATGAATCAAAAGATTAACTGAGTAGAATTTGAGGGAAGGGGGAAAATACTTTAACACCATCAGACACCTACCGGTAGGCCTTTATAATATTACATGGGTATCACTATCATTTCATCAATGTTCTTGGAGCAAACATTGTAATGTAAATTCTTTGTTTATCATGATTTTTTTAATTATAAGTGTAGTGTATACATGTATGAGGTAGCACAATGTTGCACTACGATCAGAGGTTGTTACTTCACTGTTTTAAATTGTCACATTATTAATTTTGACATCTGTTTATATGATCTACAAGACTTAAATCAAATTAAGTGTGCATTTGATAGGCCAAAATACTGTATTAAAGATAAATAAATAATGGATTTGAAATGAAATCAAACTTCAAACTTGTACATGTACTTGAAAATGTGCAGTTCTTGTATTAAGATTACAGTTAATGACACAATTTCTATCATGATCAATAAGTAGAGTACATGCGTATTTCTGATATCTAGAAAATTTGGGAAAGTTAATTTCTTGAAGATATACTGCATAAAGTATTTGACAGGGAATTAAAATATTGGGAGAGGGTAGTAGTTAAGATGTACAGGAGGACCTCCTTTGTTTGCTTATTCTACACCTGAGCCCCGTCTTGTAAAGAGTTGATAGCAATTGCAACTTTGTACATAAGAGATAGGAGACTGCAAACTTGAGATTTATTGAAGTACAGTACTTGCGATTGATGGGGCCCTAGAGAGGAAACTGAAAAAGCTCTATGAGAAAAAGCTCTGTAAGAAGTAAAACCAAAGAGATTTTAAAATTGTTTCATATGGCTTAACAATACTTATGAATTATATGATCATGTGTTTAATTTATATGTAATTCTTAAAAATCTGTAAGAGTTTAAGGAAACAAATTGGTGGTAGATTTCTATATTCCTTCATTTTAAATATTCACTCAGTCACTGGCATAAAGACACAATGTATCATTGCATGTCAAGCACTGTTGAAGACATGTGATTTAATTTCCCCCATTTTGTTCTTTGTTTCTTTTCAGTGGAGTATTTCTGTAGCGGGTATAACAGAAATACCTCCTGTCGCTCTTCTTCCAAACTACATTGTTCAGAAGAAAGTGTTAAGACCACTCAGATTACAAACTGGTGGATCTATCTTGGTAAGTTTGTTACATCAAGAAGAATATTTGTGGTTTCACTTATTTTTAACAGAAAAACCTGAAAGAGCTTTTTGATTGATGTAGAAAAAAAGTTATATTTTGCATCATACATCTTGGATGTTGCTGGCTGTGGTCTGTAAAAAAAAGAGAAAGTTGTAAAAAAGTAAACTGAAGAAAAGACTGAGATTTTTCATGAAACAGTCACATTGTCAATGTATCATAACTACCATTACAAAATGTTAATCTGGTTAATGTGTAGCATAACGTGTTATATACAAATATTCCATTTTCTTCACAAAGGCAAAATGCCAAATGAACACTTAAATGGAAAATGACACCCATACCAATCAAAAGTTCACCTGCAGTTTTATTTGGTGTATAGAACTGACCTATCTTTATTTGTCATACATGTATTGATGTTGTGTGCTGTAACTGTTTATTGGAATGCTAAAGAATGAGTTGATTGTTCTGTCAATGGCCTTTCACATTAGTGGCAAGTTTTGAAAAGAAATCCCTTAAGAAGAAAACAACACTCATTGACTTAAATTTGTTATTTGAGATGTCATTTGTTCTTGTAATCAATTTTTCATAGGTCTTTGATCCACCACTCTTTACAAGAAGGTGTCCCTCTTGTGTCTTGCGGTTATGTTAAGATTTATTTTATCAGGTTTATACAATTCGACATACAGGCGGCAAAACTAGCTTTGAAAAGGGGTTGGGCAATCAACATTGGAGGTGGGTTCCACCACTGTTCCAGTAAGCAAGGCGGAGGCTTCTTTGCTTATGCTAACATCACCTAAGCCTTACACTTCCTACTAATCTCAGTCATTTATAAGGTTTATGTCATTTCTTCCTACAGGCTGCCAAACTAGCCATGGAGAGAGGCTGGGCAATCAACATTGGAGGTGGATTCCACCACTGTTCCTGCAAGCAAGGCGGAGGCTTCTATACTCAAACAAACGTCACCTAAGCTCTACAATTCCTCCTTAGCTCTATCATTTATTAAGTTTATACCTTTCTTCTTACAGGCTGCCAAACTAGCCATGGAGAGGGGTTGGGCAATCAACATTGGAGGTGGATTCCACCACTGTTCCAGTAAGCAGGGCGGAGGCTTCTGTGCTTACGCTGACATCACCTTGGCTCTACGCTTCCTCTTTCATCAAGGTACCATAAAGAAGGCCATGATCTTAGATCTGGATGCACATCAAGGCAACGGCCACGAGAGGGACTTCATGCAAGATAAAGAGTCTGTCTATATACTGGATGTCTACAACAGGCATATATACCCAAGGGATGGATTCGCAAAGAGTTAGTATTTATTAATTCACATTTATAAAAATATTTACTATGTCACTAAGAATGATATATGTATTTATACTGGATGACTGATATGATTTGTGGTGTGCTCTAGATCAGCTCTAGATGATTTGTCACCAAATTCTTAATCTCTAGGTTTTGCATTGAATACGTAACGACTATTTGCTAATACATTTAAGTATGCAACCTTAAATGATGTATACATGGATCTGCTTGCGAATACAACATTAGTTTGTTAATGCCTTTCAATTATCCCATGCTTTCCTTCCAATGCTGGTTACCTGATATACCTACAATTAAACTCTACCTTTGGAATCAGTTGCCACTCAGCATCAGGGCAATATTTTTGGTGTAGATTGTTTTAAAAGTCCCCTCAGGACTCACTTGTTTAAAAAAATTGTATTTCAATGTATGTGTTATGTTTCTCGAACATTCTTTTTATCTTGTTTTTCCTGTTGTCCAGTTCCTTCATAATCTGCACCTCGAGCTCATTGCTCAACATGTACGTAGAGTTGATGCATTACAAATACTTTTATCTTCACATTATTGTATTTTTGATTTACAGGGGGCATCAGCCGAAAGGTAGAAGTGAACTACTTCATTGCAGATGAGCAATATATGACATTGGTTGCAAGGTTGGTAGCATTTTAGATTGTCAACCTATAGGTTTTATGGTTTTCAGATGTAAATATTGAGGATTGAGCATGCATTGTAGAGACTATGAAGGGTAAATAACGTAACTGCCCGAGATCTAGACTGTTGTATGAAAGATTTTTTGTTCCCCTTCTCAACTGATTTGACGTAATCTTGTAAATTAAAGATTAGGTTCTAAAAATGGGAGCCCCTGTAGAAGATAATCAGCCCGTAAATTGATGTAACTATTTATCAAGATTTGCTTTCTAACTATATGATTGTATTGTTCCTACAGTAACCTGGAAGCAGCATTGAATGAGTTTGTTCCTGACATACTGGTCTACAATGCCGGCACAGATTCCCTTGAAGGAGACCCGCTTGGAGCTCTCTCCATCACTCCACAGGTATGTATTTAAATAATAATATGCATGAACAGCCTCCCTCAGTACTGTGGTGAATGATAGTCTTCCACAGTGCTTCTGTTATACACAATCTTCCTCAGTGCTGTGGTGACACATAGTCTTCCACAGTGCTGTTGTGAATTATAGTCTTCCACAGTGCTTCTGTTATACACAATCTTCCACAGTGTTGTGGTGAATTATAGTGCTCCAAAGTGCTGTGGTGAACTATAGTCTTTCACAGTGCTTTTTTTACGCACAATCTTCCTCAGTGGTTTGGTGAAACAAAGCCTTCCTCAGTGCTGTGGTGAACAATAGTCTTCCATAGTGCTGTGGTGAAACATAGTCTTCCACAGTGCTGTGGTGAAACATAGTCTTCCACAGTGCTGTGGTAAAACATAGCCTACCTCAGTGCTGTGGGGAATTATAATCTTCCATAGTGCTGTGGTGAAACATATCATTCGACAGTGCTGTGGGGAATTATAATCTTCCACAGTGCTGTGGTGAAACATAGTCTTCCATACCAGTTTGGAACATGGTCTTCTACAGTGCTGTGGTGAATTATAATCTTCCACAGCAATGGGGTGAAACATAGGCTTTGACAGTGTTTCATTAAACATATATTCCTCACAGCTGTACTGAAACATAGCCTTCCACATTACTGTGGTGGAATATATTTTCACACAATGTTGTGGTAAATCATAGTCTCCCGTACTGCTGTAATGAAATATAGTCTTCTATAACAACTTGGAACATGGTATTCCACAGTACTGTGGTGAATTATAATCTCTGACAGTAATTTGGCGAAACATAGACTCTGACAATGATTCATTAAACATATCTTCCCCGCTGCTGTGCTGAAACACATCCTTCCACATTACTGTGGTGGAACACAGCATTCCACAGGGCTGTGGTGAATTATAGTCTTCCATAGTACTGTGGTGAAACATTGCCTTCCATGGTGCTTTCATTAAATTTAATCTTCAACAGTGCTGTGGTGAATAATAATCTTTCAAAGTAATTTGGTGAAACATAGATTTTGACATTGTTTCATTAAACATATCTTCCTCACTGCTGTGTTGAAACATAGTATTCCACATTACTGTGGTGCAACATATTTTTCCACAGTATTGTGGTAAAACGTAGAACACAGTCTTCTATACCAGTTTGGAACATGGTATTCCACAGTGCTGTGGTGAATAGTAATCTTCCACAGTAATTTGGTGAAACATAGACTTTGACAGTGTTTCATTAAAAATGTTCCCTCCCCTGCTGTGCTGAAACATAGCCTTCCACATTACTGTGGTGGAATATATATTTTCCCACAGTGTTGAGGTAAACAAATTTGTCCATACCGGTTAGGAACATGGTCTTCCATGGTACTGTGGTGACACTGCACTGTTTCAAGAGCTGTGATTAGTTGATCTAATATTTTATTTTCAAATGAAGATATTTGGCTATTTATAAAATATTGAAAGAAACAAATGTGACAATGTAGTACATATATTGTTCCACAGTGTTGGGGTAGAGGACATCCATTTACAATGCTGTGTTATCACTGCTCTCTTTGAAGGGCTGTGATAAAGTCGTTGTTTTTGAGCACCTGAGAAAATGTAATACAAATTGTCTCATTCATTTCATTACAGGGAATAATCAAACGCGATATGATGGTGTTTGAATTTGCTCGTGACAGACCTAAGCCTATTCCAATCGTCATGGTGACGTCTGGAGGATACCAAAGAAACAATGCAGATATCATAGCAGCTTCAATCCTCAACCTATGGAGGAGAGGGCTTATAGCATGTCCAGAGGCAGAAGAATATCAAGGTAATGACGTTTTAAAGCCCCACTGCACTACTTACAGCTACTGGCTCCCTCTATATAGCAAACAATGCCTAATTGGTGACCAATTGGTCCCCCATGATCCTCTTTTTCTAATATGTTAATTGAAAGCTGATTTGATGAGATAACCACCTGTCAAGTGACCTTGCGTGGTGGTCTAATCCCTCCTGTACACTAGTACAGATGGGCTTTAAATATCATTTCAGATGACTCTGTTAGAGATACTCTGCACTATATGTTTCCGAGGTAGTTGGAAATTGTTTCTATTCATTGCACTGAAAAGAGCATTTGTCTATGTTAGTAACAAAAGTTTTGGAATACATTTTCCTCAATCGAATACAAAATCAAAATCAAAATTTTGCAAACTGTAATTAGTTGTGAGATTGTCTATTCAAGCATCTGATGACTTGTTTAGAAAAGGTAGCATATTTTGTAATACCAAAGTATATTCTTAGCAGCCAAGTATTGATCACTCGTGTCTTTGTTTATTTATTCACAGGTAAGCAAGAGCCATCCTCATCAACTAGTAGACAACCAGAAGAAGGAGAAACAGCAGGAGAAACACCTTCCACATCAAATGCTGACGCTACCACACAGGGCAATAGAGGATTCTTCAGATCCTTCCTAGGATTCTGTAAATAATGTTTACTTCACTCAAATAGAGTTTACTAATATTCATATGTTATCAGTACTTTGTATATCATGTACTTAATAACTTATTAATTTCATTTATATTATGTGCCATTTATTTTATATATACATGCATCTTGAATGGGTTTAGATAGGCCAGTATTTTTTTCTGACATTTTATTTCCTTTAATAATAATCGTATTCTGCCTTGTTTTATTGGGATGATGGTTTAAAAAGTGATGAGACCAGTGCTACATTCACCTGCAACAAAGTTGAAAATGACCTCTGAACAGTGCTGATGTTAAAGTGTACCAATTACCCCCCCCCCCCAAAAAAAAAATACTTTGGTCTGTATTTCAATAGTTCCATGTGGTAATACTATAGGTATTCAAAATATGAGCATCAAATATTACTTCTGAAGAAAACAGAGATTTTGCAAATTCAAATACATAAAATTGACTTTTGGGTAACTTGATGCAACTGCATGCACTCACAGAACCAAAGTCCAATGTGCACAGTGTTATATTTATTCCTTATTTTCGTTATGGGTGAAGGTTTTGTTTAAGGTTGATTCTATACATTCTAGCGATACATTCTGTTTTAAGGTAATTGGTACACTTTAAGATAAAATGGACCAAATGTAATGAATACACTCACATAATATTTTGTTTTCATGACATATTTAGAGCTATAGGATGATATTCACAATAGTTTATAGACTTAAGTCCAGTTTTAAAACCTGACTAAATGGGTAGAGGTAGTCCGTAGATTTATAGAGTTCTGAGTGTCGATGTCTTCATCTTGAAAATTATCATGATTCTATCATCAAATGAACAAACGTCATACCCTCATGCAATCAATTATCATTTTTAATTCATTGCTATATTAATGTACCAGATGCATGAAAACAAAGGGCAAAGATTTCTACACATCATGTCTCCATATTTGTCGTATGACCACATTACATTTGATGCCATGAATTTTAAAAAGGAAAATATTCTTTAAATTCCTTAAATTGGCAAAATGGTGAGAATTTCAGAATCATTGTTTTGCTATCATAATTGGCAATTTTTCAAATAGTTGACAAAATTATTTCCCATGTACCTCATTTACAGAAATATTGCAATATTCTTGTTGCTAATTTGAAGAAGACGATGTGATCAATAATTCAGCCCTTAAAAATTTCATGTCATGAAACGTTTTTTTATCTTTTTCTCTTGTGCTTTGAAATATATGTTGCCTGCTTCACTATTTACAGCAATGCATGCACGGTTATGTATCATGTTTAATTTATTTTAATCACACTGTGCTATTCAAGGTTTTACTAATCATATCATAACTCTAGAGATTTGTGGCATTTTCATTTGTGAAAGTACAGTTGTAATGCAGTTATTTGAACATCGGACAATCATAGGTCCATCTTAATATTACTCTTAATTAAATATTCATACAGGGTTTATTTGGGTCTGTGGAAATATACCCTCCTTTGAAACAATGATGTATATTCCAAAATTCATTCCTCATTGTAAAACCAAGTGGAATATTCCCAGTACTACCCAGTTGGGCTCGTAAAAGCAAAGGTAGAGTTCACTAGAATATGTGACAATATATGACATTCTTAAAATATATTAGTGATCTCTGATTGAAAATAATGGCAGTACATTTATTTCTGAGTAGTCTACATATCAATGTCATTAATCAAAAATGTCTAATTAGTAATGAAGGATGACTGTTTGCTCTATGTACACAAAACAGCTTATATAGTGCATGAAAAGGCTAATTTATTTGATTGTGACTCATAGCTTTGTACTTTTAATATTTTGATTCAATAGTGGGAAGATGATTGGCGTTAGGCATTGGTAGGTAATGTCTTCTGGACCACATTCCCATGGAAAGCACGAGAAGATTCTACTGTTCACCACTGCACTGACATCTATGTACACCAAGATAGAGACTCTCTCACATGACAAAGTGTTCATTTTTCATGATTTATACTGCTTGTCCATATGTTCGATCATTGGTAGTTTATCGCTTATTGTGATTGTCATAAGCTAGTTGGCACTAATTTATTAGAACTACTCTTAAAGAAAGCAGAAAAATCAGAGAAGCAAAATGATAAAAGTTTCAATTAAATCTGACCAAATATACAGAAGTTATGAATTTGTGACAGTTTTAATCACTATATGTATGGGCACTTCAAATTGGCTGAAGCGGTACCATCAATGTGATGTAGTGCTGGACTACTTTCCCATCTGCTCCACTGTATAAAATGACTATAATTCAAATTTTTCAAAATTCATGGCTCAAGAGGGTCTATTCTTTTTAGAGGACCTATACTAATGTGCTGAGTAGTGCCCCAAGGGAGAAGGAACTTTCGATCACATTCTGTTTCTGTTATTTTTCTGCTTTCATACAAATCAACTTATTACAAGGGTTGGATTGCCCTCAAAAGATATGATTCTCTTTTGCATGGCTGGCATTTAAACGTTTCTTCCATTGTATGGCGATGTATGAGCCTTTAATTTCTGTTTGTATTGCCTTACTTTTGGCCTTGCCTAAACGAGAGCTTCAGATCAATGTTATCATTTGTGCTTTCTTGACTTGAATGCTTTAAAAAAAGCTGATTTGTTACAACTTATTATAAGTTACAAAATATTCAGAGTGATGTTATGCCTTACAATTATTTCTTTGGCTATACCGTAGCTCCCCCAGTTTAATTAGGGTCAAGCTCGCTATCCATAAGGACCCCTATTCATAAGGACCATTATTCATAAGGACCGCTATCCATAACACATGAAAAAATGAATAGCGATCCTTTATGAATAGCGAGGAGACCCTGTTTAAAATGCAAGCCTTTATACATTGTCTATCTACTTATTAGGTAAAATGGATGCTTAGTACCCCATTAATGGAGATGACACATGTCTCATACTTTGCAGTCAGGGCATGTCTGCCTTTTTCTTTTCTTTGTTTACATTTTGTATCTATGTTCTTGCTGTTATAAAAAGTCATTGTGCAACATGCCTACGATGAATAAAATCCCAAAGGAAAATTAGATTTTACATTGATATAAAGGCTGTATAAATGTGGCCTACATTATTGTACCAAAAGAGTCTAGATATAGAAATAGAAGGTGGGACACAATATATTCACAAGAATGCATAATGAAATACTCTGTATTTTGTCAGTCCTGGTAACATGTGCTTAATACATTTAACTGCACATACATGTTCATTCTGAACCTTTAGAGGAAATTTATGTAGTTTAATGAGGATAATGACAAATAATCAATGTTTATACTACGCAGGATTTAAAGTGTAGTTCATTTTAGGACAGTCTAGGTATTCAAGCAGCTTATGGTCAGTTTGTAATGTATTGATGGATAGGTACTGGTACATCTTTCAACCATGCTCATTACATTTTCCTTAAAGGTGTTTTTTTATTTTTTTTATAATTGATACAGCTAGGAATATTTTCATTCAGTGGTGGATCAGGAGGTAGGGAGGGGGGGGGGGTCTTTGAGGGCCAAAATAAAAATGGGGAAAGGAGGAAGAAAGAAAAATCATAAGCTGACTATTTTTTGTTTTCCTCCTTTTCTTCTTCACATAATTTTCGGACTTGTAACCCCCCTCCCCCCCCCCCCCCCCCCTCTTACCAAAAAATCCTGAATCCACCTTTATCATGTCCATAAGTAGTATGTGGGACATTTTGGCAAACATTCTGAATTTTAAAAAAATTATCATGATTATTGTATACCTATGTAAATGAATTATAATTAAGAATGGTCCTGCAAAGATTATGTGTTTCCATAGGCTTTCTGATTGTTCAAATTGAAACAGATAATCTTGGAAAAGTTTATTTCTATACCATGTGGTCATTCACAAATTCAGTTGAACTCTGAGAAAATTTGATGTACAATTTGATATTCATGTTATACAAATATTGCATGCCCCGTTATCCAGTTTTGAAAATATATGAACCGACAAAATCAGAATGACCAGAGTGATGTTATAGTTTATCAAGGCCATAGGTAGAGGTTGGAATATAATATAATGGTGAACATATATTATACTGACCAATGAAATGCATGCAATATTTGCTATATAAAATTGAGGGTATTTGTGATCTCATACCAAACTCCTTTGAAGGCAGACCCTCTCAAATGCATGCAGGCCTTGCCTCCAGGTCAGATGGTAAGACGATGCATACAATGGGGTACGTGCAGGGAAGATAAGTGCGCAGTCTAATTCACTTTTGTACGCGTTATAAGTATTTATATTGCATAGTCGTGCACATATAACAAAATTTTGAGTGTCACATGACACATTTTCAGCTAATAGGCTACTCGCTAACAAATATCATATTTTATATAGCGATGTTTACAATGATAATGATAATAGTGCTATATCACGCCCTTTAGGAGTGTCAATAAAAGGGACAAAAGTAGTGGGTCATTTTGAAATAGAAATGAATATAAAATATTATTTATTACTATTTATGTATATTTTGTGCAATATAACAGAGAAGAAATATGTAAAAACCATATATATGATGAAACACATGTTGCTGCCATCTGTAGAAAGATCTTTATAGTTCATGCTCATAATGTATTATAACTGATACCAGAAAATAAAGTTGTTACTGTGAAAGTATTTGATGCACAAAGACCAAGAATTTGATAAGAACATTAATTCTCTCTCTCTCTCTCTCTCTCTCTCCCTCCCTCCCTCTCTCTCTACCTTTCCCTCACTACCTTTCCCTCACTATCTCACTCCCTCTGCCCATTTCCCCCTCTTTCTATCTCTCTCTCTCTCTCTTTGTCCCTCCTTGCCATCTACCTGCTGAACTTTGCCACACCTTGATTCTCTACCTCTCTTTAGTAGGCATACCTCTTTTTTTACGACTCCCTAATTTTAAAAATCTTCCTCTTTTCTATCTTCTCCCTCGACGTTCATGTCTTTTTTTTCTTTCTCTGTTTAAAAAAAGAGCAATGTATGTTGTCTCTGAAATAATTGAGTATCTCTCTTCAGCATCATTGATATCATAAGATGATGTTGCTTTGGCATATCAGAGGAAAACATTGTATATCGGTACAATAATTGACTACTAAGTTATTCCGAGAGTGTGATTGTTATGAAAATACATTGATTAGAATGATATAAAAATGTTGATGCATATTTCACATTAATTGCAGTCTAATTACATAATTATATCAGATTTTATTTCAACTTTATTTTATTTGGTGAGAGCTGCAAGGGTATTATCTCTATGTAAAATGATATGAGTTAATGCCTTTCTGTCTCTGAACATACAATTATCCTTTTGAGGTATGTTGTTCCTTTCATTGTTTTAACATGTACAGAGATCTGCAAATCAAATGTAATGAAAAATGTATTGAATAAACTATACAATGATTTATGAGAACCAAATGCTTGAAAAGGTGCTGAAATGCTGGATATACAGGTTATAGTATAGTAGGGGTAGAAGTGGTAGTAATGCTGGTTATCATCGCCCTTCAGAGCCTGAAAGAAATTAGTAAATGAATTAGGAAGAGAAAGAGAGAAAGCATCCATAAGGAACCGAGGAGAGAGAGAGAAAAAAAAAACAGAGAGCGAGAGAGAGAGAGAGAGGGGGGGGGGGGGGAGGAGGCTAATTACCACGATTATTAGGGAAGAGAGATTTGAGACTGCAGTACATTATGAATTGTGTGAAAGCAGAACATTGCAAAATAACTGCGGAGTGAATTGTCGGGTGAAAATTTGAAAGGAGTAGTATATGAATGTTATAGGCAGAGATCACCATCTCTTATGATATCATAAGATTTATCAATCCACTGTGACGCATTTGGTGCCAACTTTAAAAAAAAAGTATTTTCCTCCCTCTCTTATTTCCTCGCGGCTGTATTCATGCATTATTAATGGTATGTCCTTGAAAAAAATCAAAGGTGTCTTATTCGAGAAAATGATGAATACTACTCAAATTTCATTTTTTATTTCTGAGCAAACGGGAGGAGAATTGGCCGACATCACATCACAGTGACCTTATTGGACAACACATCACAAACCCAATTCATTACCACAAATTATTTCACCGGGGCCTATAGCTTTACAAGCTTGCTTTCATGTAGGTCCCATCATATTTCTCTCAGTTAAATCAGTACTCTATTTTGACCACTTATATTTATGTTTTTATGTATGTACCATTGATTGTAATTTCACCACAAACAACAAAAATTGTGCCTTATCTGGAAAGATATATACAGCATGAGAAATTTGGAAATAAATGAAAAATGAACGACCTTATCTGACAACACATCACATGACCTTATCCACCAACCATAGGCCTACGGGAACAGGAAAGCTTATCATGCAGAAAAAAAACTATACCATGCGCATTGGGGATACAAAATAAATATTTCCCTAGTTACAAAACATCAAAATTGTACTTGAGGAAAATACATTCACTGCAGCCGATGCTCAAAGCTGAAGACAATTTTTTTTTTCTTTGGGCATGTTGGGACTGGGATGGGAAAACCCCTCATCATCAAACCACCCGCGTGTGTAAACAGAGTTCTTGTGTCACAATTAGTATTGTGATCAGAATGGTTTGTGTTTGATTAGATATTGTCCCATGCATCAGGAAATATACGAGTCATGTTTGTCTAGAGCATGTATCAATATTATTAAGCATTATAATGACGTAAAGGAAATGTGCACTAGGATTCATGACAAAATGTTTAACTTTGCTGGCTATATGGCCTATAGGATGAAATGGAGTGTCCTTATATTTTCATGAGAAACTGCTGTGGCTTATTTTTTTAAACAAGCAAAGTAAGAGAGAGATAGAAAGAGAGAGAGAGAGAGAGAGAGAGAGAGAGAGAGGGGGAGGAAAGAGGGAGAGCTAATTATCGCTAGTACTAGTATAGCATGTGGCTTTGGGAGCTAAAGCTCCCTCCTCACGCGCCAGCCTACCACCCCCCCCCCCCAAAAAAAAAAAGTCAGAGAGAAAAAGAAAGAAAAGTGAATGCTCCTTAGAGATCAACAATTAAAACAAAAATGGTGAGTCGTAAATTGTGCTTCCCGACATAACAGACGGTTCGTTGAAGAAAAGGATCTTAATACCCTACTTTTGAAGAAGAAAAATACCGCGCGGCACACGTGAAGCCTAGATACGTCTTAGTCAATGATAGCGAAAATATTTGAAGCCCCCCCTCCCCTTATATCATATGACTCTTTTTTTAAACAATACAAAAATATGTAAAATCGAAAGAGTATTAGTTACTGACGACCCGGGAGACGGGGAAACAACATTGTATCGCGTATAAACTAGGATGGAGTGAGATAGAACCGGTAGGCCTACTAATGTTTGAACAAAAGTCAGTTAAAAAAGGGGGTCTATAATTATATACCAGATTGTAAAGATATAAAATTGACATAAATATGGTCAAACTCTTCATAATTAATAAGATATTGCACTGGTATAACAGTTTAGAATGACTAAAATATGCTTTCCGTTGTCGTTTCATAATATGATAAGCAAAAGGTGAGTAAATTGTGACAATAACTGTATATAATTATATCATTTATCATCAATTATTATATCGGTACTTAAAATATTAAACATAATCTATAGTAATTTGGCACCACTGAGTTTGGAGCGAAAATAAACGGATTGTATTAATGCCAGCATGTCATGCTTGTCGCAGCAAGTTTAAACTAAACGTATTGAGGTTCCATACCCAATTTAATTGATCGACCATGGACAAAAGGTTGGAACAACTCTTTTATAGAAATCATGTAATGTCGGTACGTAATCTGCTCAACAAAATGTTGCGCAAACCTACATTTTATATAGACCCTATTGATGACGAAGACTCTCTCAACGGATTTGAGGATTCCACCATATCACATGTATCATGTCACGTGAGTATAACCTCTATAACATACCAATGAGTGAGTTGCACATCAAGGCAAAATTTGTCTAAAACATAGTGGAAGAACAGTTTAAAACGCAGAAAACTCAGGAGCTTCAGTGGAGTTCTGCCCCGCCTGGAACACATCCCTGGCCATGCCGTTGGACGTTGCGCTGCTGCACTCCACACCATTATGTTTTAGCCCCCCCCCCCCCCCCCCATCACAAAATACTGCACGCCCACATGCCTCGGGTACATTCCGTATTCCATATATGCAGCGATCTCGGGGTGCCCGAATATAATTATAATCCTCATACTTTTCTAGTGTAGTTTGATGCTGACATTAATTATATTGTGTCCGTTCCCAGAAGTGAGAAACAGGATCGATGGTTGATTTTCGGGCGAGACCGAGGCGTCTATGCATAGGCGTCACCCCGGACCCCCCCCCCCCCCCACCCCCACACACACACCACGAGTAACGTGCCCGTACCTCTATGCTGCCAACCACTCGTATCTTAGCCATGCAGTAGCCCAGTACGTACAGTGATTCATGCTTTCCGAGTCTTTTATCTATGAGATCCAGATTGTACTTTTATTCAGGTCTTCCTAATTTTGCATGAATAGATTAACCATTTTTGCTATAGAAGGTATATAATATATATAGGCAGATAACACCGAAACAAATTAGTTTCTTTGTTTGAGGATGTTCCGCTAAGAAAAACTGCTCTAGTTTTCTAATTCTCCAAAATGGTGGGTTTCAATCATATATCTATATGGTTTCAATATTCAATCCTGCAATATATATCCGGTTTACCGTGTTTGAAAATAATAATCATGCATTCATGCATCAACAACAAAACATTAAAACATGTTCTATTCCGATTCTCCGGAAAGCTCGATACCTTAAGTCGTTTTGCAGTGTAAACAAGGGAGATACGTCCATTTGGTACAAACACCAGTCATATGAGTTCGCTTATATATATCAGTACTAATCGATTTTGGACAGTCAGAACTCGCACTGTACATGCGTCTCATATATAGTGTGGAAGCAGCGAAATATATGGGGAAAGTCCGGTTGATGCACCTTGCAATAGACCGACTCCGCCAGCGCAAAGGGGGAATTTCACGTCGAAACCCCGAGTATGGTGATAAAATTACTCAAATAACGGATTCCCGATGATATGTAAGTACTTTTACTGTGTACTTGGAGTAATAACGATGAGATATTCTGTAAATTATATTTGATTTATGTTGAATTAAACCTACGTGGTTGTGTAATTCGAATGTTTTTTTTTGTCTGTGTCGTGGATTAAATGCAGGGTCCATTCATCGGGTGATTGTTGGGTGAGTGTGTTATGTATGATGTAGTAGTGTTATGCAAGCTAAGCTCCGTAGCGTGTATGTAGCTTTGTACTATGTATCGGTAGTGCTTCTCGCGATAGCCGCTGACTGCACCGGTCGACGACGGTGCTGCATGCTGTGGAAGCGATGACTAATGATTCATGCCAATTAATTCATACAAATGATTGTCATCATAATCATATTAAGATTTTTGTAAGTTCCACTGTCCAGCTTCGAGTTGGACAAGCATAGTAATTCTACACAGGATTAGGAAAAACTTCCAGAACATTCTAAGTCTAAAATGACTTAAAGGATAGACTAAAAATGATCAAAAATAAAATGTCAACATTGCGATATAGCTCCGCTTCTTGGCAGCCGTACGTTCGTACACACGGTTAGAAAAAGGGGAGCAACTTTAGAATACCCCACCACAAAAATTGACCAAACGTTCGTAGGGTACCAAACGCTTAACCAAATCTCAAGACTTGGGCTTTTTAAGTAACACTAAAGCTAATCATCGGACTTCATTCCTGATACAGAGAACAGAAAACAACAATTATTGGGAAGACTTCATTGCTGATACGGAGAACGAAAAACAATAATTATTGTCAAGACTTCATTGTCGATATTGAGATCAGAAAACAATAATTATTGGCAAGATTGCGTTGCTGATACAGAGAGCTAAAAACAATAATTATTGGCAAGACTTCGTTGCCGATACAGAGATCTAAAAAGTAAAAACAATAATTATTGGCAAGACTTCACTGCCGATACAGAGATCTAAAAAGTAAAAACAATAATTATTGGCAAGACTTCGCTGCCGATACAGAGATCTAAAAAGTAAAAACAATAATTATTGGCAAGACTTCATTGCCGATACGGAGAACGGAAACAATAATTATTGGCAGGACTTCATTACCGATACGGAACTCATAAATTAATATTTATTGGTGAGACTTCATTGCCGATACTGAGATCTGAAAACAATATATCTTAATCAAAATGACTGAATACTTGAGGATTAACACTTTCAAAACGGTTAAACAAACCGCCCGTAAACATTTAAGATAATATAAGATAAGATATTTATTCGTCTTTCTTTCAAATGACATATAGAGCATAACATTAGATCATTACACATTTACAATGCAAAATAACAAATTATGGCAATGATAAAAACAAAGTTAACTAAAAGAAAGACAAGGAGACCCTGGTAAAAGCAGAGCTTGTAATTATTAGGGTCCCCTTTGAGCCGGATAAACATGATGAATAGATATTTGTGACTACCTAAGAATATAATAGGGAAAAGGGGGTATAACAAAACAAGAAGTATACACACACACACACAACAACAACAACAAAACGAGAGACGAGACTAGACAAGACGGGAGAAAAGAGGAAATATGAGAAATAATAGAAGACTACAGCACATCGACAATGGGCACAAGACAACAGGGGGAGGGAATAAGAGGTTGACAATATGAAAATATTCAGTTAGACACATATTACACACATATTAAAGGTTAAACGTAATGACTAAGTTATTTAAGACCAATATTGCAAACTAGCAATGTGCTATGTTACGTCAATATCTTCATAATTGTATGTATCTCTCTTGTTTTTCTTTGTCTTCACAGAACATCTGATAATTCATTTATTGGTCATCACAAGGTCCTCAAGTTTTCAGAGTGCCACATGTTGAAAAGGAACAGACGGGGGACTAAGTAATTTGGCTTGAAAGGAAAGTTAGTGAACCATGAGTAGTAATCATCCAATCAGTGATAGCGGTTCAGACTGGGATGACTTCCTACCAGCGGGGCTCCAGAGCGACGTCTCTTCAGCCTCCTCCGAATCTGAACCCGAACCAGCCCCCAAATCAAACAGAACTTCATCTCTTGATGACAATGAAGACAGTCGCAGCAGGCACAGTTCAAAGACACATTCGTTGCAAGGGGATGAGTATGCCTTCGATGATACCAAAGCTGAATCCACGGAGGACCCTACCCTGACTCGCTCCTTTCTGAGTGTCCCAGAAGGTTTAGAACCCGGTAAGGGGGGCGGAGATGGAGCGGGCGTCAGCAAATCTACCAAAACAGCCACCAAGAGGAAGAGGAGGAAGAGTGGGGCTGGAGGAAGTCCTAGGAGGAGGAGGAAAAAGAAAGTGAAGGATGCCAATGAAGAAGGAGATGATGAGGGAGATGAAGAGGAAGAGGAGGAGGGAGATGGATCAGGGAAGAAAAAGAGCAAAGGCAAGTCCAAGAGCAAAAACAAACCACCAAACAGGAGGAGAAATATCAAGTGAGTATAAAGAAGACTTTTGCAAGATAAGTGCTATTTTATGTGAACAGATCTTTGTGAATTCCCTTGTCAAATGATTGTTTTCCCTCTAATCAATTCTTTATTATGACTAGAATATTATATTTCACAATTATGTTGTCGATGATGATACATGTATGTCTATTGGAGTTGAAAGAAAGGAGGGATTTAGGTAAACAAAATCAATGAATTGTAGATGAATTCGTTTTTTGTTTTTGTTTATAATACAGATTGCATAATGTGGTGCTTGATTTGCTTCTCATCACTTTGTGTCATTTTGTGTGTTACATAAATAAGATTTTGGTTACATAAGAGAGATCTGTTGTGTAAGATCAATTTGGATGTGTGTTGAATTAAAGCTGTACTCTTACTATTTAAATTTGACATGCGTGTAAGAAATAGAGCTTCAGTATTGAAATGATGGTTTAATGAATTCAGGATGTTGTTTAATGGCTATGATTTCATCTTTATAATTTATTGAACAAAAATGTTATTTATAATTGTATTTTAAAATGTTAATGTTTATACAGGGCTTTATTAATGCTTTATTCTTTGTACATATTACGCTTTTAGAACTAGAAAGTCAATGAGAAAGAAAGATATTTGCATCTTCTTCTTGTGTTACAATCTTCCTGAAATACTTCTTAAGCAGTGTTTAGAGGTATACTAGTATTTGGTGGATGCAACTACATGTATCTGTCATAATTCTTTTCAAATCCTTTTATTCTTTCCAGATGTTCACAGTACATTGAAGATAATATGATTTTAAGATTTTAAAGAACTTCATTAATATATTGGATTTGAATCAAGTGTATGTTCAAAGAAAAGGGGATATGAAAATCTCAGGCTAACTGGATTACATTCCAACCATTTGTAAAATATATTTTGTAGATATAAATATATTATTAATATTCAGGGTTGATAATAAAATGGGAACAAGTACAAATTTCAATTTAATTTTCATATGATTTAAAAAAAAAAAAATCTCTGAGCTATTTTTGCAAGTTAAACTTGATTTGAAATGTCCACGATGGGCAGGTATTAATACAACATCTAAAACAGAGCGAGAAAAAAAAATACTTTGAAAAGTGTACGGTACATGTAAATCACGTATCTTGTGACCAGCAGTTGATGCATTTCTTTATCTCACCTCATTCCATGAAAAGATCTTTCTTAAGAGAGGATCAGTTGGATGCTGAAACCTTGGAGGCACAACTCGAAGAAGAGAAGAGAAAGCAGAGATTGGAGGAAGAAAGAAAAAAAAGATTAGATGAACAGAAGATACAAAAGATGGAATCATCCAGTGCAATTGGTAAGTTATTCAAAGTTTCTATTTTGCTGGAGAAAAATCAACTGCTCCTGATAAAGATTGTTACATTTCATAGTAGAGGAAATGAATATTAAGAGTAGTAAATGTTTTGAAACAAGAAAGCAGGAATAGTGTCTTTTAAAGCCCCACTGCACTACTTGTAGCTACTTCCGCCCTCTATATAGCATATGATGCCTAAGCGGTACCCCTTGGTCCCCTATGATCCCCTTTTTCTTATGTTAATTGAGAGCTGATTTGATGAGATAACCACCTTTTAATGACCATGCAGGGTGGTCTAATCCCTCCTGGCCAAACTAGTGCAGATAGGCTTAAAAGGAAACAACATTGGTAAAGTAAGGGCAATTATAGTTTTGGATTTATTGTCAAGTTTTTATATGATATGAAACTGAAATTTTTTACATTTGGTTAATTTATTACACATGAATGTAATGTTTATAAAAAGGATAAACACATGTCATGAATCTTGTTTTATTGTTAATGGTAGAGTATTACCTTAATCACATGTTATAGTTTAGTCACATATTAATCAATAAATCAAATGTATTATTAATGTTTGTTCTTTAAAAATACCACCTTTACTTTTAATATAAATTCTCTTTTGATTGCTACTTTTGTGAGCAAAATGTTAAATGTGAATCTTTCATCTTCATTTTTGATCTACCTGTGATATATATGCATAAGCCAGCCATATAGCCTTTTGTTCTGTTAAAGGTAAAGACCAGTTATGGTCATGCGATCGCATTGTGAAAGAAACGTTGTGAAATCGATCAGAAAAGGTTGATCATCTAGCATAGATGTACTGCAAGGTTCTTGAATCATCAAAATGATAAGAAATTTGGCCAAGTCTTCGTAAAATTACAAGCACTGTACACAGAAAGATGTATATGGGACTACGCACACATGTGCGACACGTGCGTTCATCTCTCACACACCAATAGATCAACTAATTTACCAAGTATATCAATTAGTAGGCGGTTTCCCGGCAAATTTGTTATCATCATGTATTAGTCAAAACATATTCTTTCACATGATTGGTAATAAGAGCTTCCATTTCATTTTTTGAAATTGGGGCGTTTCCAATACTGGTCTTTACCTTTAATGTCTCCTTACACCTCTCTGCACTCCACAGTAGAGAAATTACAAGAAGCCGTAGCGACATTAGCAGCAGCCATCCCTGTTCTGACTGCATCAGTAAGCTCCGCCCCCGAGCCTGCCATCCCTATCCCTATGACGATACCAGTACCTGTACTCATACCATCACTTGCAGAGTGCATTGTGGTTGATAGCGGCAGTGACAGCGACAAAGATGCCCTGATGAAAGCCCACAAACAAGGTACGAAGTGTGACGTCACATTGGTCCTATACATCAGGGGCCAGTTTCTCGAAACCGTCATAAGTCTAAGTTTGTGGACATCCCATAGAGATGTGTGTTAATTCTATAACACACGTTTCAATGGGATGTATAAGAAGTTAGACTTATGACTGTTTCGAGAAAGGGCCCCCTCAAGTCCTATGCTAAGTTGTAGTGTTACCGTTAGTGTCGGGAGTAGGGTTACATCTAGAGCTACAATTGAGATTATTGGTGGGCTAAGGGTTGGGGTTAGGGTTTGGTTTTGGTCATGATAACCCAAAGACTCGCTCCTAGGACCCGTTTCACAAAGCCTTTTTTCAATGACAAATGACGAAAATCAGTGACAAATCTGCTGATAACCAATCAGAAGCAAGGATTTCACTAGCTTATATCAAAAACTTTCATTTGTCACTGATCACAAGATTTGTGAAACACCCCCCAGGGGCCTGTTCCTAGAAACCATCATAAGTCTAACTTCTTGACTATCCCATTGAAACGTGTGTTATAGAAGGACCAAATGATGGCATTGTAGGACCAATGCCATCAGGTGTAGGACCAATGGTTTGAAGAATCATGACCACAAGGAGCTGATGGTAAACAGATGGTTATCTGAAAGTCTTCTCTATATGAGGCATAGCTGTGGGTGTGTCATCCTGAAGGAAACTTGGATGTATATATATTTCATTGTAATGTGTACATGTACATCCTTCCTTTAGAGGAACTCTAGTTGAAATCCAATATATTTGGCATACTGCTGTATGTCTTCAAAATGTTATATTAGGCATATCAGTATTGTTTATTTATATCACTTCTTGGTACATTCATATTTCATCCAGGATTAGGAACTATTATAATTGATTCTTGAGAGTAGCTGCTGTATTAACATATCGCTCTTATTAGGTTGAAGTGGTGATATTATTATATCAGATGAACTTGACTTACAGTTAGCACTGAGTTGGGAATTCCCCTAAATAGGCAAACTGGGTTACAAGAAGAAGCAGCTGTAAAGAATTAACAATATGGGATTAATCATTAATGGAATTGCCTAGTTAGAACACACTTCCCCCTTTTACAGTTGAATTATTTTGAATTACTTCAATCTTCAACTCAAAATAGGTAACATGCTAAATGAATGCATGACAGCTATTTAATTTCTACATCATCATCCATATTACATAAACTGCTGTTCATACTGAGGGTATTTGAAAACATGCACCACTATGTCACCTTTAACTTGTTACATGACAAATTGTTTTTATGTGAAACATGCTATAAGAATATTGTAGGTTTCAAAAGGAGAAAATCGGGTGTCTTTTCTTGTGTCTGAATATGAACAGGAAATGGAGATATTATCAAAATTGATATTATGATGTTGCCAGTGTCATGTTTATTGCCAGTTGCTGAAATGTCTGCTTACCGTAATATGTTTTTGTTTTGTTTTTTAAGGTCATGGAGTGCAATGATTATATATGTCCAGGAATATGCATCACCTATCTATTAATGGTCAAGCATTAAAAAAATCATTAAATTACTTATGTACATGTACATGTATGGGTCCCTTTTCACATTCTTAATTAACATTTAGCTTGTCAATAGATAAGTAGAGGAGTTGTGTCATTTAGGCATATTTCATTCTTTGCAACATCAAACCTTTTCACTGAAATGGTTGGAAACACATGTTTTAGAGCCTCATACTTGTGAACAGTTGTGGTAAAAGAGAAAGAATAGTCACGTCATTTCAATTTCAGAGAGATACTAACCATTCTTACATCACCTGCTGAAAACATAGTGCTGTGCTTTGCCACATCTTTGCACTGGAAGTACAATATATGCATATAAATGTGTATACATGTTTGTACATGTAGATGTATATGCATTAACACTTCTCCTGTATTTTACGTAGATTATGATTATTAGTTTATAACGTGTATGTATCATATGTCTGTTTTGTTGAGGCCACCCCTCCACAAGTCTCATGCTTTATGGGAATTTTGCCTCCTTCCTACGAAACATTGTACATATATATATATATATATTTCATGATATGTTCATTTTGTTTTTGTGAAGGAAATAAATGTTAATAAATCGAAATTAAATATATCTCTTTAAGATTTCGATTACATTTAGAATCCTATCAAAGATGTACATTACTGTACTGTAGGATCATACTTAATATTCTTTATAAAGTATTCAATCATTTCTCATTTCTTATTGATTATCTTTCACCAGAGCGAGAAATAATCACAATCAGCTCCGATGAGGAGGTCTGCCTGGTCAGTGATAACAGTGAGGATGAAGCTGAGATGAACATGGTCAGTATCGGCTTGCATACCAATGATGAAGCCAACGTACCGGACATCCATGGTCGCGTACTGGTCAACGTCAACCATCCTCCAGATGACCCTGATATATACCTCCCTGACCACATTGCTCGAGCGGTCAAGCCACATCAGGTAGACATAAAATGAAGTGTTGTTCGTATTTCAGTTAATCTATTCTCCAGTGTGCTTTAACATAGGCTTCATGTAGTTCAGTATTATTTCCAGATATATGTCATTGCTCTGTTTCAAATGCTGGTGAAGAAATGAATTTGTGTTGAACACTTTTTATCTTTGTAATGAAGTTCTTGATTTTTAATGGTAGCGAATTACATATCGATATATAAAGAACTATGCTATAGCTACATTGATTATGGTAACAAAAGAAATAAATTTCTAAAAGATGAAATATCCCTAGTTCAAAAATTTGTTGGGTGTTTTGCGTACAATTTTTGGTTGTTTCTGTGTAAGGTCGATAATTGGATGTCATTTTTTTTCTTGCAAGGAGATGGTCTACAGATTTAGTTATCATTCCAGATAATACTAATAATAGGATTATCTATTGTATGCAAATTTAAGAGAACATTGGTTGAGATTTCATGCATGAATTTAAAGTAAATCCATTTTCTTATCTCTTCCTTGAAGATTGGAGGAATTCGGTTCTTGTACGACAATCTGGTAGAGTCGCTTCAACGGTACAAAGCTAGCAGTGGTTTTGGATGCATTCTGGCACACAGTATGGGACTGGGCAAGACACTACAGGTAAGGAGAGTGTTATGTGCAAAGAGCTTGACATATTGCCAATTATTAATGCATGTGACAGAATGCTCAGCCATTGTAACACTTCATGTTTGTTATTGCTCAATGTTTGGAAGTTGATACATTGTCTTGCTAGGGCAATAAGCCAGTTCGTAAATACTATCTGCGCATGGGCAGATAAAGGTAATTTGTTCCCATATTGTAAAACCAATCGAGACAAATACTGGTATTGTGCTCATGAAAGTTATGTAATCAGTTCATTCATGCACCGTCGGTACATTTATCTGAAACACAGGTGGAAGTATTCTTCTCAGGAGGCAAACAAAATATTCATGAAGCACCTCCATCACTTTGGCAGTGATTATTTGAGTTACCCATTTGTAAAAATTGTATGGCAGTTTCTACAGTGCAGAGCTGTATTAGATGTACATGTACCAGATGCCGATTCAATACTGACAACATTGATGATAGTTTCTTCTTTCTCCTTGCATCTTTATTTTCACACAGTGCATCGCATTCATTTATAACTTCATGAAGTACTCTATGGCGCACACGGTCCTGTGCATCGTACCTATCAACACGTTACAGAACTGGCTTGCAGAGTTTGACATGTGGTGTCCAGAGAGGCCTAGGCATTTCAACATCTTTGTTCTCAACGATATGCACAAGACACAAACATCAAGGGCAAAGGTCATTGGTAAGTTGAAAGTTCGTTTTTCTGGACTTAATGAAATTAAAGCCAAGGGTCGCCTATAGTGAAAGGAATGTTTGCTTATGAAAAAATGTGCTTATTGAGTTGTGCTATTCTGGCAAGATTTAAATTCTTCTACAATGAAGGTGCAGTTAGATATAATAAATATATTGATAGGTTGTATCTGGTTCATTAATCAGTCTACCTGTATCATGCAAGAAGATGTGGAAAAAAACCCAGGTAAATACAACCCAAATATAAGGACATATTATACAGTAACGCAGAATCTGTTTATTATCGAATAGGCCAAAGTTGTCAAATGCATTGTAATCATTGTGCTTCCTCCCTATGTGTTTGAAAACCACTGGTGAAGCCTAATCCTGTATTCCTTTCTCCCTTCTCCTCAGCTGAATGGAGACAGTCTGGAGGGGTTCTTCTGATGGGGTATGAGATGTATCGTCTGCTGGCTAGGTCCAAGCAAGCCAGCCTAGGACGACCTAAAAAGAGAACAAGCAAGTCTGGCAAGTCTTCACCACAAATCATTGACATCGATGAGATGGAGGCTGCAGCTGAAATGGCAATAGGTAAAAATTGCATATAATAGTGAAAAGCACAGTACACAAATATGGGTATATGGGACCACAGAAACAAATGGCATCACAGTTTGTTCAAACTTTTAAACTATTAGTGATAAATTGATTTGATGGCAATCCTTTTTATGGAACATTGTTTCTATTATATACTTAATTTCTAAAAATGAGAAAATTCATCAGGATTTAACTTTTTTTCTTCAAATGTGGAAAAGAGCTAATGGTAGCTACATTTTTTTGTATACAAATAAAAAAAAAAATCAGTATCCTAATCAATCCGTTCAAGACAAACTGGGAAATGATGTTTATTATTTCTATGTCAGATATGAAGGCAGCATTGTGCAATCCAGGACCTGACATGGTCGTTTGTGATGAAGGTCATCGTATCAAGAACAGTCATGCTGGCATCTCTCAAGCACTCAAAGGCATAAGAACAAGGTTTGTAACCATCGTATGTTGCTTTAAAGCCCCACTGCACTACTTATAGCTACTTGCACCCTCTATATAGCAAACCATGTCTAATCAGTGACCGTTGGTCCCCCATGATCCCCTTTTTCTTATGTTAATTGAGAGCTGATTTGAAGAGATAACCAGCTGTCAGTGACCTTGCAGGGAGGTCTTATCCCTCCTGGCTAAACTAGTACAGACAGGCTTTAATCCACTCTCACGCTACAGTTAATGTTATAATAATAATAATAATACATGAGATTTATATAGCGCCATTATCCATTTTAATTAAATGCTCAAGGCGCTTCAAAATATTAGGAACACATTACATCATGACAAAGAATCGGTACATTTACATAAGAAAGAAAATGCAAAAATGAAAGAAGGAAAGAATGAATGAGGTAGAATCAAAGTTTTCTGCTAAAAGATGATTAAAATTTCATTAATTGATGATAACTAGTCATCTCTGTCATAATTTAAAAAAATTGTAACTTTCCATTGGATTATGCAAACTGCAAGCAAATAATAAAATTCTATTCTATTCTATTTTTTTTTAAATAGGTAAAAGATCACCAAAAATAATTGATGGTAATCATGAAATAAACTCATTTATGCTTAAGGAATTTTCAATTTGACTCTGGATTATTCTATGTTATTTTCTTGAAGTTATGGTAAAGATTTTGAGATTATCATCTCTTCCGAACCGTTTTAGAATCATGATAATTGTCAGATTTAAAAACATTGTCTTGTGTGTTTTTCCTTTTGCAGGCGGAGAGTTGTGTTGACTGGGTATCCACTGCAGAATAATCTTCAGGAATACTGGTGTATGGTGGACTTTGTTAGGCCCAACTTCTTGGGTACTCGTCATGAGTTTGCCAATCTCTTTGAGAGGCCTATCTCCAATGGACAATGTATGGACAGCACACCTTATGTAAGTCAGTTTTAAAAGTCAGATTAGAGTATCAAGCATTTGTAATTTAATGCTTTTGAATATGCTATAGCTACAATGATGGCAGTATGAAGTAACAGTTGTGTTTAATATAGGAAGAAACAGGAAAAGTGATGCATGTGTTTCTTGCAATTTGTCGATTTCCTATGTTGCAAAACCTTCCTTATTGATAACTTGGTCTCGTATGAAAAAGAAAAAAACACACTCTCCCTTTAGGTATGTAAAGAATATTCCCTGTACTGCAAGTGGGAAATGTAATATAATAAACTCCCAAGCATTGTCATACAATAGAATGAATGGTAGGAGAGGGACAGGAAGAAGAAGGAGAAATGACATTAATTTTCATTTATGTTTACATCAGGCTAAAGGCGTCTGGTCATTACATCTAGTAGAGATTTGACAGTAGGGTCTGAACTGGCACAATTAAAGGTAAACCATGTTCAGCAGTATGAAAAGATTCAAAAGAAATAGATTGTCTTGTTTTTGTAGAGGTGTCGTGGTCGAGTGGATACGTCACCGGACGGTCGATCACAAAGTCAGCAATTCGAGTCCTACCGCGGCACTAATATCCTTTGGCAAGACGTTGATCTACATTTGCCTCACTCAACCCAGGTGATGTAAATGGGTACTTGGCAGGAATTGATTCCTTGAAGTGCTAGAGCGCCGCAATGGCAGCCTTGCTAAAGCCAGGGTAGTAATCGGGAGCGCCAGGAGTGTCAAGTCTGATAGACATGAGCGCTATACAAGAACCCAATATTATTATCAATATTATTATTTGTCTGATCTGATTCCTGTTAATAGGATGTGCGATTGATGCGGTACCGGGCCCACGTCCTGCACAGTCTGTTGAGTGGCTTTGTCCAACGGCGAGGCTTCAATGTCCTCCTATCTACCCTACCACCCAAGGAAGAACACGTCATCATGGTCCGTCTGACGTCCTTCCAGAGAGGTCTCTACATCCGCTTCATGCAGTGCTTCACAGAGGCCGGCGCGGGAGGCTGGTGCTCGTCAAATCCTCTCAAGGCATTCTCTGTCGGCTGCAAGGTGATTGTCTTTCTTCTGCTCTAGAAGCCATTCTCACTGAAACACCTATGATAAATGTGCAAAAACTTCAGGGAAGTGTCTCACAAAGATTAAAATTGAACTAAGTTGGACTAGAACTATGGCCGGCCATTTATGCCACTGATTGCTCTCATCTTTGGTCTCTCTAGGGACGTCACAAATCTACAGATTTCACATTTTTTGATAGTTTATTGTTTAAGGAAAAAATATTATCTTAAGATCTTAATGTCGAAGGTTTTTTCCCTCTAATTTTACATCTGGTTCAAGACTTTTTAAGGGCATAAATCGCCTGCCATAATTCAAGTCCACCTTAAGTCGATCTTAGTCTTTGTGAAACACCCCCCAGATGTAGAAAGTGAAGAATCACTTGTTCCATTCCATAGAAATTGTGTACATGTGAAATCAGTTCAAAGCACCATGTTGGCACATAATGTATTTTCAAGAATCATGGATCACATTGGCCACTCTCATTGTTACTCCTGCAGAGTTTTGCTAGGCTTGTTTTAATACAGATACTTCGAGATAGCAAAAATGCAAATCTATGGAACTATATGCAATTTTATCAAACATTTCTGTTTTCTATTGTGTTTTGTAGATCTGGAACCATCCTGACATTCTTAGTGATCAGTTGAGTATTAGAGACAGTGTGAAGGACAATGTGAGAGATAGTGCAGCGGATGAACTTGATGCTGATCTTGACTTACCTGAAGTACAGGCAAAGTAAGTATAGAGAGAGAGTAGGATTTCAGGAATATTAAGGACTAGGGGGCCATTCACAAAACTTGTCCTCAGTGACAAATGACAGTTTTTGTTATAAGCTACTGAAATCCTTGCTTCTGATTGGTTTTCCGACAGATTTGTCACTGATTGTTGTCATTTGTCATTGAAAAAAGGCTTTGTGAAACAGGTCCCAGGTGTTTTTGAGTTGTCTCTCTGTCTGTCTTGGTTGTGATAACTAATTGAATACATGTCAAGAAAAGATATAAAACATTGCTATGTTTAATTTGTAAAATCAACATCAAATTGATTAATATGATTTTAGGGTAAAATTTCAGAGGTTGAATTAATTTGCTAAAAATAGTACTTTCGTATTTTAGTAATAGTCTTGTTTTGTAACTTTAAACTTTAAATGATTTGTATATATATATATATATATATACCTCATGGAATAAACTGACCCCCCACCCCCTTGCATTTCAGATTTATAATAATTGTCTTTATCTGATGTGCCTATATCCTTGTGTGTGTTGATTTACTTGCTCTTTCATGTACATGAGCCATAATGATAATATCTTCCAGACATTCTTTTGTAAAAACAAAAATTGAACAACTTTCCTTGTTTCTTTAGATACGTTTACTCAAAATGTGTTAAATCAAATTGAATGAAATAATGTTGATTGATGTCATATATTTGTAGGTGTACGGGCAGACAGCAGAAATTACTCAAGAAACCAGCTGCCGAGGAGAGGAGTTCTAGAAGAGGTGAAGGGTCGTCATCTGGGGGTTACATTGACAAGGTTCAACAAATCATCTCATTCGAATGGGTAGGTATCTCCTTCCAAAAGTCAATCCTAATCAATTAAATTCAAATATCACACGTTTGAGTAATATTAACAAAAATTCCATTTTTGCCATTGAATGGTCCTGCGTACGTTATAATGTGGTGTGTTTGACAGCAGCGTAGAGTTTAGATCATCCATGTTTCCCGTAAAAGACATTACACATTGAGCAAAGCTTGTCTAATTTTGGTGACTTCATTACTGATGTCTGTGTTAATGAATTAGTCTTTATTCACAATGTTGAATTTCTGTTATGTTAAAGCTTCCAACATTATTAACTAAGGTGTTATTATTTTCATGTGTATTAAGATACAAAAATGTGTTACATCCCATTCCTGTCTTTTTGAGGGTTGAATATATGCATGAGGAGGCGCAATAGCTCAGTTGGTAGAGCAGTGGTCTCGTTATCCGGTGACCCGGGTTCGAAACCAAGTCGATGCGCTAGTGCCCTTTGGTAAAAGGCATTACTCACAAGAATTTATGCTTGTTTAGCAGTCACCCCACGCATAGATTTACATGTAATATCTATATATGTTTTTGTACATGTATGTGTTATTGTTTAATTAAATAAAAACTATTGTATTTTTATATTGTAATTTTAAGCAGGGGATGATCCCCGATAAACCTCTGTGGTTTTTGATCACCCCCTCTGCAGGTTCATCTTTTGTTGTAATACTTTTATATTTGATTGTAATTTACATTGTCTTTTATGAATCTGTGGAAATAAATGAAATTGAATTGAAAAAAAGTAAAATAACCGCCATCACACATGAAACTATTTGATTTTGAAAGGCAAATGCTAACTGAGTAGGATTTCATGATGTGACTTTGTCTTGGACTTTTGACGAAATGAAAATGATCAAGACTCGAGTTCTCTGAATATACCCTGGTCTAATTTTCTCTTGATTTTAATAGGCAAGAGACATCATGAAGAACTACACGCGGAATAAGCTCTGCAACGGAGGAAAGATCATCGTTCTCTTCCACATCCTTGAGGAGTCTATCCGTCTGGGAGACAAGATCCTGGTCTTCAGTCAGAGTCTTAGCTGCCTGTCTGTCATTGAGAAGTTCCTTGCCAAGTCCACCATTCCTCAACCTCCAAACCCTCCTCCACTCATGCCCAGGGAGTGGGTCCGTAACCAGACGTACTTCAGTAAGTTTTCAAATGGTTGTTTGATGTTGGTAGTGGTGCTTGTACACTCAAACCTGCTTTAGTGACCACCTGTCTACAAAGACCACATTTTTGGATTCCCTTGGAAATGGTTTATCATTGAAACATGTACTAAAAAAAACCTGTACATAAAGATCACCTGCCTATTGAAAACACTTTTCTTGTCTCCCTTGACTGGTTTTTATAGACAGGTTTCACTGTAGTTATATTATTACTGCTGCTGCTGATGATGATAGTGATTATAAAGATAGGATTAATGCAGTTGATGCTGATGGTGATGGTGAGGGTGATGGTGGCAGTGGTTATAATAAAGTAACAATTTTGGAGTCTGATGATATGATAATTAAGGTGTCTGGAATGATGTACTAATATCAATAATTATAAATGATGATAGTCAATGTGTAGATAATTGGTAATCTTTGTAGTGGAGATAATTCTGGACAAAGCCATGTTCTGTCAGTTGTCTGGCAGTGCTTCAGGAAGAGCACTATATCGCTCCTTCATGGTGTGTTTGATATTTATCTTACAGGACTGGATGGAAGCACAGCTGTCTCTGAGAGAGAGAAGATGATTAATCGATTCAACTCACCAGATAACAAAACAATCATGCTCTTTCTTCTCTCAACAAAGTAAGTCATTATCTCTCTTCTGATTAATTTGTTTTTAACGCGGTTACTAATTTAAAGTTATTCTAAGGAATATTAAAACCACTCAATGTAGTTCTTTTGTATAAAATAGCAGCTAAATTAATAATGATGAAACTGTTTAAATTTATTATAATAAAAATTTTGTTAAGAAATTACATTTGTTCTTTTGAGCTTTAATGGTTTTGAAGTTTACAACTGAGGATTTTGTGTGTGCCATGTCTCTTATAGGTATTTCCTGAGGAATAAATACCAAGATCTATCTGTTGTTTGAACATAATCAGAGCTAGAAGCCTAGGTATCAATTTGATTGATGCAAACTAAGCAGGTGAAATGAAATTAAATGAAATGAATGTTGAATGAAAATTGAATCTATGATTGTGATCATATTAGAGGTGGGTACTGGCTATTTAAAATGATTCCTCACAACCCAAGTGATAGTCAATTTAGATCAACACAATTCATTTGTCCGTTTATTATGATCAGAGCTGGATGCCTGGGTATCAATCTGATCGGAGCAAACCGAGTGGTCGTCATGGACGCGTCATGGAACCCGTGTCACGATGCTCAGGCGGTATGTCGGGTCTATCGGTATGGACAGACCAAGAAATGCCATGTCTACCGTCTGGTATCAGATCAAACTCTGGAGAAGAAGATCTATGACAGGCAGATCTCTAAGAAAGGAATGTCTGGTAGGTGGAAACACATTGCATACCTATATTCAATTTGTTATAACTAAACTAAGCTATACTATACCACACATGACAAGATATGACATGACAAGCATAATTTTACTGACTTGACAATTTTGTTTGCCACTCAGTGGTACCTTATGATCTTTGAGTGCTCCTGCCTTCCTAAACCTGGGGGGTGTTTCACAAAACTTGTCATCAGTGACAAATGACAGTTTTTGTTATAAGCTAGTGAAATCCTTGCTTCTGATTGGTTATCAGCAGAGTTGTCACTGATTTTTGTCATTTGTCTTTGAAAAAAGGCTTTGTGAAATGGGTCCCTGCCATCTTCTTTGGCCTAATGTGTATTTAATTATTTTATCATCATATTACATGTACTCTTTTTTGGAAAAACATGTGGTACATTAACACTAGAGTTTTTCATGTTCAAAAGGGGAATATTGTTAATTTTCTGTTGCAGTTTGGTGTCAATTATTGTATCTGTAATCACTCCTTTCATGCAGTGTACTGTTATGTCTTAATGCACAGCAGTCTTTAGGTGTGTATGAAAAACAGACATTTAGATTTAAACATTTGCCAAGACTTCTTTCAAGAGTTAGAAAGCCACTTTGATAATCAATGGATGGGGCTGTGAAGAGGTTAACTTAAAGCAGTCGAAATTGTCTAGCACTTTTTGTAAGACGATTAACAAAACCAAAACAATGTTTTTTTCTAGCATCTTAAATTCCAGACAATTAAAAAGGGACACATTTCATTTTTATGTTTCATCTCAGATCGAGTTGTTGATGAGATGAATCCCGAGATGAACCTGACCAAGAAAGAAGTAGAATCTCTCCTGGAGTTTGACGAGACCGACATGCCATTTGAAGACTTCAGTCATCTTGCTCCAGACATCGACGATCAGGTCTTGAAGAGTTTGCTTCTCAAACACAGTAATTGCATGACCAAGGTGAGGAATAATGTCAAAATGTTTGACAATTACCTAATGCTAAATATCACTTGAAGAAAATATAACTGACTAGAAAGCTATGGTAATTAAGACAAATCAATGGGAATCCCTGTAATGAAAGCTTTTTAAAAAAATAGACGTGGGCCTTTATAAAGTTTATATTTTCCCCCATATCGCAGCCCTTGCCCTGTATCTGATTGTACACACAACTCAAAAGGGAGCAACATAACCAAGAGTATTAGTAATTAATAACAGAAATTAAAAATATATTTCATTACATCAAACCTCACAATGCTGTATTCTTATAAATACTTTATTATCAAGTCCTGCCTTTGAATTGTATAAATCCCAGTGAGATGTATTTTTTCTTGAATACAATTGTCTGCCTGGAACCAGAAGGGTGTTAACTTTATGTAAAGTAACAAGTTAATGCCCTTCTGGCTCTCAATAAATCAAATATTGAGGGTTCAGTGACACAAAGACGTAACTCCATATTTTGCCAAAATGAGTGTTTGATATTAAAATATTCCCAAAAATGTGGGCTTTCCTTCATAATTCAATGGCTAGTGAAACATAGAATTAACTCTTTAAGGCCCAAGTGGACCTCTATCTTTAAACCACTTTTTCTCAAAATGGCCAAAATGGAGTTACGTCTTTGTGTCACTGACCCGTTGTTATGATGTACACATGGATCGCGCCTTCTTTTGAGAAAAAAATCAAACATTGTTTGTAAACTTTTGACTTTCAGGCACCATTCACCACAGAGTCACTCCTATGGGATCGGAAGGACATGAAGCTGACCAGAGCCGAGAAGATGCAGGCCAAGAAGAGTTACGAGGAAGAGAAGAAATTGAATCTCTCCTACTCCAGACCATCCTACGCAGCGTTCTATCCCAAGGGGTCTGGTCCAGGGGGCATGTCCGTACCTCCTGCAGCTAAAGGAGTACCCAATATGAATTTCAACACAGGACCTGCCTATCCCTACTTGTAAGTTTATTAAAAGAAATGTTTACAAATGATGTATGTATTTAATGCTAACGTGTACACACATTTTGTTTTGTCTTCATGACTCGTATAGATTCAAATAATTGTTATGCTATTGAAAGCTAAGTTTCCCTTTGGCCGCTAAGCTTGTCTAAATAGTGTTTTTATGCCTCCGCTACAAAGTAGCCGGAGGCATTATGTTTTTGGGTTGTCCGTCCGTCCGTACGTCCGTCCGTACGTACGTCCGTCCGTACGTCCGTACGTCCCGTTCTCGTGATCGCGTTATCTCAAGAACCGATTTATGGATTCCTGCCAAACTTGAGTCATGTATGTATCTCACAGAGCCAATGAACTGATTAGATTTTGGGGTCACGAGATCCAAGGTCAAAGGTCACAGGGCTCATTATGTATGCGAAAATGGCTCGTGATCGCGTTATCTCAAGAACTGATTGATGGATTCCTGCCAAACTTAAGTCATGGATGTATCTTGCAGAGCCAATGAACTGATTAGATTTTGGGGTCACAAGGTCGAAGGTCAAAGGTCACAGGGCTCATTATGTATGCAAAATAGCTTGTGATCGCATTATCTCAAGAACCGATTGATGGATTCCTGCCAAACTCAGGTCATGTATGTATCTTGCAGAGCCAATGAAATGATTCGATTTTGGGGTCACCAGGTCAAAGGTCACAGGGGTCTTTATGTATCCAACAATAGCTTGTGATCGCATTATCATGAGATCAAATAGACAGATTACTATCAAACTCAAGTCATGTATGTATCTTGCAGAGCCAATGAACTGATTAGATTTTGGGGTCACCAGGTCGAAGGTCAAAGGTCACATGGCTCATTATGTATGCCAAAAATAGCTTGTGCATGCATTATCATTAAAACCCACAGATGGATTACAATCAAACTTGAATTTAAAAATTGTTTCTGTTTTGGTTTGTAAAATTGCTCTATGGCGGAGGCATCATTTTTGACTGCGCGCAGTCAAAGTTCCATCTAGTTATAGATATTGTAATGTTATACTTTGCAAGAACACCAGTTTGAGTTATGTTAGCATATAATACCTTCAATAAAAGTGCACATACATATAGTTCTCTTCATTCATGCATCTATGTATTCAGATATGAATTTCTTTTAGTTTCCACGTGTATCTCTTAGAGGCTGTATAAATGTATTTAAACAAATTGGCAAAGAAAGATTTGTACGTCAGTAGGGATGAGAGTTTACATCTTTTTCATCTTCTATATGTATGTATAGTGTACTATACCTGTAATGGGTAAAAGTGACATAAATAATATTCAAACGTTTACTCTTAGGCCCACGTATATGATTTGTTTATTCAAATTTGGTTAGTGAGGATAATGTGAAGTAATATCTTTAGTGCATGAACTTTGTAATTGACTATTCTTGTGTGTGTTTTGGTACCAGGCCCACATCATTGAAGCAGCCATTGCAGCGACCCGTAGCCAACGTGAGACCAATCCAATCCACCCCTGTACCCAGGCAGCCACCTACACCTCACGAGGTCACTCAGAAGAGAATCAGAGATCTCAAGAATGCTGGTGTCACTCTGCAGCGCATTGTTGCAACCACAAGTAAGACTGGATATTTTCTTTTCCTTGTTAGGTGGAATGACTTTCTTGCCATGATGACACCCTCTCCCTCCATATCTTCTTGTCTTGACCATCCTCCTAATTAAAACCAACCCTACTGCTTTCTTTCTTCACCATATCTTTCCAAGAAATCTTCAGTCTTCCTTTCCCTCTTTATATGCCATCCACTCTCAGATCCCACAGTCTTTTCACAGGGTCACCATCTTCCCTTTTCAACACATGACCTATCCATGTCAATCCACTTCTCTTTAACCACTTCCTCCACAGTTTCTTCCATACCCAACCTTTCCATGAGCTCATTATTGTTCTTTCTTTCGGACAGTTTCACACCGCCCATCTTCCGTACCGTGGCTCTTTCTGTTCTCTTCAAGATACCTTCTTCTACTGTCATCACATTCTAAGTTTCTGAAGCATATGCTATCGCTGTTCTACCCCAAACCTTTTAAATAGATTCCTCATAAGTAGAATTTTTTGACATGGGTTTGTGTATATGCCTCAAGAAGGATTGCATTGTGTTTTTGGTGTTTTCTTTTCAACTCTATGGATGCCATGGAACAGTTCTTATGATATCTCTTAATTGATAAAAGTATTTCACTTGGAAATGAAAAAAAGTTTGTTAAAACATGTTTTGTTTGTAATGAGCATTAAGCAAACATCATATCCTACCTTTCCTTGACAGATATCATGCTACCAGGGGCCAATACATCTACAGAATCCACCTCCATGATCAGAGCCGGTGATGCAGTCACCTTCATCAAGACCAAGAAAGGCATCTACCTGCGTACCCATGAAGGTAAGATCCTCGCTGTCAGAGGTCCCAACGCAGGACCAGGATCCCTTGGGGCCGTGGCACAGGGAGCCTTCCCCGATGCAACACCATCAGACATGGGTATGGTTCAAGGAGGAGGAGGAGGGGGAGACGCAGGAGCGGGAGCATTGGTGGATGGAGAAGGTAGCGGTAACTATGGTACGCTACCAAACCTTGCCAATACGCAGCTAGGACAGCTATTATCACAGAGTGTCCCACCCAGGCAGCAGAGCAACAGCTTCAGCAACCCACCTCTCTCTTTACCATCTGAAATCAAACCCAACTTAACGATGGCAGGTATGCCCACTACCTCGGGGATGTTTCCTCCATTTGCAATGTCACAGTCAAGTGATCGTGTCCCTTCAGATCTGGGTCTGCCGTCATCATCCTCCATGTCTAACATGGGCTTTGGTCCCTCTAGGTCATTGGGCTCGTTTCCTCCTTACCCGGTTCCTTACTCCTCCTCCTCCTCCTCCTACACCCCCTCTTACACCCTTGGAAATACATCCACTCTAACCATGGCAACGGATACTGTCATGCACTCTTCAGTTGCTGGGACATCATCTACAGGGGCATTGTCTGCCGGGATGTCGTCCTCAACAATCTCATCGTTAGGAGCCTCTCCGTCACTCTCATCTCTAGGAGCCTCTCCGTCATTCCCTTCCCTTGGCATGAACCCTACAAGCCTCCCCGAGACCCAGTCCTCCTTCCCTGACCTCTACCAAGACTCCTCTCCCAGCCCAAGCCTCAGCTATCCATCCTTCGGCGATGAATACTCCAATACGAGTCAGGGTCCTCTCGACACCAACCCAACATCATTGTCCTCTAACCTGGAGACCACCTCCATGTCTGGGAATCAAGGGCCACATGGTTTAGGGTCCATGTCAAGAGTAGATGAACCCATCTCAACACCCTCCCCAGTGGACAAGAGCAGTCTCCTAGCCCTTGCTCCAAGCCCTTCAAACCCAGTTCCATTCCAACAAGCTGCTAGTAATTCAATTCCAGCAGAAGGAAACCAGGTGAACCCTCTTTCAGACTTGATGTCCCCCTCCCCTGCCATGAGCGGCGGCACACAGAGTGTGAACCTACCCTCGTCTTTACCGTTTCCTCAAATGGAGATGAATTACCCCTACCCGTCCTTGAGTAGGACCAGCAGTGGACCATCCAACGGTTCCATGGACTCTACTTCATCCCTGATGGACGACGGGTCAGACATCTCCAATCTCTCAAAGTTTGTCGACTCCTCCTTCCCCAATCTCATGCCATTTTCAGGCTCTCTCAATCCTGACTCGGATGCTAGTAGCAGATCAAATATGTCCTAAAGAAAGAGAGTTGGCCTTGGGAATTAGCTATGGAGTATATTGAGAAGTGTGCAATTTACAATTGGAAGATTATTAGGTTATGCAGACCGTTTATAAACGTGGTAGCAGATTTGCAAACATTTGTAATTAGTAATTATAGCAGTGAATGAAATGCTTCTGAATGAGCTTTATGATGTGAAAATATACAAAATTACACATATGTTCATGTTTTGTGTCTAATATTTGTATGATGTATATTATTTTGCTTTTATAAAGCTAACCAGTAAATTCGTGTCAAGAAGGCCTTTACAGGAGGACCTTCATCTGTTTCATTTTGACCAAAAGACAACCATAAAAATTTCAGACATGTGATAAACAATTCAGAACGGCACAATTCAGAACGGCACAATCACCTCTAAAGAATATTTTTGAAAAGTTTTTCCTTGGTTGAATTTCATAGTGTTGACCAAAATGAGAAGAAAACCTTTGTCAGTTTGTAAACAAATTTATTGATGTTTTTAAGGCTTTTACCTCTCTGAGGCTATGAACCAAACTCAAAAATACGTACTAGATAGTTATACGCTTTCCTTTTAAAGTTATTATTTTCTCCTCATTTGTACAGTACTTATGTGAGTGAAAGAATTTTTTTATTCAACTATTTTAGTAGTATTATCAGAAAATCAATGTTTCTATTCTCCATTGTAAATTTTTCGATATTTGTCTCTGTCTATTGTATATTAAGGCAAAGGACAATATGATGTGTTACTTTAATACATACAAGGCATATTTCTAAGCTAGGCTAGTAATGTATTACCTGGTGTAAGTAAAATATTTGAAGTATGTTTATGTATTGTAACTTGGATCTGATGTATTCATATGCGGTTGGGCTACCAATATATCACAACTTTCTGTTCTTGATTCTCAAGTAGCCATACGCAAGGAGCTTTCCTTGTTATACTTCGGTACTGCTCTTGCCTGTCCTGGTACGGACCATAGATGAGCAGTTTCTATACAAGAGTATCTATCATTTAGGAGATATATATGAGCTTTATTTCACTCTTGTTTACCTTACTAGGTTTTGTACATACTGCTATTTCAAACATATCTAATGGATGATCGTCACAGAACAGTATTTGAATCATGCTTGTGAATATTGGTAAAGGGATTAATTGTAGCGTACTTGTAGTGTTTATCAGTTTTATACGATATGCATTTTAAAAACTCTTTGTGCAAGAACGTTTCTTTCTGTGAAAGTGGTATTTTATGGCCTCTTTTTTTGCCTCTCGCCAATATGTAATTTGAGTCGATTTTTCATTTTTAATCTCAATGTATTTCACTATATTTGTATTTACTCATTAATTTCCATGATTTCATTTTAAGACTTAGTCCATATTGATCAAGTTGGTAGACAATTTTCTAGTCCCATCAGCGGTGTATTATTCTTCATATCTCCTGTATTATTTGGCAGAAGACCCTACTGAAGTAAACTCTGAAATAAATTTCTCTTTCCTTTTGTTATCATTTTGATATGCTTGTACATGTACTTACATTGTTTAGTGAATATGAAAGTATTTTCTCTTAATGAATATATAAATGTCCAAAGAGTGGTAAATGATATTTCATTCTTTTTTTTAAAAGTACATTTCTATTTATTTAGAGTTGAAATACCTTTAAGTAAAAGAATGCATCATGATTTTGCAGTAAAGTTCAGCTTTCCTTGGAATCAAAATTACTTTGCCATTTTTCTTTTCATTACATTTTCAGATATCATACTTGTTTAAGACCAAGCCCTGCGTTACAAAATTTAAATCATACTAATTCAGTAATGTAAGCAATATTTTAACATATACATACTAATGTGATTGAATCCAAATGCCATTACTTTAATTGATTCAAGCAGTTATACATTCTGATACGCAGATGGTTTGTTTACAATACAGTAGTCATGTCCAAAGCAATATGATTTGTATTTTGTCTCATGGCACAGAGACAAGCAGCCACTTTGTTTTGTGTAGATATTCAGCCGACAGTAAATCTGAATGTTCGATAATGAAAGACCAAAGGAGGGTTGAAAGCTGTATATGAAACGACACAAAGTTAGCAGATATGTGCTATTACAAGAAGTTTATTTTATCGTCAAATCAAATATTATTTATGGTCTAGTACGAGTTGCTTTCAATCCGAGGGATATGCAAAAAAGCACCAACTGACTTTTCTGTGTAAAGGTATAACAAATATATGTTTTGTTCCATGAAAAACAAAGAAGAAGTTGTGAAGTGCTTAACTTGCCAAATTTGAATAAATGTCCATTATTGATATTTGATTGCCTATTACATTGTTAAATTCAATCACAGCCATATTACCGGTAATGAAAGTAGGAAGTTAAAGGTTAAAAATATTTTTTTTAGAGCAAATATGGCAGATATTAATTGGAATTGAATATATTCCTTGACTGTATGGTGAGCATTCTCTGAGGATTTGTATGAATTCAGTTACCAGATTGACTTTAGTTTCAGAATGTAGATTTATTACCAACCATATGAAAATTTACAGATTTCATCACAAGATGCAAGGAATAGGTCAAAGCATTCATAAATTCTAATGTCAAATGCGACCCTGCGATATTTCTTTTGTGCCAAATCATACTCCTCCCTGTCGTCGCATTCACAGCTGGTTTTATTTCAGTGAAGGTTATTAGACTTAAATTCATGGCTGAATCTAATCAAAAGCATATTTCTTGCATGAATGGTACATCCTTGCTTGCTGCTATGTCTCAATTATGAATTGTCAGTGTGAGTGCTCTTGTACATGCCACTCTTATCTATATAGACATTATTATGTGAGAAAATCATGTATGTGCTGCTCAATTGTCGAGTAACACCTCGATGACCCCAACGAGACCGACTTTAGGTCAAAAATAAACTGAACGTAAGAAATTACATGAACATGAATGGCCATGAATAGGTTGGTTTGGACTCGCAAGTTGTTGATTCGATGTTGTGATGGGGTATAGCTTGTACAGTGCGTCCCAGAAAAAACGAAACCGAGAAGTATCGATGTTTGTCATTCCTCGCTCATTTTTCCTGATTGAGGTGTCATATGAAAGGGCAGAAACTCAACTTTCTAGAAATGTGAATTTTTCTTCAAAATTCAGATACCGCATGCCAAATGTCTTTTTGGTTTCCTTCCGTGAAATATGCATTATCTGAGTAGCATCACATGAGAGACGAGACTCTAAGCTTTCCAAATATGTATCATTCATTAATTATAGTTGTGATTAAGTTATGATAGAACATCGATACTTCTCGGTTTCGTTTTTTCTGGGACGCACTGTATATCTCACATCTGTAAACTGCTTTATATTTGAGATCTTCATTAGGTAGTTCTACACAAATATGAAGCCCGACTTGAAACAATTACTCCTAAAGGATACGTTTGATAGGTCTTGTTATTTATCGTGGAATCGTTGGCAAGAACAGTTTTTGGAACAAAACTATGATGAATCATACAACTCACTTCAAAGAAAGTGTGTGGATTGGGACAATTGTTATGAATTAACTATATTACATTATCAAAACAATCAACTGTGTTAGAATTTCTTTTCAATCATTGAATTTTCACAATTACAAATTTATGAATTCAGATGTAAATAATAATATACAGTTCAACATTCATACGTAGTCTTTTTTTCTTTCTTTTTTAAGCTAAATTATTTGTATGATGGATGTTTGATTGTCATGTGATACAATGTCAATGTCTTCTGTATTGCTTCGGCTCAAAGGAGGGAACTTTTATGAATAAATTATTCCTTTTTCACAAGACATATTTTTGCCTCTCAGCAAGTGTTATTTATACATGTATTTGCTCTATTTTGTTTAATTTTAAGTATTTCATCATTCATGTAATCTGTAAAGGTCTGAATATGCTTAGTGAGCAACATGGATGATACAATTATTTATTTAAATCAGTTTCCTCTAGTACCTCATCTAAAGACTATTGTGCATTTTATACATGTACCGTAAATCTCTGTGTATAAGGCGCACTTTTTTGCCGCCGAAAAAAATTTGATTTATGGCGCTATGCCTGGCAATGTCTCCTATGTTTTCTATGTTTTCTATAACAAATGGTGTACCACAAGGTTCTATCCTAGGTACTCCATTATTAGAAAGATAGAGGATGCTATTCATATCATGCATGACTATTGATGTTTGGCATAGAACACAGTGCTTCTGCTAGGTGATGTGATGAGGCTGGTGTGGGACACTTGGTATCATGAAGCCTTAGACTGTTGTTACTATTTGTGACAAGTTCACAACTTCAACTGCACCTCGATGTAAAATGAAGGTCCTTCCCCGTGTGGGTTTTCGGCAACAAAACAACAACAACAAAACAAAAAACTTTTTTTTTTTTTTTTTTTTTTTTTTTTGCCCCCAAAATAGGGGTGCGCTTATACACGGAGATTTACGGTACCGGTACATATATTTCTTATAGATGCTTGTACATTGTTTATTGTTTTCAATAGGCCATTTTGGGAATGTAACCTACTTTGTACAAATTATTTCATTCACCTTATACAAACAATTGTATTTGAAAAGTGATAATGCAAGTTGCATATGTTATGTGTTGCTAAGTAGGATAAGTCATAATCTTTGTCCTACCTAGCAACAACTAATTTACAGGTTTGCAATGCACATTCTGACTATCAAGATACATTTATTCGTAGCAGGTGAATTAAATAATTTTTATGAAGGTGCTTCACAAAGGCATATGTGTAAATTTGGTTACATTACGAAAATGGCCTTCAACTTAGGTTATCACTATTAGCTTCTGCAATGAAAAACACAGTAAATACTAGCAAAGAAAAAAGCAACACAGACAGAGGTGATGTATGTGATAATTTCATAAAATGTTTATTTAACAACCCCAACAGGTACTCTGTACAAGTTCATGACACAACAACAGTCATTGCAATGTCAGACTCAACGGACATCATGTCATAAATTACCATCTCATAGACAGACAATAAATAAGAAAACAAAAACTACTAATGCCATCGATGAGTGAGACAAAATTGGGGAGGGGGAAAGTTTGAAAAAGTCATACAAATTGTAATTTAAATTCTTTTGAGGTTGTTTTTGCACAGCAGCGATACAAATTTTATGTAACCACAGGACAGTTTCTATTTTACAGAAGATACATACTGCATGTTTTTGACGCATTTATGACCACAAATAGAAATCTATCACATGAAAGTAGAGCTTTCATTTCATGTCATTACCTGAATGTTTCACCTAAGATCATTTCATGTGAATTTGTGGTCAGAGTGCTGCCCTGCTGTTTTTGCTGATCAGGAACATCCCCAAAAAAGTTTGAACTTCAGCTTAAAACCAAACTCGACGTCAATGATGCCCCCCCGATGTCCGGCCGATGTGTACATATCGACCAGCATCCCGCCACTTATCCTGGGGTTACCCAGCGGGCCCCTTATAGGCATCGGGCGTCGCCCATTCATGTAAAATTTTAAGACTCAAAAGAAATGCCCCTTTCTCGCACGCCCTTCTCTACAGCGAGGTGAACCGGGCATTCTACACACAAGTACATACATGTACATCAACAAAAACAGTACCATATGTGAATGAGCAGTAACTTGTATCCGCATATATATGAAGATGTGAATAAAAGGAGGCAAAAGATTAAATTAAATTTTAAAGTATATTCAACACTTTGCGCCAAGTGTTCACCATCAGGAAAGTAAACAACTATTTGTCAGCCATTTGTGAAAATAATTCCTTTACATCTGAATCTAGTTTTCCACTGCTCTGCTCCCTTCTGTCTGCTGTGATAGAAAAAAGTTCCTGTCTTATGCCCAAGTCACATTTAAACGTTGACGTGTTCATGATTAGTTCAGGGCTGATGTTTGACTGATGACTGCCCGATGTCTGCCGATTGCCCGCCACTTATCCTGGGGTTACCCAAGCGAGCCCTCTATAGGCATCGGGCAGCGCCCATTCATGTCAAATCTGTCACCTGATTTATCTCCAACCTCCACATATCGCACAATGCCCCAAAATCTGGCACATCGCCCGACGTACGGTTAAATGTGACAGAGGCATTAGGCATGTATTGAGGGACACCTTTTGAACACTTTTTTCCTTAAAGACCAAAAATTGAAAACCGAAAGGCACTTGCGTATGACATCATCAGACTAAACATTTAATTTATTCCACTCGCTCAACCCTCCCATACGATATCCTGATGCAGCTCATATAATTTGTGATAAAGGCTCTCAATAAAACCCTGAATATCTAAAAATACATTGCATCCTTTTCACATAACATAAGGTTTATATTTATAACCATTAACAAAAGGATAAGGATACGCTGATATTAATTCTTTCCTAATTAACTCTTTGCTGCTTAGGTCGACAAATTGAACAAACAGGACTGCCAAAGTTGACCTTTGTGACACATACAGTGCACATGTATCCTATACCTTATAATCAATGTAGCACTCTAGGGTTGATACATGGCAAATAAAAGAGGTATAGCTGCAAACAGATGTTTACTTTCCAGATTTAAAAGTTAAAGTTAGTATATGTGGTTGCCCCCATATGTTAGTAGTACATTTAAGTTATCATATACAATTCAAGAAATAACAAGAAAGGATGTATTAGGTTGAAATGCTAGCTTTTCTGCAGTTATTCATATGAACAATTTTTGGAAGCCCAGCATCTTTTTTCTCTCCTACCCCAAAAAAAAATGAGTAAAAAGAAAACAACTAATGCTAAGGGTATTAAAAGTTCTTTATACAGAAAATATTATGGGTACACAGAGAATTAAGTAACAAAATTTTGAGAGATTAAATATTTAGATGGTGTAAATCAGATTCAGTTGTAGGAATTTAAAACCATTATTCGATGTCTCAGTTTCTTTCAGGTCATACAGCTCAAATTAGGTCCTATTCAACATACAAAATGATAACATCAATAGCACAATTCACTCATCAATTGCTTGCACAGTATTTGTTCACAACGAAAATCAACAAATGCAACATAAAACTATGTGGACTATGGTTTTCTGAAAGAGCTGAAGTTGCTGGGTTGCTCACACACACACATCAAAATTAATTTTTCAGCAAATAAATAATAGATGGTATATATATATGTATAGGTGAGTCCAACATACAAGGTGAACACAAAACTCAAATGATATTCACACATAGGTCACAATGATGTCATACAATATATATTAAAAAGAGAAATTTCCCCCATGATTAGTTTCCATACGCTAACGATTAAGAAATATAAGGCCATTTACCAACATGAATAAGATACATCAATAATAATAATAATAACTAAGCAATGATTTGATGATTTTCTACAGCTGGTGAGAAATGCGTAGATGAATACAATTGGGAGAGCAAGTCTGCAAGCATTAACAGTGGGAAAGAAAGATCAGATTTATCATCTTTAGTACAAACCTATCTCATGATAATGTTGCAAATCTCTGATGAACTGGAAATATCTTTTTCATGCTTAATGTATACATCAGCCTAACTTAACTATTGCACTGTAGGTACTACTCCGCTACATTCTACGATATAGGTGCCTTGATCCTAATTAAATTCTAAACTGAATATAAAATCTAAGTTTGTCAAATCACGCTACGGTTTACTGGCTAGTCATACAAAAAGAACAACGATAAATCTTTCAATCAGACATAAATTTTACATGAAGGGGAGATACCCCAGCCAATGGGTCAAGCAGCACCAAATTTGAATTGATATTCTGTGGTTCCATAATCTGAGATACATTTCCATCAATTTGTATCTACAATAAAAAGATTGAATTCATCACAACTTTTGCATCAATGTATCAAAGACTGAAGAAAGATATACTCTCATCCATTTTCTGCTCATCGTAACAAGAAACTACACGCATATATATTTCTCAGTTTCCTTCTCTTATCCATTAATCTTATCGAATGAAGAAAGGTTTTAGGTTTTCTTCTTTTCATTCAATAATAATGGTTGAACAAAGGGTGAATCCTAACACTAGGATAAGTGTAAAAGCTTTTTTAGAATTGATGTAAAATTGGTGAGTAAAATTTAAAAGAATAATCATATAAACAAAATATAAAGAACAAAATGAAATAAAAAGAATAGAAAATACTGAAAAATAAATTTGCAACATTTGGGAAAAGTAAGACCAAGAAAAAAGCATTATAACTTTGGATAGAAGAAAATGCAATATGGAAGGACAATGGATAAGAGAATTACAATGTAGTTTCTATCATAAAAAGAAAGTGTTGAAAAAACATTCAAAAAGGAAAGAAATCATGAACAGGGGGTGATTGATTATCGTAGATGTCAGAAATATTTCATTCTTTTGTCTTTCATATTAAAGACGTGATAAGAGCACTTTTATTTCCCTATACATACATAGACAGTGATTGCAAACAGTTTCAACATGAAATTTGGGAGTTTGAGGGGGTATGGTTCTGCCCATAGATGTATCAAATTATTTTTCTGCCACACAAGTAGAGATTCTTTATAGTCTTTCTATTCATGCACTAACATTAAATTTAAACCTCAAATGTGTGACTGGTGAAATATAATTAATCTGTTTGATGATCATACATCATGACCAGTGAACACACAGCAGCACTCACCAATAATGTCTGAACATACCTACTTACAGCCAAAATGTGTGTAAACTCTGTGTGTTACATCACCCTTTGACACTAAGAACCCTTATGGTTCCAAACAGACAATTTGAATAAATGATTTTAAAAGTTTCTTCATTCTGGATTTGTGACAGTGCAGTTGGTAAGAGATACAGAGTTTTGACCAAAGATTATATCCTACTCGAGGACAGACATTCTTAGCATATGCAGACATTTCAGAAATGATTGTGTTTGATCCCACAAACTACATCAAAAGCTCTCAAAACTAAAGACAAAAACATGCTTTTCTTTTTATTAAATATCCTATAATTAAGAGCAAAGACATTAACTGGACCTGATAAAGAAACAAAAAATGATATCATTCTTTACAAATAATGCATATGTTACTATGCTCATGATTAAGTAATGACTGTATATACCTTTTATATACAATCTTTTCATTAAAAAATTTCATTTCATTTTCAAAATGTATAATCACATATATACATAATGGTGATGATATAAAATTGTGGTATTACAGTGCACCAGGCATGCGTATACATAGCAAACTCCACATCGAGGAGCCTTTCTGTGTATATACAAATATATATCTACAACAAATATATATTTGATTCGTGAGATAAGAACAATACAAACGATTCGGTATCTTGATCTAATCTTAAAATACAACTCTGCAAACAAGATTGAGAATGACGATACGTACCTGACATAGACTAGCTGACACGTACATGCCTTGCTTCACAACACGTCTTCTATTAATCTCCATTAGATTGAGATAAAAATCTATATTTCTCATTGAATTTGACATTCTTCACACATCATTATACCCTTCTAGAATCTAGAATTATGATACTGTAATACAAATCTGGCACATTTAGCATCCACCATGTGAAATTAATCAATCAAACAAAATTTAGTCATGTCCAAAATCACTGCTAGCTAGACATGGTAGGATTACTGAGAGGCATCAATAGACTATTGTTTAGTTCTTGATGATGTCAGCACTGGGGATCACTTGAATATCAAATGTATCTACAGACGTCATCGCTGATTGCCAACAGACTTGTACTGATCGAGCCGAACGGCCGGAGCTACCACGTCGTCCATCCATGATCTAATCCACCATACATATAGAGAGTTGATCTATAGCGTTGATAACACAGCACACAACATGACTATTTACATCTTCATAGAAAAAAAACAAAAGTGGTCCTACAGATGAGCTGCTGCTATAATGTAGTCACATAGAGCACCCCATGTTCATCAGCCTCTATTGTTCCCGACTCTGTATCGCTGTCTGCCTCGCGCCCCGCCCGCCTTCCACCCTCCTCATCGTCATCATCGTTAGTCCGATCGTGACCCCCCGACCTGCGCGTGTAGTCCCGCAGCTCGTAGCCGCCCAGATGGTCAAAATACGGCAGCTGGGTGTCCTGGGTGACCGTCGTGGTTACGACGGGGACGTTGGCCAGCTTGTCCTTTGGGAAGAGGATGCGATGGGCAGCAGAGTCCAGCTGAGCCTGGGTCATGTTACAGGCTTCGGCTAACTCACGTTCGGCCATGTTGATTAGGTCCCTGTCACGAATGGGCGAGATGCCTTCCCCTGCTAGCACCTGAAACAACGTAGAATGCAAGATCACATATTAGTCCCATGTATTCTACTGATTATACATGCTATTAATTGCAAGAAATATACTATGTTTTGACTCAACTAAAACTTTTTTTAGTTTTTTTGCATATTATTTAACAATTATCCAAATCTTGTAGCTTTCCAGTTTTTCACTGCTTCGTAAAAATTATAATGTGTAAGGAATTTAATACAATACAGCCATAACTTTCACTTGACTGAATATTCTGCCATATTTGTGGTTAGAATATACCACATTTTCTTAGTTTTACACAACATTGTCAAAAATAGGATAGAATTAAGTTAAGTTAAATTATTTCCATTATAATCATTGTTGAGAGAAATCACATAAGGAAAATGAAATATGTTTTCTAAATCAATCATAATAAGAGTGAATCAAGTGTATATATGAAAATTCATTTCCACTGTAAGTACAGTCAATCCTGTCTTAAATTACTATAGCAAATTTACTGTAATTTTCTGAATGTGTGGAGAGAAATTATACATACAAAATGACAAGCAAGGAATAAACAGCATATGTTTGCATTAATCTTTTAAACATTTCATCAGCAAAGCTTCAATGAATGCATGCATGTAAAAAGAAAAATCAGGCAGTATAAATAACAAAATAACATGGAGTGCACAAGTGCTTCAAGAATTTATCAATAAGATAATGTTTAGAAACTGTTAAGCTCAAGTACGATAAAGTAATAATGCTCTCCCCGAAGTGAATCTAGATACACGTAAAATTCCCAGGTTTGAAAAAATAGACCATGTTTTACTTTGTCGACATTATTTTCATTTCAAACTGCTGATACGCCTGCGAGGACATAAAGAGAACCTACTCAGCTTCCTATAACACTTTTCATAGTGTATGATAATTCCTGCATTGCAAAACAGTGTTAGTTGATCTCAATATAAAACACAGTGCACTAAAAATTTCAAAATTGATTGGAACACGATGAAGACAAATTCCTGTCCCCTAATGGCTGCACTACTTGCTTCTTGATGATGATTTCACACACTTAAAATGCATTGTTATGAACACAGAATCTGTAAATGATTTTTATTCAAATTTATGGAAGGCAAGGTGTATTTTTCATGATATCCCACATCCCACGGGAATGTGTAGAACAAACAATTGACAGTGTAATAGATATATGATAGTATATGATTTAGGATGGGATGTTTGGTGTTGGGAAGCAAAAGGAGAACAGAGGTGATGTGATACATATTGATATGTATCAATTTGTAAACTTCCTTATAATTCTACCTGTAAAATTGAGTGATTTTACTAATGTCGTCCACAAACGCAATTCGGAAGACAAATTTAATTATTTTAATCTGCATGGTTGATCTATACTACCATGAACTAAATGATTATTTTTCAGAGTAGAAATATTCATGAATATTCATGAAGTGCATATAATTCTAGTGAATGAATTCCAATACAAGTACAAAACATGATCGTATGTATATCGTGGAAGATTATACATCTCAAATGTGAGATTTCAATGATTAGAGGATGAAATGACGATAAAACAAATCATGCATGACGTCAATGAAGAAAACCTGAATAATATAAGTCTGACAGGTTTGGTTTATGTTGAATAATATTTGTAATACCGTAGTTGGATCGAGTACTGTGATAATTTTTCCTAATAACACAGTTTATACCTGTATTAAAAATACTTCTTTTAATTATAAGCATTCAACAACAATGAATCAGTACTGAATGAAGGATCATTATAAAAGAAAAATGTATTCAGAGAGGCTTACAGTGCTTTCAAATCCGCTTTAAATATGAATCTCAAAATTGCATATTAGTGAACACATTAAAGTATGATTTAAATCATTCTATATTATGATGCTACTTTGATCAAAAGTGATATGATAATGAGTGGTAAAATAGCTAAGAAAACAAACACAAAGTAAAAATATTTTTCATTTAAAATCAAATTCATGAAAAAATTATGACTTCATTGAATTGAATTGTGAATTTCATACGCATTCAACAACACAAAATAAATAAATAAATGCTTCTTTTTACACTAAACAATAATAAATTTGCTTAAAACTTTACCATTGTTCTTAATGGAAATATTAATGGTAGATTCAAGCATTTTCATTCATTTTTACTTTAAAATGTTAAAAAGAAATATGCTAATTAGGATAAGCTAATTAAATATGCTAATTAGGATAAAATTGGATTTTTGAAAATGCTTCAATATACACCATTGATTCTTTGCTTACAATGCACATTACAGTAGGCAGTGGAATACTTAAAAGACCTGTCAGTAGTGAAAATGCAATATAGATGAATTATATATCAACAGAAATCTTATAAGCCATAGATGACATTAGAATACATTATATGCTAGTTTAGTGTCTGTCAGACGAGTGACAGCTCTCAGAAAATACGAAATCTAAAGCTCTGAAAATTGGTAGTTGTCGACCTAAAAACTAGCAATTGACTTGATGCCATCATCTTATGTGGAGTACGCATATTCACAACGACTTTGCATTAAGCACTGTTAATCGCCTCAGCTATATAGGTGAGCCGATTGGGTCCAAATGTTATATTTGTATTCTAAACACATTCGTCCAGCTTTTCGTCGATACAAAGTTGTATTTTCATCAGATAAAGGGTCTTGATACATTCAAGTTAATTCTAATAACTAAATAATCTGAGACATACATTTCAAAGAAACAATCTAGTTCTACATGAATCCTTATCAAATACCAAATATCAGTATCAAATTATGCATGCTATGATAAAAGTTTCTTCTTATCAAAAGCAACTAATTTTCATTCCTACAGCTTTATTAAAACATTTCTGTGTACATGTACTTTATGAGACTAAGCTGTGATGGATTAATATGCAGAAAACAAACTGTACCTGGTTAATTTTCAGAACTCTGTGAGAAGAACCACTCATATTTTCTACTTTACTGTGAAAAAATGCATGAATCAGTATATTGTAATTCCACTCATGATTAATGCTTTTAATCTTTAACTGACTACATGATGAGATTATGAAGTCAAACCATGCATAGTGATAACATTTCAATCAGCTAAATATTGCCATGAGCTTAAAACCTTTTAATTTCACACACACAAAAAGTATTAAAAACAAAAAGCCTTCACTAAATTGATGGTTATAGTATAATCTTTGCTTGTTCTATGAACTAATATGTAGGCCATGATAAAAAGAACCATATTGAAGTGCAATGATTTACATAAAGATTTTTTTTTTCTGTCTTTTCATAGTATTCCTTCTCAATTTCGATGAGAGTTCATGATGTACCGGTATGTTTAAACTCTCAATTCAGTAATATTTATTTCATTAAAAGAGTGAGAAAGCCAAAAAATGATTCCACTGCAAATTTTAAAAAAATGCCCCCCCCCCCCCTTCCACCACAAAAAGTTAGAGAGCTGATTGCAATGTAATTGTTAGGGCATGACATCATTCCTTCAAACCATTCAGTGAAAATGCAGTCATCCTCAATGCTAGAATATATGAGAATATCTAGTTTAAGATACAAACCAATCACTTCATAACATAATACCTTTCTGCTTTTTGTTTGAATTGGGTTTGGGTTTGGATTTGTTTAAATCTTTGGAAGTGGATGTAGACTTTGACTTGGTTGCATTGGATGCACCCTGTCAAAAGGAGAGAGAAAACATGCCAAAGAAAAACAAACGGAAATGTCATCTTGATTGGAAGACAAAGCTTGATCGTCTGCACAATGTTAGTCATACCTGCTTCTTATTTTAAATAGATATGTGTCGTTACTAGAAGGAAAGCAATGGTTATCTCCGTTTTAAAATGAGGACCTTAATAATTGAGCCATGCAGTGCTTAATTGTCATTGAAAAGATCCTGGGAGGGAACAAAAAGTGACTGCTAGTTTCACTTCTGTCATGTTCAACAGTTCAAATCTCATGTTCTTTTTCTATCTTAAAGGATTCTTAGAAATTGTGAGCAAATAACACAACCCTAGATACTCTGAAAATCACATGCTGCAAGATTTGTTTTTTTTTGTTTTTTGCAGTGAAAAGTTCAAGTAAAGATATTACATTGTGAGGAAAATCAAGTGAGGAAGATTTTGAGAGCTCAAAGAGCAAGGGAAGAACGATTATGATGTAATTTTACAAAGTAGAAGACACCTGCAAGAAAGAATAAAACAACACGTTATGGACAATTTGTATCAATATGAACCATTGATTACAATTATGTGTACAATGTCATTATTACCTGGAGTCAGACAAAAGTGAATGTACTCACTGTATGCAGCTTGCTAATAAATAACCAGCCACAAAGGTAGAGCTTGAGATACAACTTAACTAAAACTTTAAAACTTAAGTACTAGCAGGACTAAAAACATAAAATCTTTCCAAAAAAATTCTGGATAAAACTTAAATATCCCATTCTCAATAGCTGGAAAAATAAAATATATCTGCTTCAAATCTTGAGAAAAAGAAAGATGTGGAGAAAAAGCAAATAAAATAAAATCACAAATAAAACCATGCAAAACAAAAAACAAAATATAAAAAGCATGCAAATCTGATAAATGAATAAAGCAAAATTTGTTGGCAAATGTTTCACAAGTGACACTTAATTAGGGGGTGGTTATATAGAAGAGAGGGGTGGCCTTATATACTCTACCTGAGCTACTAAACTCTCTGCACTACCCGCTACTTCTTCTGGACTGGGGTTATTTCTAGGCACAGATGTCTTAGGTTTGGTTAGTGACTTGAAGAATGCCGCAGAGGGATCGCGCGACGTCCCGATCTCCCCGGTGGAGTGCCTCTGCGCCAGAGGCTCCTTCACCATCATGTGAGTCGACGTCGAGTTGGACGTCGATCCCGTGGTGGGGAGGAGATGAGAGCTCTGGGTGGTGGGGCGGGGTGCAGGGGTGTGAAGGGAGGAGCGGATCCGGCGTGGGGAAGAGGGGGGTGTGAGCCACATTCGTCCCGTCGAGTTGCGCGTCTTGCCCTCGGGTGTCATACCGGCCACTGCCATGACCTAGGAAAGATAGAGGGGGTAAGGATCACGGCAAACCATCACATGCACCACTGCAACCACACATACATACATACAAACACACAACAATCATAAGAGAGTTGCTTCTAATTATCTCTGGGACTAGTTAGAGGAAGATTGACTCGAGAATTAAATATTACAGGACTCACAAATATATGGGAAGAACATCATAGGTTAAAGTTGAATATTGTTTTGATACAGTTATCAGTACTAAATAGAATATTAGTGCTAATTATTAGTTCCAGAAGAGTCCTCTAAATACACATTCAGGATTAGTAGTTAAAAGCAGTTATAGACTTTAAAATGATTTCAAAAGTATTCATCTGTATCTTCTCAATCAAATTCTCCCATTTAAAAAAAATATCACTTGTTTGCTTTTGGAAATGGACTGATCTTTGATGGTTACTCTTGATTTTTTTTTTAAAACTTTTTTTTGTATTTTAGCTCAAACTATTTTGTGGAGTAAATTCCAGTGAAATTTAAGTTGAGAATGAGATATGTTATGATAAAATGAAATGCCAATCAATATATTTCACCCAACCCCTGTTGCAATGGAGTAACTTTAAATCAAATTGGTCCAAATTCACATATTGAAGAAATGACATATGATGTCATGCCAATCAACAAATTTAACCCAACCCCTGTTGCAATGGAGTAACTTTAAATCAAATTGGTCCAAATTCACATATTGAAGAAATGAGATGTGATGTCATGCCAATCAACAAATTTAACCCAACCCTTGTTGCAATGGAGTAACTTTAAATCAAATTGGTCCAAATTCACATATTGAAGAAATGAGATGTGATGTCATGCCAATCAACAAATTTAACCCAACCCTTGTTGCAATGGAGTAACTTTAAATCAAATTGGTCCAAATTCACATATTGAAGAAATGAGATGTGATGTCATGCCAATCAACAAATTTAACCCAACCCTTGTTGCAATGGAGTAACTTTAAATCAACTTGGTCCAAATTCACATATTGATGAAATGACATATGATGTCATGCCAACCAATGATAAACAGGACATGATCATGCTCCATCCATTCATTCATTCAGGCTTGATAAAAGGATAATTGATCACATGCACTGGTTCGCTCTTAGCCTTATGCAATGATTTACTTTGTATGAATGACGTAGTGCAATTTCACAGAATCCAAAACTTTCACCAAACAAAGAATGACGGATTCATGTATCACCTTGTCTTATAAACCCCTTTACCAAACGGAGTATTAGTGAAACAAAGTGATAATGAAGGCTCCAACACGAGGGCGTTTCACAAAACTTGTCATCAGTGACAAATGATAGATTTTGTTATAAGTTACTGAAATCCTTGCTTCTGATTGGCTATCAGCAGATTTGTCACTGATTTTTGTCATTTGTCATTGAAAAAAGGCTTTGTGAAACGGGTCCCAGATGTACATATGAACGAGAAATCACAGTAGTCTATTAATAGAAAGAGAAGTACGAACTTTACATTGAAAATATGTGTAGAGGATGAGAGGAAGTGAGCTAGGACATGACTCTGTAACAATAAATGGCTACTAAAGAACACATAATCAAAACTAGCTGTCTAGATTACGGTAACGGAATAAATTCAGAGAACTAAGTACTAGGGGGTATAATCTCTGAAGTATATTTGAATTTTCGAGTGAAATGTGGCAAGAAGATAGGCTGAAAGAGCAGAATTTGACTTCGCTTTTTTGCAACATACATCATTGATAAATAAGAAGAGCTCCTCACAGCGACTGCACATGAAAATAACATACGGTATAAGTTGGAAAATAATTTGTTATTTTTCCTAAAATCAAACATTGAAACAGTCAAGGACACCAGTAACTAACCTGTGCCTGAGCTAGCTTGAGAGGCACGGCCGTCTTGCGATCCCCTGCAGGCACTAAACCATCTGATTTGCCAGAGGGCAGCAACAGTCGTCTGCTCGGTGAACCGGCAGGTGACTTGCGGGGACTGTGGGTCACACTGCGGCTCCCTATACTCTCACCCTCAAGCTTTGGAAGACTTGTTTCGGTAGGTGATGGCACCGTCGTGGAGAAGTCCAGGGTGAGCTTGGTCGGGGAGGGGGAGGAGGGGTGGTTACTGGAGTTCTGATGTGGGGGTGGGGTAGGGCTGTGGCCACGGGATGATGAAGGGGATCGTTGAGGGCTTAGAAGGGGTGAGGTAGGAGGATGAGATGAGGTCTCTGAAAGGTTGTCCTCATCTTCCTCCTGGTAACACTCTGTTCTTAGGGTGGGAGGTTCCCTAGGAGAGATCATACAACAACAAAAGGCTAAATTATATTCATCATCATTCATGATAAGCAGAGACTTGGAGATCAATCCCCTTTTGTTTTAATTAAGTATCAAATAATTTTCTTAATTTCCAAAAACCTGATTAAAAATACAGCTGGAACATTCACCTTTTCCTCACAGAAAATTGCGTAATTTTTTTATTTTTATATTTTTTGATATACAAATGATCAATTTAATCCATTCATGTTTGGTCCTTCTTGTAAACTATCTGTAACAACAGATTATACTATCACCTGGTATTCTATTAATATGTTGTATTCAAAATGTCCATTTCTCTTGGCTAGAAAAGTGCTATAAGCATATTATCGTCGGCCTTATGCCAAAAGGGCCTTAACCCGATTTTGGGGGTTAATGAGTTATGAACATCACCTTGTAGATTTCATCATTCTCTTTAAAATGATATGCTTCACTTGTTGAAATTCGATTTATTTATGAAGATAATTATGAATTTCAAAAGGGCCTTAACGCGTATCTCATCTTTTTCCTTACACCAAAAGGGCCTTAACCTACACAGCAAATCTTTTATCAATGACAGATTATTTCGTAATTTCCATTTAATTCAATAAATATCAGTAGAAACACCATTAAAAACATGATTAGTCTAGAATAGACACAATGTACTTAAAATAATCACTGAAAGTATATGTCATGAATTTAGATCATGAAATCTGAGTGAGATTTAAATAAGGTATGGATGCATGAAATGCGACCGACTCGTTGAAATACGCAGATGTCAACGTATGGGACTGTGATGAAAAATAAACAACGAAAAAGTTGTTCTAAATGTACTATCTCTAAAAAATAACTTTACCGAAAGCTGCATTATATTAATAAAAATATTCAGATATAAAAAATACTTTTTCAAACATTTTAATTAACCAGTTTTATCAGTTTTCGTGATCCAATAGCCGTAGGAGGGCCTTTCTGGCAAACCAAAGGTGTTGCGAAACAAGAAAATTTCCTTATGCCAGAAGGGCGCTAACTATGCGCGCGTACTATGCGCGCCCTTTTGGCATAACGACGCGTAGGTAACGCCCCTTTTTGGCACAATGCCGAGTAGGTTACGGCCCTTCTGGCATAAATACGCTGCATTCAAGCCTTATGCCAAAAAGGCCCTAACTTGTTTTTTTGCACATAGCATGTACAATTCTGAATGTTTTATAACACATTTAACACATTTCATGTAAAACTTAATAACTTAACATATTTATCCAAATTGGCTTCAAAAACAAAAAAACGACCACAAACTTTTGATTATTAGAGAGGCCAAAACCTTTAAACGCGATTATCTCGGAATGGCCAAAAGCAGTTAAGGCCCTTTTGGCATAAGGCCGACGTTATGTTCATAAAAGAGAATTCAAAGAAATGTTTATACCATGATACCATGCTTCTTTAATGAAGGCTTTTATTCTATAACTATTAATATTGAATGTCGGTTTTATAACCTCATTTCTGGACAATATTAATAGTTAGATAAAAATATGGGAGTAAACAGTATGACATTGGTATCATCATGGAGTTACTATGGGAGAGACACATATAGTTATAAAATAATGAAGGAATGGGACATCATTTGTTTCTACATAAACACATTTATAACAAATCATCAAAATATAAAGGAATAATCCTTTCTTAAATTAATGATCACAGTTAAACAGAAAAAGACCTCCAAACATGTAATTTCAGACTCAGCAGTAATAAATGTATATGTTAAATAGGGATCTTTTACAATAATAGAAGTAGCAAAGGGCATTGAGTACCAGGTTTTTTTAATGAAGTATTGCATTTGTATTATTTGTGAATATCTGTGAATATATTATTTGTGAATATGGACAACTTAACGGTAAATATTTAAATGGAAGCTATATTGCGATATATGACAACATGACTTAAAATATAGATATCTGTGATGTAATTTCAATCATATTTTGAAGCTTATTTTTTATAAATATGCACATTCATCATCATTTACTACACTTACAATATACAGACCACATATGAATTAGTATCACAAAATTTAAAATTATACACATACAAAATGGTAAAGATTGAAGTATTATAACATCACAACAGTTATGTACTACCAACCATGATAATACATACTCATAAACAGTGTAGAGGCTTCATAAAGAGAGTGAATAAGAAGATACAAATCATGAGAATAAATGGTAGTACTAGCAAGATCCTATACTACCTGTATAACGTTATTATATGCCTAAACATCTTTGCATTCAATGCCTTTACTAATGGTTTTATTCATTTTTAATTCCTGCTTCAGAAGAAAAGGAAAATACTGAATTTTAAATTTTATTTCAGAATTATGCTACAAATCACTCAAAACAAACTGAAAAACAGCCATGTTTGAAATACATAAATACTCAAACAATGAATGAATGACAATGAATGTTTAGGGCATACATTTTTATATACATCAAGAAGTCAAGTATCATAAACAAACCCTTTTTAAAACTACAATTTAGTTTAGCATTTATACCTAATGGAGAAAGATAGGCAAGGCCATTGGATAGAACTTCAGAGTAACTTAGATAATAGGATTGCTTGCATAGAATTAAGGTAAAATAAATGATCACATTATATAAGAACTTTTAAAATGAAAAGGCACATTTGATGCTTAGTAGCTTTCATCAGAAAAAAAAAACTTAAACTATATTTAGCACCTTTTCTGTTTCAGGAACTTAAAATTGCTTTTTTAAGATTGACTTATCAGAGAAGATTTACATTCTTGAATAAGATTTGCAGGTCACAGCCTAAAAAGTTCACCTTTCATATGAACTTTCACACAGTTACTGTAATTGCAAGAAGTGGAAGAGATTCGTCTGCAGAGAAAGTGAATCTACTATAAAGCAAGTAATTTAAAATGAAGGCCGATGATAAAGATAAAGTGCAATTAAAATGTGGTAAAATAGGACTAGTTAAAGTGGGGCTGCACTACTTGTAGCTACTTATGCCCTCTATACCGCCAACAATGCCTAAGCGGTACCCGTTGATCCCCCATGGTCCCCTTTTTCTTATGTTAATTGAGAGGTGATTTGATGAGATAACCACCTGCCAGTGACCAAGCAGGAAGGTCTAATCCCTCCTGGCCAAAGTAGTGCAAATAGGCTTTAAAGGAATTTCGAAGCAAGTGAGAAAGAATGAATGTCGGTCAGTTCTCACCTTGAGTAGTCCCTATAGGGTTCTCTGTAAGGCTGTTGGTATGGTTCTGGTTGATACTCCTCATCTACTACCTGTGGTGAAGATGGAGCCTTGGGTTCTATCTCCTCCACATCATCATCATCATAAGGCGAATCGGGAGAGTGATGATGATTGTTGTTATGATGATGGTGGTGATGACGATCTTCATTTTGGAGGAGGGGTTGTCTGCCTTCTTTTGTGCTGGAAGAAGAGAAAGAAAAATTATTATTTGCTAGATTTTGCTTTTCAAGAGATGCTGATACAGAATTGAAAGAATGTAAGAACTTTCTCTTACAAGCTTTTACAACAGCTTAATTTCGGAGGAAACTTATCTGAATAAAATCATTAAAACTTAGCAGGAAGGTATAAAATCACATACAATATATTAAAAGGTAGTTATGAGCCAAACTCAAACACAGATAGTTTAACCTTTTATTTGCCACTTTTGCTATTAAAATGGCACAAACAATGGTCACAAATGTCCATGTATTATGTAATGACCCATTCCAGATTGTAAATGCTTATTCAAGTAACAGTAAAAGCACTTTACTTTGGAATAATTATCACATCATTTCACTGGGAAACATATTTTTCTTATGAAGTATTCATTTTGTATTTAAACAAGAAATGAGGCCCAAGGGATATCACAAAATATGGCGCATGAAGAGTTCCAAGGTCCTCCCAGGTACTCCCAAGATTCTTCAAACAACACTTCTTACCTATATCTATTGCCAGGCCCTCTGTTATTGGGCATGCCCCTCCCTCCGGGATTCCTGTTACCGACCGGTGAGAAGCCTCTGGTATGGGGCGAGGACACCTGCAGGGAGTTGGCGTTGGGGGAGTAAGGTCCGCCCCGTCCCCTGATGGCCGAAGGAGACTTGGAGGAGGACATGTTGAACGGGGACTTGTTCTGAGGATTGTGGTTGTAGTTGTTGAGACTGTTCGCTGGAGACAGCTTGCGGTGCTGGTTGGACGGAGGCGAGCTCACCAGGTTGTTGGTGGCGTTGTTAGGGTAGTAGGCTGGAGGGGGGTCGCGACCCTGGTAGTGGGTGTTGGCCATGGGGGTGGACTGACGACGGTTGTGGTACATGTTGAGCACGGTGCCAAATAACGAGTGACTCCGCTGTGGACGTTGAGATAAAGACAACATCAATCATTACCTGAAAAGTCTCAGATACAACATTTTCTTACAGTAAGATGAAAAACCACAAAGAAGGTACAAGATAGAAAGGTTAGAAGTAAACAAAAACACTATCATAGGAATAAGAAGGGGGATTCTCTTTTTATTTAATGACATTGTTGTTGTTGTTGTTGTTGTTGTTGTTGATATACAATACTGTATTATTTGAAAAAGGCAAGCAATGAGAGAATGTACCGATTCTTCCCAGATTTCTACTGCTCAGCACAATAAAATATGAACAACTGTTCAGCAACATTCAAAACATAAAAAACAAATTCTTGGACCCAAAAAGCTTTGAAAGCAACCAATATTTAATGAGAACTTACCCTATGATTTGGTTCATCATGCTCGAACTGTTCATTCTCGTCCATGCCCTCCAGATTGCCTGATATAGCCCTCTTGATCTGTGGTCCAATCTCATGCAGAGTTCTTAATCCAGCCTGGACAGTTTCAACAAATAAACACAAAGAAATGCACACTATATAATACCTCTTATAATGGTAACATCTATTAAAGGTTTGTTGCCTAGAAAGACTAATTATTCTTACTCTCTCTATATTGTTTTATATTTTCTTTCACATGTTGAGAGAAAAAATTGTTAATGCCATGGATGGCCCTTTTACATAATTTTCAGTAAATTTGTAAAATCCATTCGTTTATGTCAGAAATATTACCAAAATATGTTCTCCTACCTTTTGTTCAAATTTTCATTATTATTTCACTCCTGGCTACTAACAATATTTGAAACCATCAAGTTTTCTTAAAAGTAGCTTGAATCAGCTCCCAAAACTTTAACATTAAATAAACTCTACATTCTATATTGATAATAAATCATTTGTTTAATATCTGCATCTGCATGCATTTGGATGACTTTTAGCTACTTTTTGACAGTTATCCTTTGTTATACTGCAAACTAACCTGAAGTGCAAAGGTGCTGTCTGGTTGTCCCGGGATCTTCAAACCCTCTTGCTTGCGCTTCTTGAAACGACGGAAGTAGTCCTGAATCAGGAATGTTGCATAAAATTTGCCGACTGTCACATCATCATCGGCTGTAAACAGAAAGGAAAATAGTATAAGTGCAGATCGTTGATTCATTTTGTCTAACTCATCCATGAGATCAAATCAGCTTAATGCACATCTAAGTTGAATTTATCAATTAAATTTGACAACCCTGAAATATACATCTGTAATAGTAGAAGGATAATAGAAAAATGATTGGCCTTATGAAAAGGCATACACATTCTCCAAAGATAAACAAATTCAATTAGTAAAATTGTATTGTTTGAACAGATGACAAATATGTTGTCAAATTGAATGGAAGAAAATAAATGTTCATTAGAATTAAATTGAATTGCTTCCTTCAACTGTACTCCTTTTGATTTGAAAATCTATAGATAATACATGTATTTGTCTAGACATATTTTCTATCATACATTTAGCATATCAAGCACATATTTACATAATACCTTTAAACCATACAAGTCTGCATTGATCTTGTATTGAATGAAGACTAGGAGAGAAGTACTAAACACAAAGGAAGAAATTAAAAGAAGAGATTTACCCCCTGCTGGTGGAGCAACTTGGTCCAAGAGTTTAGTACTTGTCCTTTTCCAAATCTTCTTGATGACTGCTCTTAGCTCCTCATTACACTGATCTATATTACCTGTACACAGAAATAAGACAATATATAATCATTAGAATAAGATATTATCATCACCATAAGATAATAGCATAAGATATATCATCGGCATAAGGTATTATTTTAAGAAATATCATCAGCATAAGGTATTAGCATAAAATATATCATCACCATACGTTATTAGCATAATATATATCATCAGCATAAGATGTTAGCATAATGCATATGATTAGCATAAGATATTAGCATAATGCATATGATTGGCATAAGATTTATAATCAGCATAAGATATTAACATAAGATGCATTATCACCTTGAAATGCACACCATCTTAATATCTTTAATTTCTAAATGACTACCAACACAATCATTTAATATCAATTTCATTTTTTTTCTGGGTTTGCATATCAAAAGTTAAAAACATATTTTTGCCATTCACTAAAACAACACTAATAAAAATGACTTATTTATTAAGTACAAACTCAAAGTTTTTTTATTTTTTATAGAAAACTGCCATGATGGATTCCAGTCATGCCATCCAAAATTTGCATCAGAGTACAACATGCCCGTGATGTTAATTCTATACAAAGATCATCCAATTAAAAAAAAAATCATTAGACCAAAATCTGAATCTGAATAAGATTTGCTTTAATTCAGAGTATGATGTGTTTGGTGGTCTGATTTCCTACATTGTGAAATTGAAACATACTTTGAAATCAATATCACTTTTCATTGACATGACATACTTGTTAGTTTTAAAGGTAATCAAATGAGTTATAAGATGAAGAATGTGAATATAAATACCTTCTGTTTTTATTTTTAATGATGTTCTGATGAGTGCAAACAGTGTAGCGTTGAACATGACGGTACCATCACTATTGAGCGGCATATTCATTGTCACCAATCTCTGTAGAAATAAACAAGTCACATATGTATATAGCAATATTTTGAATAAATATGTTTCTGGATATTGGAAATATAATCTATATGATAACTTATTATATTCTTACTATGTCAAGTCCATGGATATTGTCTACAGATTTATTTTTCACATTATAACCCCCCCCCCCCCCCCCCCCCAAAAAAAAAAAAAAAAAAAAAAAAAAATTATGTTTTTCTGAAAATAAAATACATACAATCTAAATCAAACCATATCAGGAATGGAAGTTTGATTCTCCTCTCCTCTCCTCTATGAATAACTCATGGTATAGTGCAGCATATCTAACTTGTATTTATTACTTCAGTTGTTACACTTTGTTAATCTCCCTTTGCACCTCAGAATAGTTTACTAGATCGATGGCGCATTACAAATGCTGTAGTATTACACTTCATTAGTGATACTTTACTTTTTTTTTACATGATACAAATGTAACACCTAATCTCACATTAAATTTGAACCTAGATTCACTCATAGACAAGAACTTACCTTGCATGCAATTCTATGAGGGCAAAGTTTCCCAAAACCTAGGGGAGGGGATATGGAGCGTAGTAACGTCACTACATCTAAATGCTTGATACGACCCCTGCAGGAAAGAAAAAAAATGGGTAACGTCACAAAAGTTGAAGGAGCAATAATTATCTCACTGAAAAGATATTTTGCTTTACGTCAAATTACACAACGCTATAACTCAAGCAAAAAACTCAAGTGTAAAAATATCAACAAGGTTGAGATTAAAGTTTTTATAATAAAGAGGGCACCCATAAAAACCTTATACTTGCATACTACAGGACCTACCCCAAGAGTAATGGGCATGTATCTTTTGAACCTTCCCTCCCTCAAAAGTAAAACAACAAGTATGGAATGATATGAACATTTGCAAATATGTTTGTGAATATATATATATATATATATATATATATATATAGTTACAAAGCACAAGAAGATGATGAAGAGTGGAAAACATTGGATATAGACGGAGTTCCTTAGCTTGGAGTAAAATCACATGGGTATCATATGGGTATTTCTTATACTAATGATAAAGTATATATAATAAAAGACACAAAAGGAATTATCTTGTAATTAGACAAAGTTACATTGGACATGTATTGATTTGACTTACGTTGCGTCCGGGTCGAACTCTGACCATTGTCTGACAAATTCATCTAGATGGTGTGGTCCTAGAATCGACCAATCACGTGTTAGATAATCAAAATTATCCATGATGACAGCTACAAATAAATTAATGATCTAGGAAATAACAATCACAAAGAAAAAAATAAAGGTTAGAATATAACACAGGCATACAGACAGAATTGATTATTGAATGACAAGTCTACACTACTTTCTCCATTGCTATGCTATTACTACATAGATTTCTTTGCCACAGCAATATAATAAAATCATTGAATACTGAGAACCAGGGTAACAAGATAAACAAAGAATATACTACCACTATGGAAAAACTTTTCTTTCTTTCTAATCTTCAAATCCAATTTCGAAATCCAATTTACAAAACCAATTTACAAATCCAATTTCGAAATCCAATTTTTGAAATCCAATTTTTGAAATCCAATTTACAAATCGAATTTTTAGAGAAAACTGTAAGTCCTTTATATAGGCAATACACAATATGTTAACACCTATCATTAGTTAGATATAGGATTTTAAAAATTGTATGTGAATCACAAAGCTATCAGATGAAGATGTGAAAACACTCTTATAATTTCATCACCTCCTGCTCTACAAATTGAAACAATTTGAAAATTAAAAATATCCAAATACAATGGAAATTTTAAAACATGAAAGGACAATACGTACAAACTGTAAAGATAATTTGAAGAAGGACAAAAATAATTTCATTTTCTTGAAACTCTTTCTGTGCCAGAGGTGCAGCTTTGCACATGGACTAGTATTCTGGTTTGTCACAAAAGGAATTTAATACATGGATGTAATTTTGAGTCCTCCCGCAGCACTGATTTCCTTTGGTGAGACATATATTTACATTTTTTCCACTCTCCACCCAAGTGTAAGTAAGTGGGTACCCAGTAGGAATAAGTTCCCTGAACGCCTTATTATGGCGGCTCAGCAACAGCCGGGGTAATAATATAATACTTTGTATTTTAATAATGCCCAAACAAAATGATGTGTATTATTTGTTTTATAAGATTATGTTTTATTTGTTTCACAAAATGATGTTTTGTAAAAATGATTTTACTGATGATCGGTCATTAGAATTGGATAATGACCGGCCATTATCCAAATTATGCATTAGGCAACAGAAATGCATGGTCACATGTACGTTTTCAACCAATCATTTGATTAGGATCCACGTCATCATCTTATAATATAGTTTACTACTCACCAGGAATGAACAGATGGAGTAGAAAGAGATGAAATATACATAGGCAAAATTATTGCCACATATCTCTGTATCATCTCTTTGGCACGGTGCCTTGGGTGATTGTGAACATGCCATCATAATCTGTTGCCATGCTTCACCTGTAGCTGATCTGAACACATCCAAACAAGAATGACAAGAAAAATAAAAGTTTTAAAACATCAAGTTAGTCCAAGTGAAAGGCACAGGTATAGCGTTCTGGAAATACTTTTATCTTTAAATAATAACGATTATCTTCATAAATTAAGTGTGTCATTATACATTTGATTGCACCTTTTCTAATTGTCTGCACATAGGTCTTTGGTCTTCAATCAATGTTAAATAATCATAAATAATATGTTTAGACTAACCCACAAGATAACATTTATAAGAATGTGAAAAAATTAAGACGATACACCTTTATATATTATGTAACAACATGTATCAACAGAATTGATTGAATTCAATAATCTTATTTTTTCTTCTTTTTTCTTCTTTTTTCCACAATACTTTAGCACAAGAGATATCGTATCTAAGGAATGCTCACCTGAATAGCACCATTACAGCAGTGGGGAATGTACGGAAGTTATTATTCCGATTTAGAGCTCCATCCAACGATAGCTTGATTTTACCAAACATCTGTCAAACAAATGCAAAAAAAACATGTCAAATTTGGTATACATTCCAATGTATACTTCCATAGTCTGAATAGTCAATATTTCCATGATTGAAACTGATTTTTAATATAAGGTATAAAATTACATACTGTATACATGTCTATCATATCATTTTATTATCTAGTTTTGGTTTTCTACAAGAGAAACTAAACTAAGTTTTTACAAAAAAAGTAACATAGTGTCTGTAAAAAGCAGCTGTAAAAATCATCTTAATTTTGTCATCATGAATAATAATTACTTTTTAAAAATTATTATTAAAAAAAAAAGATTTGTTATATATTTGTTCCTTATCATCATGACATTCCCATTCATCCCATTTCATCTCACTATCATCGTTATCATCATTATCATCATCATTTATTAAAGTCATCATTTTCACTTTTACGAGGGTTTACTGACTTGCGCACCATGATGATACTCCCTCTCCCCACTTCTATATCATTATTAATTTTTGTCATCATTACAATTATCAATATCATTCTTTAGATAAAATAGCAAGACTTAGACTTCATTTACCTGCATTCCAATAACAGCATATACAAAAAACAACATGACGATTAATAACGCTACATATGGCAGGGCCTGTGACGGAATGAGAAAAAAAAAGGAAAAAACAAGATAGATACATTACAATCACGTTACATTTATTTCATCAAGTTACATGGGATATAACTTTTAATTTGAAATCAATTTACATACATGTCACGGTAACAAATTTCCTTTTATTTGACTTTACTTTAAAGGAAAATGTAAGTACGGAAGCAAATAACAATAACAACAAAACAACCATGTGAAGTCAAATTTCTACCCGACTTAATGTTTCTGGTCAGGAAAGTGGTATCTGACATCTACTTCCAATTATACATATAGTGAACACATTTAGTTACCTCCTGGATTAGGAGAGTCAAAAATATTAAAAGTTTGATTGAAAATGTAAGCATGAGAGTTTGAGAACTCCTGATGCAACGTCCAGAGGTGAGCAATTGCATAGAGATGTAGGGATGGGTGCATCAAGGTCACTGCAGTATCATTATTGCAACACAATTTTCCATGTAACTAGAAAGAACCCTGTTTAATGCTAATCTCTGTAGTTGATTGCCTATTTGAGCAAGAAAATAACAAGTTGAACATTGGCTGATTATAACTTGGTTCTATGACAGATGCTCTGGTGACAACATGAGGCATAATGCAGGCCTTATATCTACCGGTAAACCTATTCAATTCAATTCAATTCAAATGAACATTTATTTTCTTCCAAACAATACATTTATAAGTAGGAACATAAATATAATTAAAGAACTTGTATTACAAGGAAGAAGGCGTGAAACCTAACCTTACCTAAAGCCCAATAGCAACCATTATCGTATTACTTTTTGGATGAAATGAAGATCCGAGCACAGGACGCTAGAGCAAATATTGGATCGGCAAAAAAAAGTAGAATTGAGTTACCTGGAAAGACTTGATAAATGTCCACAGCAGAGTTCGAATTCCTTCTCCCCTGCTTAGGAGCTTGATCAATCTCATGACTCGAAACAACCGGAAGAAGTTGATGCTGAACTGCTTCTTCTCATTCGCCTGGAACATATCAAGTCAGGAACAAACCAGTATTAGAGGAAGACAGAAAACAAGAAAACATTATGAAAGTGAATTTATCAGGCAATAAAGGGAAGGTTTAATCTATATATTTCTTCTGAGGAAATGTAAATGTGGTTGGCTGTCTCCCTGAAATCAGTTTGTAACTTTGTATCCTGCTCTTTATCATGAACATTAATTTTCAACGGTCATCACTTATAAAAGATCATCAGATAATAATCTGTAAAACTTTAAATGCATGTTGCAATTTATGAATCATATTTTAAACACTTCTATTAACCATTACCATAAAGTAATTTGTAAGAATAGAGTTATTATAGTATGCTAACACTTCTATTAACCATTACCATAAATTAATGTGAAAGAATAGAGTTATTATATTCTGGTCTATCCAGACTACAGTAAGTGATCATATTTTTTCATGCTTTACATTTCTGTAAATAAGGAGTACAAGACAGGCCACAAACAATTGCACTTAAATGGTAGAAGTGCAGGTTTTACAGTCTTTTCAATAAAATTCCATGGGATTAAAATCCTAAATTTGGTAAACCTAGCAGTGTCAAGAAACAGGGCAGTGCAAGATTGGTACAGTACCTAAAAATCATCCTATGGAAGTGTATAATAACTTGGAAGTACGGACCTCTGATTTTCTGTGCAGGGTAAATAGGGATCTATTTAGATTGGTTAACTTGCTTCTAGTATGTAAAGGCATAAATGCAATATTTTTAAATTGTGCCCTTTCTCTGTTCTTTAAGCACATAGTGACTTTTGTTATGTTAGTGATACAAGCTATATCAGCAATGCTCATCATTTATATTATTATTATGATTAATATTAGTATAATTTTTTCGGGGGAGAATTATTATTTCAGGATTTATTATTTCATTTTGTTAATCATTATAATCATTATCATTATAGGGTCCTAATACATGCTATAATTTGGCATCCATTTACTCTAGATATTCAATGATCTTTTTTTCCCCCTTCTATATGATCATCAAATTTCATCAGGCGGATTTCAAAGTCTACAGATATTTCATCTAATTGTTTGTCATTATTTCTTATCAATAAAAACATCCCTTACATAAGTACTCTTCACTCTTTAAATTCAAATGCATGAGAAAGATATGAACCCTTTTTTTTTTAAATTTGACAGTAATATATTTTCTGCAATTAGTATTTAATCAAGATACATTAAACTTGGTTCTATTCAATATAGATTAAAGTATTGATTAATTCTGACTTTAGACATGGATTTAAGTTTACAAAACTTGTTATCTTAATACATTCTGTTAATTTGTTTAGTTTTCGTAGTATAGCGGGATAGATTTAGACACACTTGGAGGGATATCAAAATAGTGGAAAGACCTAATGTCTAAGTTTGAAATTTTGAAATTTATGAGCCTAAAAATCATCTAATTTAAGTAACGTACTATAAAAATGGTTACCAATCCCCCTACTCAAATGACAGCATCACTACACCTTGTTTACCTCCACTTTACTTCCATCTCTCTCTCTCTCTCTTTATATACTTGTCTGTCTTTCTCTTTCTCACCCCCCCCCCCTCTCTCTCTCTCTCTCTAACTCTCTCTCTCTATCACACTCTGTCTTTCTCATCTCCTCTCTCTCTCTCTCTCTCTCTCTTTTCTCTATTTTATCTCTCTCTCTCTCTCTCTCTCTCTCTCTCTTCTTTATTTTTTTCATGTACAGAAAGTTTAGTCCATAGACAAACAATGGATATTCAGGTACGGAAAAACAATATCACTATAAATTAAAACCAGCTAAGAGCCAGAAAGGCGTCAAATCCTTTCAATTTACTTAGGGTCGACTCCCTTCTGGCCCTCAGGAGGTCTATACATGTCAGGATTATTACAATGTCGAGGTCTATCTAGGGGGGTCTTATACTAGTGTCTTAGTATGCAGTAAGGAAGGATGTTTGTTTCTGTGCATGTTCTCTCTTTCTGTGCAAATTTTACTGATTATAATAAGCTTTTCCAGGAAGGTGTATCAATTCGATGGGATTAAAGTTTCACAATGCACCTAATATTCATCATAGAGACTTGGGGTATAAATACCTACTCAATCTCGGTTGAGGTCTGGTGTAAATTCAAAATGGTGCTGGGGACTTTATTTCTAAATATGCTATTTATAGGAGTGAATTAATAAGGGTTTCGGTTACGTGTAATTTTCATTCTGTATAAGCTATAGTGAAGGTGAAAAATTAGTATGTGCAGAATATAGAGTAAGTTTGAGAGGGGATAAGTCTTGAATCATTTTGACATTTACCGCTGTAACAACCTGCGAAGGATACATCCCCAAAACCACACGTAGCCGCCGAAATGATGAAAAAAAGAGATGAAAAAAAAAGGAGAGATTTTAATAATTTAAATGTCTCTTCAGTAAGTGATTAGAAAGTTATATGTATGTCAGACTTCCATTTCAAACAGCACTTTGACAACACAGAAAAATACACTCACGTTTGTGAACTGTCACAATAATAAACAGAATACGCTGCTTTTCATTATCATGCATATGTGCTTATTGCAATTGAATCATTCCTTCATATTTCTTTCATTGACTATGTACAAAGTCAAGCAGAAGATACTTATAGGCTCTTAAATTCCATAAATTTGCTTAGAAATATATAATTTTGATGATTGTTATATTCATTTTTCCAGTAACAAAGACTATAACTTTGTAGCAAGTGAATGATCTCAATTTTTTTCCCTTTTCAAGCACTCACAATTTCTGATTCTTTATGATTAGACCTTCATTTTTTTTTACTTGAAATATTTCTTTTAATTGTTTTCATGATAATTATGGCTAATAAATTTGCTCTCCTTTTATTTTAAACAGACAGTTTGAGCTTTGATTAATGAAAAGAATATTCTTCATGTTGCAGAAAGGAAAAATTGCTTAGAATTTATGCTTGAATAATGCAATGATTGCAAAAGTGCATGTATTTAACAACTAACTGGAAAAATTGAATACTTAGAGTGAGTGAGATACAAAACAACATACATTTATACAAACACAACATCAAGTGTATACATCTGTTAAAGGCTAGGTGGCAGAAATTTATGTCTACACTTGCATAACAATTGTTGATTTATTTGATATTTTTGACAATGTGCAGCCAATTTTCTACAATGTTACAAAACATGAATATATCTGAATTTGTGAACAATGAGGACTATCTTTTCATAAAGGAGATTAATCCTTCCAATCCAAGTAAAGGACTTAAAATTGTAACTAACATTCTAGTTTTAAACTTGAGTTCCATAGCAACAGTTTACATAATCAAAGTACTACATGGGGAAACCAAATCACATGAAGTCTAACTAAGAAAATAGTTAAATTCGCACTACTCCATTTTTTCCTTATTATAAAAAAACATATATAAAACTAACTTATCTGCTCAATAAGTATCTAATAAAAACACACCACACTATTGCCTGAAAGGCTCCGATAAAATCTCTGCCAACTTGTAACGGCTTACAAAGAGAGTGAGAGAGTGAACATCAAGATTGTGCAGAGAAAAATTTCACAAGAATCACTGAAAATCAACGAAACTGAACTAAAAATAACAAAATACCAGTAATCTACGCATTGTAGACTGGAAACCAGCTTTTACACAAAAGTGGTGCTGCTAAAGTTTTTGCAACTGTGCAAACTATTACCAGCTTTTTGTGCAGTAACTAAACACTTTTTAAAAGAAAAATATAAAACTTCTCTTTCTTCTTAGAAGTAAACTAATTGAAATATTGGATAAAAGAGAAAGGTGTGAAGTTTGGCTGCACAAAGTTGATAAGGAGAGAAAGAGAAAGAGAGAAAGAGAGAAAGAAATAAATAAAGAAAGAAAGATAGATAGATAGAGAGAGGAAGGAAAGAGAGAGAGAGAGGAAGAGAGAGAGGGAGAGAGGAAGAGAGAGAGGGAGAGAGAGAGAGAGAGAGGGAGAGAGAGAGAGAGAGAGAGAGAGAGAGAAAGACAGAGAGAGAGCATAGGCTAAGATTTACGTTGAAGTTGCAGTGTTTGCCTTAAAGTGCACATGAGTAAAAGGGAAAAAGAAAGGCTTACTTTCCCCCTTATTTGTGTTCAATAAAGAATAAAAATTGTATGTTAATATATCAGTTTATCATACATGATGAAACATCTAGTATTGCAGATAAATAGTATGATGCACAAGTAATCAGCTCACAGATTTTCCTTGCAATTCAGTGTTATTTCAGATTTACATCGTAATATAACATTTCAAACTGTTTATACGATGCCCTATTTGCAAGTAATATTTATAAAAATAAGCTTATTGTAAAAACTACTCTCGTGGGAGAGAAATGATTTTGATGTTGATGAATAATGAATATAATGGAATGAGAAATGGCTTGTCGCATCTCTAGAAAATGAAACAAGTTAAAAAGCAAAGCAATAAGTAGAAATAAACTCCCCAAAATAAATTATGAATTATGAACATATAACATTTGCCCCTCCCCCCCTCCCCGATACATTACACTAGTCACAGAAAAGTATAATAGGAGCAACTCACTTGAAAAAAATATCAAAAAATATAAGAATGTAAGGCTTAAAGTGTTCATGATCTTTTTCACTATAGACTTTGAAGCATTTTCCACTTAAAATTATTATAATTTTGATCTTCATTAAGTTCCCAGCCAAACAATACAATTAATTAAGGAGGCAAACAACATGCAAATTTCGAGGAAGGGGGATAAGGCTTAAAGAGGGGGCAGCAGGGTGGGGGAGCGGGAGGTGGGGTACCATGTACCAGGGATGATCCATGCACTAGGTGGCAGTAGGTTAATCCAAGAAATATCAATCGGGTAAAAGCATATCAGTACATGCATGACATTCAAACGTAATAGCCCACACCACACATATAAACTATGATAGGTATACACACATAATATAATCATATCAGGAAAATCGGAGAAGCCATAATATGTTCTCAAAAATTAAAGTAACATCTTCCAAACAGCTTAAATTTTTCTGAAGAAAATAGCTGTATATATATATATCTTGAGAATTTAAAAAAATACTTTAAAGAAAAGGAGATAGAGACAATAAATTGATAACTCAAATAAAAACTAAGGGTTCCAAATAAACAAAAACTGAAATAAAACAATTGCTAAGGGTTGGGCTCTTCAATCTGTATTTTGGAAGCATCACTGCAATGATATGTAACATGCAAGTTTAGCCCTTCTATAAAGTTCAATTTGAATATTAGCCGTTCAGAATATGAAGGGATATAAAATCTTACATAAATTTGAATTTCCAATAACTTCATCAGAGAAACAATAGGAAAAAAACTATTGCTATGAAAGGGGTAATAGGGCTGCCTATTTATTTATCCACTACAAATCACTTCACTTAAGCAAAGGAAAACTCAGAACTAAAATCACTCAAACCTTTAAAATAAATGAAAATTTGAGAGCTGTGCAAATATCAGAGAAAAGGTGCATCATACGCACATATAAATAGAACACTACAATTACCATTGTCAATACAACAATGTTTAAAAGAAAAAAAATACATTGAAACATTGTCACTATCAAGGCGTGTTTGATATAGTGAAGACATTTTTTGGACTTCACTTCATAAGCTTTATCTTTGAAATAGTCTGGATAAAACCTTTTCCGGGTTTTAGTTTTGATACATATTAGCTAACTTAAGTTAGCTGCTCCCCGACTAATTTTTAAAAATCAACAGGAAAAAGTCTTTAAAGTTTCCCCCAAATTTGACAAATCAAAAGGGGCATGCAAAATCTCAAAAAAAAATATAGACAAGAGTGGATAATTTTTAAAAGAAAAACAAGGAAATAAATGCACCAACCCTCTGTTTTAGTTGAATTAGTATGGCATGGTTTGATTGGTCATTCAAGCCGGGAGATGGGTAATATATGGACGGGTTGCCAATTTGGTAAGGATTTCGGTAAGGGTAAAAAAATAAACAGAACAAAAGAAAAAACAAGCAGGATTTATTATCAATGTTAGTATTTGCTAGATGATGATCGTCATAGCTGTTATCATATTTAATTTGAAAAGACTTTAATGAAATATTCATTAGTTTATTAGTGGGATTTTGTACATGCACATACAAGGTTTATGGAAAACATAGTTAAATGCTACCATTGATATCCTTTCTATTTCCTGATATTCCAGCAAGCCTTAATTTAGCACATTTTCAGTCTTTACAAGAAATCACAATTAAATTACAATGAAATGGGATAATCACATTTCTATTTTCTCATTTCATTTTTTAAAAACTACTAAACCAGTTGTACTTTGCTATATCACACATTTCAACAAGCTAAAATACTAAAAGTGTTAGAAAATACCCATTGTATAATCAAGATCAAATACCAATCAAATTAAGTTATTATATAGAACAAAGTCTGCCAGCATTCTACCATTTCTACTACAACTAAATACAAATACAATTAGAAGAGAACAAATAAAATGGCACAAGATCTTCAAATAATTTGTGTTATCTTCAGATTAACATTCACATATTATTCTGATTTAGTCATACTCTGAATTTATCAAATATTGTATAGTTCCTGTCTTTAAATATAAACAAATATATTGCTAAATAATTAGAAAATATATATTCCCAGCACAGTCTTCAATACTTTGAATAGAAAATTCTGAATGTATATTTTACTATACTACATAAAATACCCCCCCCCCCCCAATAATGGCTTGGAAATGAGAATCTCTTATGGACCTGTTAATTTAAGGAAAAGAGCCTTTCTTTAATGTTTCATAGTGTTGCTATATATGAGCAATGAAAATAGAGAAACCCCAGACTTTGATGTAGTATTTCAAAATGCCTAGAAACAACCATTTTCTTATAAGACATTAACTTATCTTTGAAAGGATTCAATGTAAATTGATCTCTAAATATATTTCTAATACTTGAAGGGTTCACATGCAGTATAAACAAGATCAGACGGCATTTGCATATCTATATGGTCTATAGAAACCAAGCTGTTATTAAGTCACAATGCATCTATAATTTCTTGTGGTTTGTTGCAATATTCCCTTGGTAAATTGATAATACACTGTTATCAGGCACATGGATTGGCTCTACTAATAAAATCCCATAAAAGTAGATTAAATTAGCATATCAAAATCATGATTTTCACACACCCCATGGCATTTTTTGTTGTTAATGATTTATATTTAATGTCCCTTTATGCTTTTGCGTTTTAATGTGCTGGACAAAAATTTCATATAATTTCTTCCGAAAACTTCTTACAACCTAGATAACAATCAATATAGTATTAATTATACATATATTCAAGTGGTCCCACAATTCTGGAAAATAGGAAAGTTGCCACTTTGACTATTATGAATTTTTTAAGGACTGTTTAATGTATGTCCCATTTGAAAATGAAGAAAAAGCATCCCATTTATGAAATCTAGAAACGAAATTGCCAAGAACAATGAATGAAACCTCTATCTTTCTCATTCCTGAATTAATCGCATGAATGCAAAGTTCTGCTCACTAATCTAAATTGATTCTCTTCTCATTACTCTACTTTAGGAAATTATTACAAAAATGAAAATTTGGGTAAAGAAATAATAGAAAGAAATGTATACTCACACTAAACATGTCAATCATTATATCTATGATGCTCCCTAACACAATGATGAAATCAAACGCGTTCCAATAATCCCGGAAGTAATTCTGTAGAAAATGATAAAAGGAACAACCATTTATAGTAGTGTTCTACACAAGCAGCAAAGCAATAAGCATTTTCATGTTATATAAATCTATTAAATGATTTCAAAGGTTTTGACTTGTACTGTAATACATGTGAACTGCCAACCAGGAAAGTGGGAAGGAGAAAGAGAGATTGGGAGTGAAAGAGGGAGAGAGGGAGAATAGAGAGTAAGTTTTAACTATTATTATCGTTATCATTATCATTATTATTAGGATTATCAATAATAATAATATCATCATCATCATCATCATCACCATCAACATCAACACCACCATCACCACCATCATCTTCATTATTATTATTATTAAATAGAGTACACTGGAATATATACTAGTGTGAATGCATATTGGTATTTAGATGGATAAACTTAGATCTTGTTTGAACATAACAATACCTAGAACAAAACTTAAAAACTCAAATTTCTGAATACCTGTCCATAAACCCCAAATATCCATGATCAAATGATAAAGGTTTTACTGCTCTATAATAGGAAATAAATGTTGGGAAAAGCTTAGACAAGATCACATGTTGTACGGGATCAATATAGACCAACCTTGGGCTTGTATGCAATGATCTTGAGTAGAAACTCAACGGTGAAAACCGCTGTAAACACAATGTTCATGTAGTCCAACACATTCTTGTAGGCTTCCGTTTGTGTGCGATACTTGAAGGGTGAAAATACAAAACATATTAAAGAAGCACAAGGAAAAAACAAATTACATGAAATATCTCATACTTCAAAGTAAAAACAAAGCATCAATTAAATTGCATGTAAGTGCCGTCCATTTTTCATCATTGCCAATGAATACATTTCTTTTTGGTTAAAAGCAGATGAAATTATCTAATCATTCAATTTCCCCTTCTAATCCCCTTCAAACATCCCCACCACACAAAGCTAGACCTTGAATAATAAAACTTATGAGCAGAACAGTAAACTCAAGACGTTTTAACCTTTCTCTCTCAGAGTATACCATTCTTCAGAACTAATGATTATATCTGATGATAAAAGAGGGTATTTCCTTACTGCAAATATACATGAATATTCAGCAGATGTAATGTTAAAATATGGATGTGCACATGAACAAAACAGAAAATCTTATTTACTGTGAGCCACTAAGTGTACAATCGAATAACATAAATGAACTTTAAAAAACCCATTCAATTATTTAGATACCTTCCATTTTAATAAAGGAGCAACATCCACAGGGCATGAACTTATTTCTGTATAAGGAAGAATATCAATAACAATATTGGTATAAATATATATGGTGTATTTAGAAACAATCACAAACAATATAAATCTAACATTAACATTGCTAGATGGAATATACCACCCAAGGCACAAATAGTAATTTCACATTTAGGAGAGAGAATGCGGCATTCAGACTTACCTTCATGGCAAGAATAATGGTATTAACCATGATGAGAACAAATATGAAGTACTCAAAAGCCCGAGACGTGACAAGCTTCCAAACTAAATGTTGCTTTGGATTCTTGGGGATGTACTTCCGCACAGGTTTTGCTTTGAGGGCAAACGCTAGACAATTTCTCTGTTAACAAAATAGATAAAAAATTCATTTGATTGTTTATCAATGCACAGTATAAAAAAGTAGTTCCGTCTTATGAAAAGTTGAGATTGATCGATCCAAATCGGTTGCAACTCAAGCTTGATATCAATCGCGGCTTGGTGCATGAGAGATAGAAGATTGTGACTATTTCATTGATTAGAGAACTTGGAATTGATTTAATTTGGATAAATGGAATTTATTTAATTCGGATAAATTGAATCTCTTTGGAAAACAAGGCCCATGTCATTTGTACATCATGGCTAAAAAAGATCACCAACTTCATTCTACTTATTAAAATCATTTTAATATGTCAAACTCTAGCTGATATTACCTGGCTCTGAATCAACTGAAGTGAATTTAAATGGCAATTATGGCAGGAATGTCCTTTGGAAAGGCATAAATCTACATTTGCCACTCCATACCCAGGATGCGAATTTTTTTTTCCTACGAACTTTGAGCTCGCGAGGGGAACCTGCGCATGCGCACTCGCGAAGGAAACCAGCGCATGCGCACGTGGAATCCGGTAGGGCGGTCAATAGGGTGATAGTAATTATACAAAGCAATCTTTCATCAACTCATCGTTAGCTCAGTCGGTAAGGACAGCGTGTAACTAATAGAACCTTGGAGTTGCCGTGAGGGTTCAAATCTCAGTTTATTTAGTTTTTTTACCTTTATAAATAGTGAGGCAAAGCAATAAATAATCAAAGTCTAATTGTTTGTGACCTCTTTGCATGAGTCAAGTATAACAGTTCGTATGTGAGCATGCGCCAGGTATAAAAGTTCGTAGGAAAAAAAAGTTCGCACCCAGGACAGATATGATGGCAATTTTTTATTTTTTTTAATTTCATATAATACAAAAAAGTCTTTATTTTTCTTCTACTGAGAACCACAAGGGAATTAACTCATATGCAAAGTTGTAGGAACCTTCTGGCAGTCAGAAAGTGATATACATAAATCATCACCTGATTTTTGTCTAGTTCACAATTCTTGTATTCTTGCTCTCCCTCATTCTGGAAGGTGACAATGACGAAACCCACGAAGATGTTGACCATGAAGAAAGCGATGACGATGATGTACGCAAAGAAGAAGACCGCTACAGGCATGCGAGAGCTGTGCACTGGACCCTTATCATCCTCGGTAGAGTCTACAGCCACATACAGAAGCCTGATGAAAGAAACAGTGTATGTTAAAGGCATCGTACAACAATGTTAAATCTGAGATGCACGGCCCTACGTGCTACCAATGTCTGTGATGTAGTGTAATATTGAAGCCCTAAAATAAAATTGTGTTTCAAAATGATCAAGAAGTGCCTCAAAAAAGTAAAAATCTTTGAGCGACACGGTTTTACCATACTCATTTTCCCAATAGACTGTACGTGTTATGAAAACTGTTTGGCAAATGCAAAATTTGATTTTCAACCATAAATATCTTGATAAAAGTCTTGTAAAAGTCATGGGGTTCCTGACTGACCTAAAGGTTTATAATTACCATTGCAGCATGAGCTAAATCAAGGATATTTTTAAAGGATCTAAGACAAAGTTACAGGATCCCTTTAATAGAATAAGAACAGTCAAATTTGTATATAAAGACTGTTTGAGGTAGACAAGCAAGCCAAGACAGACTCAAAGAGGTGGCGTTTATGTACAATTTCCTTTAGAACAAACATCTAGAACCATTATTAAATAGGGACAAAAATGTGCTCTTAACAGACAGGTAGTTTTTTATAAATAGGTAGTCATTAAAGCAGGTTGCCATATATATGATGTTCACATCATATACATTTGTTATTGAAAACAAACGTATAACACAATAAGCAAGTACAAGGATGAGTGAATACATAGAATGACAAAATATTACATTTTAGTGAATGAATAAAACTGAACCCGTAAATTAAGGTGTTCATTTATCATAGGACATCTGTTCATCGTATAATGTCATTTTTTATTTACAATTCATATAAGGTATAGCTTTGAAAGTGAAATTCATTTGAAATAACAGATATCTAAACTGGATTGCATTTTCTAAGCTTTATACAAAATGTTCTATTGTTGATAGAACATGTAATTATAAGAGAACATAAACAATGGATATCAATCTACATTAAAATCAATAATTCAAATAATTCTTCAAGAGAATACAAAACAAAACAAACTTTTGTTTGTGAAAAGAGGAATGATTCTTACTTTGGCCAACCTTCAAACGTTGCGACGGTAAAGAGAGCCAGCATAGCATTTCCTACATCATTAAAGTGGAATTCATTCTTACTCCATACACGCTGTTCAACTGATACTTGATCCAAGTCTCCATTCTTGTATACAAAATAATGACCTCTGTGGATGAAGGATATCAAAACAAACATTTCATGGTAAACAGAATCAGATGAATTCAAGTATGGAAAATGAACTCACTGGAAATCCTTCTACAGAAAAAGAAATCAAAATGATAATTACTACTACTTATAATAAATGATAATAAAACTACATATATATTCTGATTGGCGTCCAATTTGTTAATTTTTAGGTGGTTACTTATTGGAATTCTCAATATTATAGTGCATACAGCAAAAATTTAATAATGTCCCAGTATTAAAGCGGGTGCTGCTTCGAACGATTAGAGAGAGACAGAAGAAATAACTTGGACACATAATGTGGCATGACAAAGGCTTGATGATCAGAGTCATAGAAGGTCATATACTTGGAAAGAAGAAGAGGGGAAGACCTCGTAAAGGCTTCCTAGACGATGTAATCACAGAATGTGGAGCAACAGGGTATGAAGCGCTGAAACGGATGGCTCAAGACAGAGGAACTTGGAGAGACACTTGGTTTCTCACATTGGGTCACTGAACCTGTCAGTTTATGACAAATCACTATTGATGATTAAAAACTATAATGATAATCTGTTTAGAAACACTTTAAAATTTCATGTTTTAGGCGAGTACTTACTGACAGTCTTCCTCATAGAGCTTCGAGGAGTCGTTACAGGAAAAGAATCTTCCACGGAACAGTTGCACCCCAATGCAGGCAAACATGAAGACTAGGAGCAGTGTAACGAGCATGATGTTCCCTATCGTCTTGATGGCCACAAACACACACTGAACCACGTGCTGTAAACAACAACAAGATGATGTTGATAATATAAATAATGATAATGACAATAATGATAACAAATAATTACGTTCTCACAGAGACCTTTATTTATATCAGTAATGTATTTTCATAATTTTTCTTTCCTTTGAAGCAGAACAATGCTAAATAGGTAGATTTCCCTTAGAGTCTTATCACTACTTGCGTACCACATATCCTTGCCTGATAATATAAATAACGATAATGACAATAATGACAATAATGATAACAACAAATAATTACGTTATCCCGGATACCTTTATTTATATCATGTATTTTCATTACTTTTCTTTCCTTTGAAGCAATATGCTTAATAGGTAGCTTGCCCTTAGAGTCTTATCACTTCTTGCTTACCACATGTCCTGGCCTTAAAATTAACAGAAAAGAATATAAAGCTTTGTTTGACTACTGTTACTTTTGTGACAAGAATATGTTGCAAATTCGTACAGATTTGTTGGCAGCAACAAACTCTTGTGAATCTATTCCACTCACATTGTGAAAGTGCTATGGATGTGATTATATGTTTGTTTTCTCTGATCCTAATTAGTTGATATGCTTTCATGAAAGTGTTAAATTACTTATATTATATTCATATTCATATTTATTTCATTTCCAACAGAAAGGTAAACAAGGATATTACATTTTTTTTCATACATAATTCATTTTTCAAGAAACTATACAAATAAACTTTGCACATAATAAAATTATTACAAGAAATTCTTAATTTCTGAGGAAATGGGTTGAAGGGATCAACAACATTTTGGAAAACTCCTTTGACGATAAAAAAAAAAAAGCTTGAACGTAATAGAAAGCTGGCGTTTCGTACCTTAAGCCCCTTAGCTCTGTTGATAGCTCGAAGTGGCCTAAGAACCCTGAGAACTCTCAGAGTCTTCACTGCAGAGATTTTCGTATCACTGAAACAAAATCAAACAAGTCAAATGATTATATCTAAAGATAAAGATATAGAATTTAAAAAAAGTTCTAAACCACTACAAATTAGAAAGTTACGCTTATAATTTTTGCAAGTGGTGCAAGAATTGCCCATTATACTTTTAAAAAAACTAAAGATAGGAGACATATTTTCGAAACTATTTCCAACTCAGGAGACCAAAATACTGTATTCATTACTCTGTTGTTTAAATAATTGATACAAAATATGATCTCTTAACTGACTAAATTATAAAACATTCTTCTTTGACAAAGGTCTCCCGGTTGAGGAAATAGGTTACAAGAATTAACCTACTTCTAAAGAGAAAAATATTGGAAAGAAATGAAAAACTATTTCAACTGAGTTTGAAGACGAATGATCCCTGGTGTATACTTACTCGAATATGATTGAAATGTAGGCTACAGTTACAACTAGCAGATCCAATAAATTGAAAGAGTTACGACAGAAGGCACCTTGATGGAAAACAAGTCCATAGGCAACAACCTTAGAAAAGAAATGAGACAAGGAAGACAAAATGTATTCAGTGAGCTGTGATATCATGAAAATAAGTTAATACATCTAAAAAATATCAGCTATTATGGTCTGACTAATAAATAAAGGTTTCCAGTGTTCAAACTTGCATAAAAACAGCTTTTACAAAGTCATGATCATAAAAAATCCACCAAAATCATATTTCACGAATAGTAGATAAATTTATCACAAATAAATTATCAGAAGATATTCAAACTAAAATCATGTGAATGGTCAATCCTCTTTATGGTTTATCAGTCATTTGAGTTGTGATGCTATGAGTGTTAAACTTAATGTAGCTATTAACCAATGTTTATTTTGTCGCTCAAAGGCCAGCTATATGGTACCTACCTTTAGAAGAATTTCAATTGTAAATATTGAAGTAAATCCGTAATCAAAAAGGCTCAATATCTGCAGACATAAAAAGAAAGGAAAAAGAGAAACAGTGATATATTGAATTGAATAAGTTCACTTTAATTCAATAACTATCATATATGAAGTGCATGAGACCAAATTCCCTAATTCTTTGATATAGGGAACACAGTAGATAATGTTTATTTCCTTCTATTTATAAACTGAAACCTAATTATCATTACCATGTCCACATATCAACTGAACTAATGAAAGAATGGATATCAACAAGGACTTTATTACCATAACATGGTACTGTAACTCAGTACGAGTCAAAGTTGCAATACAGAACTCTAAAGCAGGACAACATGAAATAGCAATATGACAATACAACACGACAATCAAAGTTCTTTTAATGAAATACAGGTTTTCATGTTCATGTTGTGTCTTGTGATGTCTTGTGTTCCGTCATAAAACAATTTAATGTCAGATTATATATCATGTCAAAATTAATTACACTGTCTCTTTAAAGTTCACATAATAAATGTGTACAACAGCATTATTGTTTATTTTCTACAAAACGGTTATAACACACATTTTGAATTTTTTTACGTTGATGTTCTGACAAATCAAGATAAATAAAATATAAAAATTCATGACAATACAAAAAAACTATGACCAGGGAGGCAAGATCAATGAAACTAGGAAGTTAATAGGCCTGAGACGTTACATAATACTTACATAATTTCTCCTTTTATCTTCATCGAGTGGATCCTCAGCTGCCAACATAGTGCTGCTTATGAGGATAAGAACCAGCACCACATTGGTAAAATAAGGATGATTCACGAGGTTATAACACAAACGACGAAATCTGCAAAGAAAAAAAACAGTGGATTAGTAAAAAATAATCTCTTGGTAGAAATGAAATTGAGTATCTTGACTGATAATTTTTTGCTCTGTTTTGTAGAGAAAAAGCAAGCTTTGTGTATTTAGAAGTAACTAGCCTCAAAACTTTGCAAATCAGTGATATGAACTCTACTGTAATCTATAGGATCATCAATTGGGAAATGCAACTAATTCTCTCTCAATTCTCTTGTTTCATGTTTGTGCATTAAAACTTGGTAAGAGTATCAACGACATTTTGTCCATTGACTAAATCCATCCAACCATATGCCAACTAAATGCTTTTGTTATTGCAACAAAATTTCCTTCATTCCACGCACAAAAATTACACTATACATGAATGTACCTTCACTTTGTAATCACTGTAAACATTGGAAAATAAATTGAGATTTACGATTAAAAGCTTACAAGAGTTGTAAATCTTACCTATTTGTGTTGGAGAATACAAAAAGGGAATTTGCTTTGGGTATGGGTCTTGTTTTGGTGGGTATGTTGATATTTGAAAGCCTCCTTGGTCTAGCGGAAGCTGTTGTTAGAGACTCTGCTTCTTCTTCTTCTTTGTCATCTTCATCTGTAAAATAAAAAAATATAAATAACGTCTATCAAGATGACAAGAATAAATAATTCATACAGCGTCATCCCATTCTTTTAATTTGGGAAAAGCATCCAGTAATTTAAAAAAAAACTCCATCTGCAGCATCAAAATGCAAAAAGGGTCTGATATCAAATGGAATTATCTTCATAATTGATTAATTACAAAAATATTTAATCTAAAAAATAAATAAATAGACTAATACATAATGAATGGTTAGATAATAAAAGGTAGATAAATGTATATAGATAGACAGATAGACATGAAGAGACAATTAGATAAGTAGATAGGAAGATATGTGAAAAGATAGACAGACAGACAGAGAGATAGCCAGATAGACAATATTTTACCTGGTTCTTTCAAAGATTTCTTCACATCATCTTCATCAATCACCTGCGTAGGATTTAAGAAATAAAATTCAAGTATAAATACAATCGTAAAATAGTGGCATCATTTTTGTCAAACTAATTTTAAATGAATTTCAGAAATTACCAAAGGTTTTTGTAACATCTTCAGACATTATGATGAATAAAGTATATGTGGTGTGCTATCGAATCCAAGGGGCACAGGAGACAGAGGGGGCATTCTTTTTTTAATTTTGTTTACTTGTCATAATGAATAAATACTGTACCAGCTAGAGCATACATCTACTCTATAACAATAACTGTTTGTATGCAATATTTGTATTACGTCAGAGAGTGTGGTGAATTGTAGGATAGAGTACACTTCCTTTTACATTTTGTATTTTTCCATTGAAAAATAAATATAAATTGAATGATACTCACATTTACGTTTTCTTCACTATCTTGTGACCTGGAAGGGAAGAAAACAATGGAAAACTAGCTCTGTGAGCATATATTCTTGAAGATTAACAAAAAAACAGATAATCTTAAGAATGTACAATTTTAATTTATAATACTGCTACTGGAAAACGCATCATAAATGAAACATTTAGAGGTTTGGTGCACTACAACAATAAGTAGCACAAAGGTATATATACACAGAAATATAAATTCTATGTATTTACCAATTATAAGTACAAATTCTATGTATTCACCAACGATACAGATAGTAAATTGAAAAGCAGTGTTTCCAAGTTCCAACTGAAATTTCTGGTAAATATGTGGGTGCAATTGGCTTTTACTTGATCAATTCAATACTTGACTTCTATTTTGACAATACACATACCACTCACATCACCACGCTTCATTCTTTCACACAGCAAATGATGAATAAAAATGAGATTATATCTTACTTGCTTTTATGATTCAATGAACCATCTGACTCTTTACCGAACGCAGCTTTCCTCTTCTCCTGTAACCTCTTGGGTCCACGGATGACTCCCTTGGGGTCAACACCAGGGGGCAGCTGCTTGGAGAGGTCAAACTCGTTGGCTCTCCTGATGGACTTGTTCCTCTTCTCCTCCTCCTTCTCCTTCTCTAAGGCTGTGAGGGATTCGGCATCGGCCAGGTTGTCCACGGCAATGGCCAAGAACACGTTGAGTAGGATGTCTGGGCGGAGGCAGTCCCAAGTCAAGGAAAGCTAGTACAGCATTCTCATGGTCATAAAAGAAACTACTTGATGCCCAACTATATAAATTTGTAGGGCTTATGACATATTCTTCAACCATGTTATAATAATACTACTAATATTGGATAATTATATAGCGCATATATCCACCATGTATGGTGCTCAAGGCGCTCCAATTATTACCCTGGCTCTGCTAGGCAGCCGATTTCAGCATTCAAGGAATTCCTTCCTACCGGTACCCCTTTAATACCTGGGTGGAGAGTGGCAAATGTAATTTAATGTCTTGCCAAAGGACATTATAAGGTCAAGATTTCATACTAGCCAAATTCCATGTTACTTCAACCCTTGACCAAACACTATGTAAAACCCTAACCCTATTGCTAACTGAAAACCAAATTGACCTAAGACCAGACCCTATATAGATGCATTTTGATGAAAGAAAACCTGCACCAACTGTCAGATCACCATTATCTGTAACTTCGATCTGCATCATACATGTATAGGTATGTACATACTTATCAGAAATATTTTTTAAAGATACAGCACATTATGGAATAAATCCTTCTTTAGCAGTATCAAATAGATTTCACATCTTCGAACCAAGCTTGATTTAAACACTAACAAATATATTAACGGGACATATGACATTTTAGCAAAGTAATCTGATTCACTACAAATCTGCTCAGAACAAATCTCCCGATATATTCTAAGAAATTCAAACAGTGTCGATGATTCATTGTCAAGGATACAGTTACCACAGATATACAAGATGATAAAGTAGGTGCTAGCAAGGAATCCAATTGACTTGACTCCACCGTAAGCCTGAATGCCATCGTACATCACCTCGTTCCAGTCTTCACCAGTTAAGATCTACATCACACAGACACAAATGGAAGAAGGCAATATATTAAGGTATCTTATAATGTGGTCACCCCAAGTCCATCCTCTCCTATTGAGCCAATTTGCACGCTGAGGAACACCAAAACAACTGCACATATGACATCATATTTTATCAGACTTTTCCTATATCTCTTTTAACGTGTCTTATTTGGAGCTCAGTAGCTTAAAAATTATCCTTTATACTTCCTGATCTCTCGTAAAAATGACACCTGGCTGGAATGTTCCCCAGGGAGTGGAGAATGTGCATACATTGTGAGCGGGTAAGCCTGAATCTGATGACCGGGTTAATAATATATCTGTAAAGGGCTTTGAGAGGGCCTGTGGTCTTGAAAAGCGCTATATAAGATGAACTATTATTATTATTATTATTTATATACTTCCATTTGAAGGCTCTAGATAACCACGTCTTGCCCTAAATTTATTAAGAGTATACTCAATGTACATGCCCTCTATTTGCAAGTGTAATACATTCTTTTCTGCTCTTTACAGGTTTGCAGACAAGTTAAATGAAAACTTGGGGCCCATTGAAGAAACCCTATGTCAAGAGTCAAAGTTTGCTGATTTCTTACTTGGAACACAGTGAAGAGCGACTGAAAGAAGGAATCAAAGTTGCTTCGAGGCTTGAGCTTGGTGCTGTCAAAGTTAAAATGGCCTCCAAAGACTTGCATTCCCAAGAGAGCAAAGATGAGGATGAAGAGAAAGAGAAGCAATAGCAAGCTGGCGATGGAGCGCATACTGTTCAGGAGGGATGCAACCAGGTTCCTCAGCGCTGTCCAGTATCTGTGGGTTCAAAGGAGAGTCAATCTCAGTGAATAAAACAATAACTTTGGGGCCAAAATGAGAACATGCATGAAATCAATAAAACATTTGAAATAAAAAATATAGCTGCCGTAGTCCATTATAGTTTTATTTTAATTTTGTTCATCTATATGCCTCAAATGAAAGTGAACATATTATATCAATATACCCTACACAATTAGTGATGATAAAAATATGGATGAAAACGAAGAAGTACATGAAATTTGATTTAATTTTTTTTAACAAGCGTCTATATATAGTTAATCTATTTTTTTTATATATGTGTGTCACATGATTATGCAAATTAACAGCCATATCAAATAAAAGTACTTTACAATATACAAATTTACAGGGACTATACTACAACAGAATGTGTCTTCACAGTGAAAGGTGTCTATTCTTGAAATGGAAGAGATGAATAACTTAGAACTTTTCAAACAATAAGAAATAACACAACATAGAAAATAATTTTAAATACCATCGAGGCACCAACATAAAGGTCAAGATCCTCGACCTAATGTATCTATTAATAAATTGAAGAAATTCCCATCCTACTTGTCTGCTTAGAGCCATAAGGGCATTAATCCATGTAGATTTATATACAATTAGCAATCTTTGGGCTCTCGAAAGACAATGAGTTTGATTTATTGACTAATTACCTGGTTGCTTTAAAGACCCTGAGTAGTCTGACGCAGCGTAAGACGCTGATACCAATGGGAGGGATGATATGGGCATAGATGAAGACGACTTCTATGATACTGCTACACACCACAAAACAATCAAAACGGTTGAAGAGCGACACAAAGTAGCCCTGAAGACCCAGGCTGTACATCTTGATTATCATCTCAATCGTGAAGATGACCACAAAGCACAAGTTGCCAAAGTCTGGGAGAAGAAAACAAACAATCATCTCAGCATGAAAACACTATTTAATGCTCACAAGTTCTATCTTCCAAAGAATAGTAAAGCTATAGACCTAGTGGCGGATTTAGGTCCCCTTGCAGTAAAAAAAAGGGGGGGGGACACAAGTAAGTAAGTTTTATAAAAAGTAATTAAAAAAACTGACAAGCAACAAAATTGATTTCTTCCAGGTGTCTTTTTTGTGTCCTCAATGTCCTCACTTACCAATCCTTTCCACATTAAGTAGTTTTTATTTTGCTACAGCAGTTTTAATACCATGTCATGTGTGAACAACCCTTTGGTCTTTAAAGAGAAGGTTGAGTTCTGGGAAGAGGTGAAAAATTATTTGTGAGCGTTATCATTCTTATTATGCAAGTGTGGAAGAACGTCAGATAACACATGTTCTTTGAAAAGCATGGCTCTTCAAATGCCTTCATATTCTAAATATGTCATGTAACATCGTAAAAATCCAGGTAGGATTTTTACACCACATGTTTGTGTAGTCCCATATACATCTTTCTGTGTACAGTGTTTGTAACTTTACCAAGACTTGGCCAAATTTCTTATCATTTTGATGATTCCAGAACCTTGCAAATACACACAAATTCTTATATGCTAGATGATCAACCTTTTCTGGTCGATTCCATGCTGTTTCTTTCACAATGCAATCGCATGACCAGAACTCAACTTCATCTTTAATATTGTAATCAATTATTTCCCCTAAAATTCTTCAATAATACTTTCAAGCTATGATTGACAATAAGTCGAGTCTGTATTACTGTTATGCTACATATTCCCATACGGACGGGGAAATGCATAAGATATTGTATTATTCATGTCTATTTCTTTCAATATCTTCTGTTTTTCTGAGTGACAGACGCTTCCTGTCTGTGCATCCCAAAGCCTTTGGGGTATGAAACCAAATATTACATGTCTATCAATCTCATGTTTCAATTCATGAAAAATGAGTAATAAATATGTCCAGCGCACACAAGTAACTAGGCCACGAAAATGGATCATCATCATTGGAATCTTAAAGTCCCCCTACCTCTTTTCAAAGTTCAACATTAAAAAACACGATTTGCACATTAAAATGTTCAAATTCTGTTTAAATTAACTTGTGCCCAGAAGGATAAGTGATGCATGAAACATTATAAATCATTGCAGCTCATTCATATGTCTTTTCTATTTCTCTTTTCTTTTGACAAGCAGTTCCTCTCATCATCTTCAAGCCTTAGGGGTTCAAAACCAAATATTTCTTGTGGACAGCTAGAAATGAAATTGCAGATTCTGGTTCAGAAGGCTGCAGCGTTTCGATCTCTAAACATCCCCCAAAAAATGAAATCAAGTAACTTGAAATTAGATCATCATTTACAGCGTATTTCATCCAGCTATCAAAAATACAGCAATGTTGGAAAAGCTATTATTCACTCCTTGCACAAAGATTTTGAGAGCTTAGTTGTAAGCTTTCATATACTTCCTTCAGGTTACAACTTAATTCAATATAAATCACTGCTTCAGTTTTGTTTGGTAAGTTTGGTATTAGTAAAGAAGCACCAATATAAGGCAAACAAAATACTGCAAGAGACCTTTGAATTTCATCTTAATTCTTAATAAAGCGATGAATAAGATATAATGTAACTATGGATAACAGATAATTGTTCCTGCCTCAGCAAATTAACAGTGGAAAGCATTGGGGTTGTCAAGAGGAACATTTTTCAGAGATTCTTGCAAAATAATCAAATATTTGGGGTAACTGGTGAAACAATTTAACCATCATCTACGGTTCATTTTAGGAGCAAACCTTGAAAATCTGTGAGCCACGCAGGCTGGCTATAGTGCTCCGAGGCTAGGATCACTGTGTTGAAGAAGACCATGATGATGACGATCCAATAGAATGCTTGCGATTTCACTGCCTGCCGACATAACCTACGACACCTTCTATTCCATCGTCTGAGTTGACGCCTAGTAAAAGGAAAGAAAAGGGTGGATAATTTGTATTTTAATAAAAGGTAACCAATTCCAGGTAGAAGGGACTTTAGACATCACAGACTAAAAGCAGCATTTCAATAGGGCACATGGTTTTTCTAAAAGAATATATTCACTTTTTAATGAGTGTCAAATTTTCAAATTTTGCTTATATCTCAGAGTTTCTGGGAAATTGTTAAATCAGAGAAGTGGATGAGCTAATAATACATAAAAAAACAGGATATAATACTTTCTTTCTATCTATCTGTCTATTCATCTACCCATAACTCAAGCAATCAATCAGTCAATTTCAAAAGATCTACCTTTCTTTCTGCATCCATTGTTGCTGAGGTATTTCACTGCTTCCCATTTCTTCTGATTTATCATCTGAATCAGACTCGCTAATAGGTTTGGGAACTGCAAGCAAAGAAATATTGGATATTATAATGATAAAATCCTGAAGTATCATCTTTTATGTTGACCTACCAACAACATTGACCAGTACTCTCTATCAACTTTATTTTACACATTCATTATTAATGCTATACATAATTATATCAAACAGGTTTTCATCTGTCTTTATCAAATTGAAAAGTTGTATAAGTTTTAAGAACTCAATATAATACAAAATTTCCAAAATGAGATATTAAAGTGTATCAACTCCTTCAAATGATTTCTCCAAATAAATGATATCCCCCCTCTTCTCTCTCTCCATAAAAGAGAAATAACAAAAAACAGAGTCATGCTTTAGAATGATTTTATGAACTTAAACTTAAAAAAAATAATAATAGACCTGACTTTAAAGAAAACATCAAACGAGTACTCAAGTTTGTTTTAAAACAATTGAACATTAGTAGCAAAATTAGTGAATTGCAGGCAATTATTATTGCCACTTTGTAAGAGTACGTATAAAATTAGTTTGAGAGAAATATATAGATAGATATATATACTATTCTTAAAATTATACATATACTTTACAATTTGGTTAAACACTGTGAAAACATTACTGTACCTCAAAAGAGAGGTAGAGAGATACATATAAATGTTTACATTCAAATCCAACTTTCCAATTTAAAAATATAATAATTACTTCTGTCCTTTCAAGCATTTTCTTTGAAAATCCGTACAACTCTTCATCTTTTTTCATGATGTTCTTTCATTTCCCATACCATGACTTACAATCCAACAATGCATACATCTACTCATTCACAGCAGCACATTTACAAAACAGAAAGCATTTTGACATAACACAATAAGCAGCAAATTTATGCAACATCGTACATTCTCCTCAGTTCAAGGTTGAAATATCGAGCATGTGAATATGATGCATTGCTGATCTCATCTATCAATGGACACAAACATGTAGAATCTCATCTCACAAAACTGACAGAAAACAAGAACAAAGAAAGCGCAATCAAAATATTGCTTTTACCTGAGTAAGTTCACACCACAACATTACAAAATTAACATTTCATTTAACAGACTTGACAAGCAAAAGTGCATGATGATAAACGATGGTAAGAAACAACAATTGCATGAAAAATGAAGGAAATATTTCCAGCACGGTAAGCTTGCATTCGTAGAAACATAATGACATTTGAAAAAGCACTTTAAGAAACTATAACATAGAAGACAGTTTCCTGAAGCAACTTGAGGTTACATAATGTTATTATCTATACATAGTGCAGCAGTGTAAATATATGAATGCATTGTCTAAGAAAGAAAGAAAACTTCTGTGAACAATACAAACCCTTTTTTTCAAACTTCAGTCTTTGCAATATAATCATGTCATCACTTGAATACTAAGACTGAGATAAACTGAACCTATCAGACTTCCATTAATGATGTAGGCTCTTAACTGCATAAACACAGAGGTTTAAAATATCTAATATTATTCTACTGATAACCTTCCCTTTGACAAAATTCAATTATAACCTGCTAAAGTGGACCATTTCATTTCTAACAAACTGGCATTTCGAAAGATTTAAACTATAAAATATCTTAGGCAAGATATTGAGCAGGTTAAAAGACACCTATACCAAACTGCATTATACAGCCAAAACTCACTTTAGATAATTCCCAATATGTGGATAACAAACAAACTGCTTATTGCATGATTTAATGTAATATACAATGTAATATACAATGTAATATACAATGTAATATACAATGTAATATACAATGTAATACACAATGTAATATACAATGTAATATCCTCAGCCCCCATGTATAGGAAACTGAATTTTGCCGCTATATAAATTCAAGATTAGACTCGCTTCCTCCGCAGTTAAGTCATCCAGTTCATATATAAGAAAGTGTTCATCCAATCAAGGCTAGACTGTACACCTACTAATCAGAGACCTGGATGCATGTGATCATCAAACCTTTGCATTGTCAGAAGATCCTTGAATTCATATTATGAAGGACTTACTCTGGCTAGCAGAGCCCCAGACTTATGACCTGTTCAGACCACGGTAAATTCACGCGAGAATAGTATAAAGAACATCTTATAAAGAAATTTGTGTATAAAGAAAATTGTAAGAAGAGCATCCTATCAAGTACATTGGAGAAAGAATCAATGTATGGACTCAATAACAACATCCTACAAAGAAAAGTTGTTTTAAAAGAAACTAGTTTTGAAGAGGTCAGTTGACTAGACAGCTAGCCAATAATCATTGTACGGTCACAATGAGCCCCGCCCAGATACCGGTATATGACTTTTGTATGACACAGCGTTCAGGTAAGAATATAACTCAGATTCTTTATCAAGTTCTTGTTCAAAACAATGCTCAAATATGCATTTTGCCATATGCCATATTTTATACGACCTTCAAGCTAGAAAAAATTAATGATTTAAAGGATAGCTATACTTTTTTCATGTAATGAGTCGATGAATGTTGGAGGTCTGAACGGGGTTTTAGCTTCCCAGACCTTCTCTTATCCATGCCTGGGAACTAGAGATGTCATCACACCAATTAACCTTTCCAACTGGAGTGCAACATCATTCTAGAGGGAGAAAATTGGCTCAAATTCTTTGTGACAGATAGCTTAAGCTTGCCTCACGTCTTGGGTGATGTATGAATAGATGACTCCATTTAATATGTTCCCCCTTTCGATTAGAGCACTTCATCCGCGGAGAGCAAGAAAGGCGTCGACTCTTCTTACTCCTATGGGTCGTTAACGCCCTTCTGGCTCTCGGCAGATAATCTAATCTCTTATCAAGTTGCTATCAGAGTTGTGAGACAATGGTCTTGAGATACCTATCCCTGATTGATGCAGTCAGGTATTGTTCTCTAGAGGGAGGGATGGGAAGTCATGGGCAAAGAATCGAGGGATAGTTATCGTTGGGTGATGCCGCAGATTACTCCTGTATCCGATGTAAATGTCAAGATTTACATGTCTGCACACAAATGGTGAAAAAGGAGAGAAGACTAGATTGTAGAAACTGCTGTATGCTATCAAATAAAATCTGTTTTTAGATCACTCATTGGGATTTGTGGTTATACTACGCCGTGTTCATGCTTTACACACTGCTATTATACAACTCAAAAAACCAAATAGTAACCAATCTTAGTATTAAACCAAATTCTAAACTTGGCCTCCTCTTCCTCTCATAGAATAATTTCAAATGAACAATCAATATAGTGATCTATATTAATCAATTTAATGACAGAAATACAAACACATATTGATGCAATACAAAAGGCAAAATGCAAAATGCAAAAAAAAAAAATGTAACATTCATGCTGAAGTACAAGAGAAGGCACATGGCTAGAATCTAAATATACTGAAGAAGCAGGGTTTATGAAAACAATTTTTAAGAACTACAAGGGATAAACACAACGATGATACACAGTTCAGACTGTTGTAAAGACAGTTCACACAACATAACTGTCTCATCAATGATATCACAAAGGCAGCATGCAAGACCGTTAAACATCAATACTTTTTGTAGTTGCACTATTGTTTTTTTTTGTTTTCATTCTTTCATTTTATTTTCAAAAGCTGAAATTTGTGGAAAAAAGCATTCACATTCACTATTATTGGAGGGAAATGTTAAGGATAACATTTGTCAATGAATGTTGGAAATGTTGGAAAGGGCAACATGAAGTTAACAACCTCCAACATTTACAATCGTATGTATCATCTGGATCAACAAATAAATATAACTAAAAAGCAAAATATTTAAAGCAAGAAACAAAATTGGCTTGAACACTATGGAGTTCAAAATAGTTTTTAGTGAAGCAATTTAGACTTTAATAGACCCATTGTGTATCACAGATGGCAAGTCTACCCCACAAAATAAATGATCTACTTTTCAATTTGTACTTGAATACAATTTCCTTCTTAACATCATGTATACACTGTAAAAGGAATTACAAATTTTAACAATGAAACAATGAATAAAATCCCTGACTTTCATTCTTGAAAGACAATTTTTTGCAAACTTCATGACACAGAAAAGGTTACAAGACATGTTTCACACCAAAGGAGCACATATAAACATAAATATGTTACATTATTATGTCTTTAACATGCACGCAATACTACAATTACAATACCTTTGGTGTTTAAGGTACCAAGTCTCTTCCAGAGAACTGTGTGTCAAAGGTTAAAGGTCATCGGGGTGGAAGGTTAATGCAGCAAGGGTATAAATCGGGATAATTAAGTAGGGAGTATAGGGTTAATGCATGGTATTGTTTAATAATGCAATCCAATATCTGTTAATCTTAATCAAAAATGCATATTAAATAGAGGTTATGGTTATTCCGGTTAATAAGATTGAGTACAGCAAAATTATTCACAAATTATATGTGAGGAATGACTTGATCTAGAATTGTGTTTATGAATTTGTTATTTTACCGATCACATATTTTCATACACTATTGTGAAGTATATACTACTAGTGTGTTAATACTCGGTTGTTAGTTATGATGTCAATGTATTCACCCAATTGTTTCTGTTTGCTTTTACTCTTTTTGGAAAACAGCTTGCCTGTAGGAAAAAAGATTGTATCAAAATAGACTAAATTTATGATATATCATGCTAAATATCACTTTTACTAGATATTGTCATTATTCAAAACAATTTAGGTATTTGACACTCCCATGTGTATTATTATATTACACCTTATACCTTAACAATTTTGCATGCAAGGTTTGTTGGTTCAAATGAGATCTTAATTTGCAAACAGGCTCATATTTTCAAAATAGAAGGACAGAATAATTTCAATAAAATATATGTGATTAAATAATAACTGAAAAATAATGTAAATTGATGCTAATGATGGGTCTAATGAATTGGGAATATGATATGTACTAAAACATATCTCCTAAGTAACTAACTACTGCATGTACATTAAAATATGTGCATAAAATAGAACATACTTTATCTGAATACACCTTATATTCATGTTCACAGACACAATTACATCTGGGCTGTCAAAAATGTATTTTGAAACTCAGAAATCATTATACGATCAACTTTTTAATTATTTGTGCTATACTGCTTGTGCTTGGTCATTCATGGAACATGATCCAGGCGAAAGGTTGGAGGTCAAATGTCACAAACCACAACCATTTTACGATAGGGGTCATTGTCACATTTTGTTCAGGAGGGAAACAAGTTCGAGGTAGGCAGATGCATTATGGGAATGTGATGTTCTCTCTTTCCGACGAAAACATGAAAGGGGGTGATTCTTAAGGAGCATCAATGAGAAACAATTTGACCTTTGAACAAACCTATAACCAGGTTACAGGAATAACAAAAATAGATGGAGGTACATAACTTGGTCATCATACACACATCTACACATCTAAAAATTTTCATCTGGGAAACTATTTCAGGAACATTTTTTTTCTGGACATAATGAAAAAGAAGACATCTGATGAACCGACTACAATTTACCAAATAACCAGCAATAGACATTTTTCTTTTCTTTTCAAATTGAGGGGACATCAAAAAGGGGCATTTGATTTTGACAATGATCAGGCCACATATGACATAGTCAGTTTGGAACACTAGTTGGGACAGGACACCACATATGTGTTCTCTGCAGGAACAATGGACATGAATTCAATATTTTGTGACAATCATGGACATCACACGATGCTCAAATGACAATGGGGGTCACATATTTTGGACAACTGCACTGAAAATATACTAATTCACTGTTTGATTTTAAATATCTCCTAATTCGTTTTAAACAGCACACAAAATTAACATATTTACTTGTTATCCTTTTTTAAATATAATTTAATATGAAAACAATCAGGTTCTCTTCAACTTCACAGCTTTATGATTAAAATTAGGCAATTTAAGATAACTTTATGCTGGACGGTTGAAGCTAATATTTCTCTTTTCTTCATGTTACAATGTGAAAATGTCATGAATTTCCATAAAATGTAAACTGCACCCAAATCAGAATTAATAAAAACATGATTAGTCTTTAATAATCCATATAAGGAAAACGAATGAAAGTAAAAATGTTCAAAAATCACTGCAAGAAAGGAATGAAATATCACACAACCTATTAAATGAATGTAATATCAAATGAAATCAAAGAAAATGGATTATTTGTTAAATGATACGAGTGGATGAGAGAGAAAAGTAATTATTGAGTTTTCACTTACCGTGTTTTGGCGGACCTGGGTTTTGCTCACTGTCATTATCAGGATCAATATCCTCTGTGAAGGAAAATATACCAACAATTTAACAAATATGTATGGTTAACATTTATGATTGAAGGATATGTCAGTTGCATCCCTTTAATTAAAAGGTTACCACATCTCTAAAAAATAATGTCTGCTTTGAGTGGGAATGGCCTTTAATCTGCAGAATCAATTTGAGTTAATGCCCTTCTGGCTCTCAGCAGAAGATAAGGCAGAACACATGTTGACTATATTTTGTTAAAAAGATTGTTTAATATTTTCTTATTGTATTTGCCAATAGCAATCATCTTTGCATAAGATCGCTTTAATCCCTAGTGAACAAAATACAAGGCAAGATCAAAGATGCACTAACCAACCTTCATCTCAACTGTACCCGCTAAATCTATCTATTCAACTGCAATAAGAAAGATTGTGCCGTCATCTTAACGGCATTTAAATACAGGGGATAATACCATTTCATAATTTTGCAATTTTGCCCTTCGCGCAATGCTCGGGATGAGATGCGTACAGTTCTGCACATTGGCAGTTGCCATGGAAACCATGCATTACCTGCTTGTGTGATCCAGTCTAAGTAGCCTCGGAGATCCTCCTCTATCTGTTGCTTCTCTCGTAGCTTCTGAAACGCTCCTCTTGCTTTGGCCTTTTCTCTCTCCTTGGAGAATTCCCTGGGGAGGATTGAAGCGAGGTAAGAATTACAAAGGATGCTAGGAAGCTAGGCTTATGGCCTTATCAAAGCAACCATTAAGGCAGAGCACTGTAATAACAGCCATGTAAGAGCATGGAATGAAAAGATGATATATTGATATTATCGGCTGCGAGAAGTGACGAGGCTAAATGCATTTCCGATGATCGAAACCTGTTGTCTTCTGCTTATAAATGAGCAGTATCAACAGGAGGGGTAAAAGTAGTGCAAGGTATGATATGATGAACTAGTCATTGCTCTAGAGAATGCTTTTTCTCTTTTGTATTTAGTGTTTATCCTTCTCAGGCATGACATTGTTTTTCCATGAAAATTATTTTTTGCTGAAAGAATCACTGATATAATTCCATTTTTATTTGCGCAATTTATTTTCAATACATCAGAGCCTGAACATTTCGCATTTGTGTACTTTTCCAGAATATATACATTTGAGTGTGTATTGATTTAGAACATTTTAAAGTAGCAACTATTCTGTATGATTTGTTTTTCACTCATGTACATGTATGTAGTGCCAAGAGATTGACAACTCATGGGTAACCAACAAGAAAGGGTGGTGCAACATTAAACTTGAATTTGTGTCTAAAATATGACACATATAATATATCCTAACAAGCAATCTAAGAAATCCATGAAGTAATATAAAAAGTGTTATTCATGGAATTTAGCCAAAGTGCTATATGTTTGCCATTTCACATTATACAATTTCAAAGGTACACATATGGGTATTTCCCTGATTTTCCTGAATATCCCTGTATTTCCCAGTATTTCCCAAGAAATTGCTTCCCCTTCTAACATTACTAAACGCAGCTGGCTAGACGGTTTAAGGTTTCCTGCTCACACGCCTCACATCCCGTGATGAGGACAAACATTAGATGGCAGGCGGGCAGTAGCATGATTTGCGCACCCATGACATTCATCCATGCGATTCCCAGAAATGCTCTATGATTCCAAAGTTCTCACACAAGTTTTTCCATCTGATTAAAACTGAATTCAAGCTCTCTAACTGGAATTTTTAAAATGTATATCTTTCACTCGTTTGAAAGAAAAGACCTAGGACTATGAGTCTCGCTTAATTGTAGTGAGGCAATATTCCATGGTATAAAAAATAGAAACGATCCAAAAGTTTACGAAAATTATCTGAAACTGTATGAAACCAAGCGAAATATGACTCCAATCATTGGAAAGAGGGTATATTCTTTCATCGATTTAACTGGCCAATATGTTAGAAATCTAGAAGGATTTTCCTGTTAAAGTTGAAAAACAACAGTTTGCCAAATTCTCCAAAATATTTTTGATGTTTTAGTTATTATAGTTATCTTGAAAGCTTTCACATGCAAAAATAAAAATAAAACAATGTTGATCACTTAATTTTGTACACAGATTAAATTGATCAGGGAGGGTTTAAGGCTTGTGCGAGCAAGGGATATTCATACAACAAACTATGTTTTATATAATGTATGACTGCTGCTGGGGAAATGCCCAGCTTTATACCTGAAGAGAAATCATTATTAAATCTCCTGGTTTACAGTTTGCACTGTGCTTCAGATCTACATGTACAACAAGGGCCTGGAAAGCCAAACATCGTAAGAGCTTGCAAGCTCACATATCAGCTAAGGTCTCTTTGCATTGCAAGGGATAGCACAATGTTTCCTGGCTACAGGCTAAATGTGTAACGTCAGACTGATGTAGAAATCATAGTAAGACAGGCCTCCGTCTATATACATACCAGCAGCAGGCTAGCTAAGAAATGATGATGTGAAATCCATACGGAGTGGTTGGATGTTTGTTAAGCATGTTCTCTTGAACATGAAGACATGAATGTTTTGACTTCATAAAAGATGGAAGATGCTTTAATCAAACAGGATTTACATTGTGATGAGATTAATAACTCATTGCCTCTAAGTATCCGAACAATTATCATGAATGAAATTTCTAGTAGAAGAGTTTGAGCTTGCATTATTTTGTCTGTATTGAGAAAGTGGCAATACATTACATCACCTGGTCATAGACCTACATATGCATATTCTGTTCTGGATGATTTTGTTTTTGTTTTAATTTCAATCATAACATTATATAAGTCAGTGAAATTCTTGGACATGATTAGCTTTCCGTGACAAAGAAAGATTTAGTATAATAGAATTGACTCGGGGCTTTAATAGCTGCCAAAACATACATGACACACATTCTATCATATAACAGAACATCTATAAGCAATATTGTGTATGTTACTATCTACATGATTACCTGATATATTAAGTGATGTTGGAAAGGTGAATCAATTAAAAAAGGCTTACCTAAATTCATTCTTAATATCAGACAAGATGGGCATATGTGTATCAGGTTTATAATCAGTCAAAGAGCATGCTACCTTCAGGATGTAATACATTGTGAAATATATTTGAATCACGGTTAATTGTATACTTTAAACAACAGTGATATGCTGCCTCAATCAAACTACATTCTAGGATAATATTTAAATCTCGAATAGAATATACTTATTTCAGAGGTATTAACAGTAGATAAGGTATATTAGTATCATACTTCCTCTTGTGTTTTTGCCCCATATGATTACCTCATTCAATTTCAGAGTACTTCAATAGTGATTGATCCTATCCATTATTGTTACTATATTCGCATCCCCAGTCGAATTAACATATGTATGCAAGTCAATAAATTGTGTACCGGTATTCAGGTCAAATATGATAATAATAACAATAATAATATTCCATTCTTGTGTAGCACAGATCATGGGCTTCCAAAAAGCTTTGGAAATGATTACCCTAGCTTAAGCTCCGGCAGCCATTATTAGCATATAGTGCATTTGAAGGACAAATCCTACCAGGTACCCATTTACCTCACCTGGGTGGAGTGTGGCAAATGTAGATTAACATCTTGCCAAGAGGATTTGAACCCAGTACCTTGTGATTCACAGTCCTCAGACTTTATCCACTGGACCACATCACTTCTATATGTCCATAAAGAATACCTCTTTCATCATGATTACATCACAAAGCATATTTCATTGTAATATGTCACTTTAAAACATCAAACACCTTATAAACTGGGTTCATATCTTGCTTAGATAAGCATATTATGCGCATGTCTCTGGCATAGAGAGTGAACATTCTACATAGTACACTGGCACCATGCTCAAAAAGATGATGATGATGTGAAATCCATTCGCATGTTCCCCACACGATTACCTGATTAATTAACTGAGTATTTTAATAGCGATGTGTTGCCCCCGTCGAACGGCATTAGTCTAGATTCAGATTTCATGCAGACAGGCGTACGTGTAATCCACTGCACGTTTCCTACATGACTCCATAATTAAGTACTAATATGTGCTTCGTTCACGGTGTGTTAGCCGCGATTCATGTTTATTGTCTGTACAGAGCCGGAGGGGCATTATCTTACATAGGGCTACTTTAACAAAGGGTTAACGCCCTTCTGGCTCCAAACAGACAAAATATTTTATGTAGATGGAACGTTATTTGCTGTAAACTAGAATACTTCTCTGTTAATAAGGAATACAGGTTAACACCCTTTTGGCTCTAAGCGAACAATGCAACTATGTTTTGTGAATTAATCTACAGAGAAAGGAACATCGGTACAGAAGTATGGAAATGTGGAGTCCTTGAATAAGCATTTAAATTTCATCTGTTTGAAGCCAGAAGAGCGTAAACTCTGTGTAGAATGATATTGGTTTGATAACGCCCTTCTAAGTCCGAACAGATGAATTATCCTCAGCTGAGAGCTACAAGGGTGTGAAGCCTGTGTTCTAATATATGTGTCAAGGACCTTCTTGCTCTCCAATGAAGAAACTCTTCCTGTCACACTTAACCTGATTGATCAAGTAGTTGTTTTTTTGGCACAACAAAAATAGGATACACAATTATATTTAACATAATGGGATACAGAAATCATCCATTGATCTTTGAAATATAGTCCATCGATCAGGGATTTTCTTTGACGGGGATGATCAAGATCAGTGGCAAAAGCTATCTAGCTTCTAAAAGACAAAGTTGAGGAATAGTCACGTGGTTGCATATAGATTACATAAGAGTAGTTGTGTATTTTAAGATTTTGGAATCATCAAAATGATAATGAATCAACTGTTTTCTTTACAAATCATACACATTATAAGGCACTACATGATATATATGGATATATGGTAATGAAAAAGTTTCGTATCTATTTTGGTCCACAGTTTTAATGTATTTCCTGTTATACTTAGAACATGATGGCATGCCAAGTGCAATCTTTTCCGAGTGACCTTGCTAATGTGATAATCTTCCGAAATAGAAATCAAGAGATACCCGACACACCTCATAAAATAATTTTCACCTTTACCAAATCACAACCTTCTCTTTATTAAATCACCAACTCTGTGAAAGTTCACCTCCAAGTAGGTGACGTGTCAGTGAATATGGAACACGGAATCAGTTTGATGATTTGGTTACCATCACAATTCATTGTTCCTGGTTTATTATGATTTGAAACTTTAATGCTGGCCCACAAAGCAACTCAACTTTTCACCTACAGGTGTATTGTTTCTTGCACTATAGAAAATTGGCCCCCACTAGCTTGCATTCTGATTGAACATTAAACTTTCATCACAAATTTGAATAAAGTAACCATCAATATGTTCCAATTTGTATTTATTTTAGGAAAAAGAGAAGAGAAAGGACGTGGCTGATAGAATTGTAACATCAAAATGAATATTGATGAAGGCTCCCTGACCTAAAATTCAGATTCAATTCCATATAGTCATTTGGATTTATCTGGAAGAATCAAAATTGCCATAAGTATGTCAGTACAAGTGGAATTATATACTGTGAAAAAAGATGAAATATTTATGGGCTAAGGTGGCATCGAGATGAAAAGTGAATGCACTGTAAAAATCACTGGCCGATGCAAGGTTTAATAAAAACCTGTCTAATCTTTGCTATCTACCTAGATATGTCTACAAAGGTTTGCTTTCAATCAATCATATTTGATTAGAAAAAAAGAGAATTTCTCTTTCAATTTAAGTCACTGATTAGACCAACTGACATATGCATACATCATGAAAGTGTGGGCATTCGTATACAAAACTATTGGAAAGTTGGAAATATCCTGGATTTTGCACCTGTTCTTTGTGAATTATCAATCCCTTTATCAAGCATATAAGGATTCTCACAGAAATAATAATATAAGTTTGGTTTAGATGTGAGTTGACTTGAGTGGATGAACTGGTTGATGTTTATTTTAAGCAATTTGTTCTTCCCCACCCACTATCAGGGTAGGCGTCTAAAGGTAGTAAAGAAAAAATAGCAAAATAGAGTGTTTTCATGGAATAAAATTAAACCCCTCACCTATGGATTATGGTATGGCATCAACTACAAAGTATATCTAGAATAATCAGGATACACGAAAATAAATTAAAGCAGTATTCTGATGATCTGTCGATTCAAAATCTATGTGTAGGTGTATTCAACAAATTTTAATTTGATTTTAGTAATCTCTTCGACCTTTGGCAACTTTGAATTTTTTTTGGTTAAAAACTTGAAAAGTATAAATGTAACTTTCATACAAAGAAGCATGCAATTGTGTCACATGACCCTCTAATTTTAATTAAAAATTTCTATACAAGTAGGCCTACTGTACAAGGCACAAAGATAATTAATGAGAACAAGACTATTTCCAACAGAAAATCTTAGAATATCTAGATCATGACCCTTCATGTGGCATTTACCAGGAAACAAATGTTGAAATTGCAGTACGTTAAACTCTAAATAGTTATAAACCACCAGATACATCTCTATTCTAGTTAGCTCCTTTTTCAAATGACCAGCAACTTCAGAATCTTCTCATACTGCATTTGATACACGACAACCGTTGACCATGGATGACTCCTGGATTCCAATTTCCAAAAAGTCAAACAAACATAACGAAAGTTATCAAGCAAAGAGAGAAGGTCTACTACTCCTAAAATATTGGGGGTGTAAACATACGCCCCAAATCCCTGACTAGCAACAAAAGAAGAGGAGTTTGGTCCCCCTCTGACCCCTTCCTCTTCTAGATCTACCCCTATTGACACAATAGTATGCTAGGACAAGCAATGGATAAAATTAGAAGATTGATTATTGTTTAAAAATAGCTGCTTTGAAAGCACCATGCCATTGAAATAACATGTGATCTAACCTTAAAAGAAACATGACCTTAAAATACCATGACCTTTCCTACCTTCACAAAAACATAACATGAGGTGTGTTGAAATCCAGAATGGTGTATAAGGTTTGTGAGAACTACATGGGATAATGCCCTTCTACCTTTCAACAGACGATATATAGTAGCATCACTCTAAATCAACTTCCATTGTTGTTAACTATGAATATATGTTATGTTTCTGATCTGTGCTTGCTTTAAATTCTTTGATCAATTACCACTTCCCTTTTGATTTTAAGTTCATCATAATTTGCCATTTAAGTTATAATTCCCCTACCTAGTTTTGATGTTTTGGGCAATATTGTACCCATACACTGACATAAATTTATTGCGTAAATTATTCTACCGTTATCTGATTGTTATGTATTGCTTTGTACTTTTAATCTGTATTTGAAATCCAAACTTTCTTGGTTGTGACAAATAAATAAATAACCATATAAATAAAGCTATTGCAGCTTTGAGAACACTTCCTGAGTATCACACAGGTCCTAAAAGATGTCTCACAATATAAGTACTCATAGTCAAAGGCTCATGAAATTTGATAGGTAACACAATCCATGCTAGTGACAAACAATTATAGAAGTTTAGAAATATTTTCTTAAGTTCGATGTCAGCTATTGTGGTTGTTTGTTTTACTGGGCACTGTTTTTTTATCTTTCTTCTTGAGCACAAGAGATGCATGGTGTTGAAATGCATCCAGGATGAGAAAAGGAACCACAGAAAATATAATTTTTCATGCATCTTATTGATCAAATTCTTCTCATCTACAACAATTAAGTAATCTGATATGTGAATTCCAAAGTGGATGTGATTTAAAATGAAACTGATAGCATTGGTAGTAATAGGCCCGTCTTCATCAGCTCAAGTTTGCAGAATAACCTGCTATTTTAACTATCCCGATCACAAATTATCCAGCTGATTTGCATCTTCATCAGTCCGCAATTGCAATCAGCGGGATATTTGGTAAAGAAAATATGGTGAGAAATATTGGTCTTGTTTCTAAAATATCCCGCTATTTGGGAAACAGCCAGCTAATTTGCGCCCGTCCTAGCTAGTTTGTGATGAGCATATTGGTCTGGTGAAGATGCAATTACAAGCTTTAGGATAATATCCCAAGTCTGAAAAAAGCGAATTATTTGGCACTCTCGAGCTGAATGAAGACAGGTCTAATGAGACTTCTTTGGGCAGATGTGGTTTCAATTTTGGTTCAAATGATAAATAGCATTTTTTGTATCATCAATAAGAATAAAAAGCAAACATAAGTTGAAAAATATCTGTGTCACTGGAAGTCTGGATCTAAAATATCTTAAGTGCATTTTATTTTCCTTTAACTTGTATTCACAAAAGTTTACGCATGTTCTCACAGATGGTTTTGTATTATGATGCTGTATATCCTTTAGGGAGATTAGGATTAAACTGTGCTTTCTTACCAATTAAGCATTTTTATAGTACAGTACACAGCCTTGAACACAACATATTGATACAGTAGCAGATCCAGGGGACATAGGATGCATGTGATTCCCCCCCCCCAATCAAACCAAACTTTGCTATTACTTAATACTCCCTTGAATACTAAATCTGAGGTAACTTGGGCTGGGAACTATGTGAAATATGTGTTACACCTTAATCAAATCATCTCAACAGATTAACAAATGCCATTTGTTTGGAAAGACAGGGGCTTTAGCAGAGCAATAACTCCCTTGTAGCTCCAAACAGATGATACATATATGTGTGTCCATGTCTTTTGCTTGTTTGGACCCCGGCCTCCCCCCCCCCCCCCCCCCACTCAGTGTTATTAAGGGTACGCGTATGCTTGTTCCCTCTTTTTGAAAGCACCCCTATCTAAGGATTGCCAACATTTCCGAAACTCCCTTTCGCGGGCTATTCGCTGGCTTTTCCTGCCTTGGAGACCCCCCCTAAATACGGAAAAATGCTCAATGTACCCCCCTAAATTCGGAATAATTTCTCAGGAGTCCAAAGAGATGAGAGAAAAAAAGAAAAAATACCCCCTTTTTAAAGAAATCTCCACGTGAAAGTCAAATACACCCCCTATTTTTACAATTCTCGGGCCGGACTTTGTCGCACGAAAAGTATCCCTTTACCGGACATTTTGGTAACATGCATGCGGTCATTCCGACCATGGAGTGGGGGGGCCGGGGTTTGGACAAACAAACATTTGAGCCCCTCCTCTACAAAAAGTCCTGGATCCACCACTGTAACATTTCAATAAGATATATTGTTTGAAACAGATAAATGGCTCCATACGAGTGCTGTGGATCATCATCATCATATAATACTGAGTTATGAATGATCTGTTTGAAACCATAAAGGTGCCACCTCACATATACTTTAACTGAGAGGTTAAACAAACGCCCTTCTGGCTCCAACCAGATGAATTATAAAAAAACTTGAAAGTGACTTACCCACTTAGGACACCAAGAACCAGGTTGAGGACAAAGAATGAACCAATGATGATGAGACTCACAAAGTAGAGGAACGGCCACCAGGGACCAGCACCGTCATTGATCTGAAATCACAAGATCAAACATCCATTTTAGAAATGAAACAAAGAATTAAAACGTTATTTAAAATTTGTATGTAATTTGTTCATTTGTGCAATAAATAGTATGTATGTAAGAGAGAGAGAGGGACAGAGATTTGATTTGTTTTAATTAGATGTTATTTTTTTTCCATGTATACAATATACATCATCTTTAATTTTCAACATGGTCACATAAAATCATACATAGAAAAAAGGGGTCATCATATGAACGGACATCCTTTTCATAAGTAAAATATGCTCATACAATACATATATATATATACATAATATGTGAAAAATGAATGATGGAACCGCGATTGGCCAACAACAAATGAAAGAGAAAGAGAGAGAGAGAGAGAGAGAGAGAGAGAGAGAGTAAGAAAGGGAAAGGGAAAGGGAAGAGTTGCATTCATATAGTGTCAAGTGAAAAATTTAAAGTCTGTGGATATCAAACACCTTAATAACATAAAAGAGAGAAAAACAGAGAGAGAGAGAAACAGAAATAGAAATGGACAGATAGAGAAGGAGGGAAGGGTTTCAACATTCAAGGGAAGAGCATAAAACCAATTTGAAAACTTTAAGCATTATACCTTTTGAAATTGATATCCTTTAGCCCATATATGGTATAATAATAATAATAATCTGTTTTTTATATAGTGTTCAAAATGTGCAAAAATATTGACGAACATATATAAGCATAACTAAGTAGGACAGCAAAAGTGGATTAAAAAAACTAATTGTATCACAAATCCATCAAATTTTGAAAAACATTATGATAAAATGACTGCAACATAAAAACTGTCCTTTCATGTTTAAGTTTTTAAAATATTTTTTTAAATGATAAACTATCCCATAGCAGAATTGAATGAAGCTCAAAGAGAGGAATGGTAAAGGAGGTTTCAATGTCTGGGCTGTTTACAATTTGTAGGCGATAAAATATTCCTACAAATCATTCCTTTCCGATAAACACCCCTTCTCCTCTGACTCTGGCAACACTTGTAAGTTAATCTTGGTTATCACCCAAGGAAAGGCTGAGTGCTTCTCCGTCTACATCTTCTCTTTATCTCCCTCTGTCTACCATCTTTCCTTGGAAAGAAAAAAAATCAATGAAAAGGCCGTCTGATAGGGGCACAACATTCTCTCCGGCGGCGTAGCATCGGCAAACACAGCCCAAGATCAGGGCAAACACTAATCCTGATGATTAAATCCTCATCATCAAATAATTTCCTTTCCTTACAGACATGGAGCTTTAGAAACCGCCTTGAGGGGAGGGGGGGGGGGGGGGGTTAGGGTGTGTAATGCGCTACCTAGGCAAAGGTCACGCGAGAGGAGGTATTCATTACAATGTTAACAGCAAGACCGGCTATCCATTGCAAGATGGTGCATGGCCTCAATGTAAAGCTATGTAATTCATCTTGTTCACTGGCAACACACATGGGAATATCATCAGAGCACTCAAACACAGAGATATATGTTCCGCCTGATTGATTCTCAGGAATAAAACATGACAGTGGTATACTGATATGCATCTCTGATTTTATAGCATTACACTTGGAAGAAACCATTCTGCACTACTGCTGATACATGTCCAACTAACTTAAGCTTAAAACCCAAAACAATGTGTTTTATGTCAGATAAAAGTATGTAAACATGAGTTTCGTCAAAAAATATACTCTTTAGTATTGAATTATAATGTTAAGAAATAGTATAGAGAAGAAATAATATACAAAAGTGATAACCCATCACTATCATCAATTCAGAAAATGTATGGAATGAAAATTCAATGTATTTTGTTGTATAATAAAGACTTTAAAGTGCAAAAATGGTTAGAATACATAGTTCTAAAAATATACACACACTGTCTGTGCAACCCTTCACACCCTTTTACCGGTTAAACAGCTCTTTTAAAATTATTTTCTTGCTACCTATTTTGAATTGATTAAATGAATACCATTCTAATTTCCATCCTTAACATGGCTTACTTATCTTTAACCCATTAACTACTGAGTTCTCTCATTCCCATAGGCTCAACACAGGGTTCGACCTCTTTCAGTAGGCAATGAGTCAATAGTGGATGAAATGGAAATCAAATTCAAGTTAAAGTTAATTTTATTCAAGTTTGTTTTCATCCTTAGTTCGGCTTACTGCTCTCAAAGAGCCATATACATTTAAAAGTGAACTTCTGATTACTAAAACTAATTGAACAACTTTTTCTCTTTTTATTCCTTTGTTCCACTTCTGACATGATCTAAATTTCCTCGGAGTAGGTTCTATCCAAGATGGGATTTCAGTCAATTAAGGCCAGGTAATACAGGCCAGGTCTCAATTCACAAAGGCACATGTTTCTCTCTGTAAGATATCTAGATGAAAACCCCAAAGTAGTTAAAAGTTATGACACAGAGCATCCATCATTGATGTCACACACGTAAGACCCCCTCCCTCTAGAATTGATCCTTTTCACACATGCAGCTGATGGATTAATAACCAAAAAGTTGAAAGACCTTCCAATTTCCCAAATGCCTGAAATAGATTAATGGGAATTTATGATGAAATGCATCTGTTCATTCATTTATGTGCACTTGATCTTGTACTTGATTTTTTTGTGTAAAAATATTTGTGAGATTTTGATACTACTAGACAGACTTAACAGTCAATTTCTGCTACCCTTAATGAAAGATAACAATGCTGCATATAACTATTAATTAAAATCACATTGTTCACTTTTCAATCAAGCAAAATGGAGACAAAAATCTCTCATGACAAAGATATGATGAGTGACAAATTGATTCTTGTTACTATTAAAGCTGATCCTAATTGCAGCTGAACAAATACAAATATGACTGATCAAAAGCATATGACACATCAGAAAAACAAAGTGAATAAATGAAAGTCAAAAGATATAGGTGCCTTCCTGTTACACAGAGCAAACTGACAAGTTTGAAACCTGATAAAGGAGTAAGAAAATAACATAATACAGAATATGGAAAAAGGGGGTTATGACACATCAAAATAGAATTAGTGACCCCCTTTTTAGGTACGCATTCCTTTCAAAATACAAATTATTTCATAATGTGTATGATATTAGCGAATAATTGAATATATAATCCTGATGCCTGTAGCGCATTTAATCAGCCACAGTACACAAGGCTGTATTATACCACCAGTGACAGCAAACCTGTTCATTAGCATTATATACCTAGCCATATTACAAGAAATCTAGGCGATGCTGTTGTACTGTGCACGAGTTACACTGAATTATGCATCTAATTGGGGAAGCTCAGTTATATTAATGACTAAATTGGACAAACTAATAGCACTTTGCTTTTAGGGGAATTCTCACCGGCACCCAGAGCCGTCCTCTCGCATGCATCTCTCCCCCGTCATAAAAGATGCATTATATACATATATACTTGATAAATCATACTAAAGACGAGGACCGAGGGACAAGAACATTGGAAAAGGTCAGAATACTACACCTGGGATCTGTTGTATAAAGGGGGTAATATGATACATCATTTGAAAGAACGTTAGCATTCAGCTATAGTGAAGGTCAATTAGGCCCTGTTCTAACATGCTCATACAGAGATGGGTGTTGATTGATGAACCACTTACTGATGTTGTATCACCATGTGGATTAATACGACATGGGAAACAAAACTTGCGACCTCTTGCATAAAAAAAAGGTTGCATCATACTCCATAAGACCAAAAGAAAAAACACTTTCAATTGAACAGAATCATTTATTTGGACTTGCATCAGGATTTCTGATGTTGGGGTTGAATGTAACTCATTATGTAGTTGGCATCTGACAAGTGAAAACAATATGATGACCAAGGTAGAGTATCCAAGTAATTAGCAGATCCAGAGTGGAACCCCCCCCCCCCCCCCCACAATCCAAAACTAGCATCTCTTAATTACACATCAAGTATTATGCCCCCCTCCCACATGCAATTGAACCCTTTTTTTCCTTTTTTTTCCTGAGAATATTCATACTTGTTCAAGACAGACAACCGACAGACATACAAATGATTATGACGGTTGTTAGATAAAGAAGGGTTTTGTCATGTATCAAGACAGACACAACCCCCCCCCCCCCCCCCCCCCCCCCATCCACCTCCACCCATTCCTCTCCGGCAGAGACAATCCTGGATCATCCACTGACTTATAACTGGGCATGACTTGGTTGGGGGATCTGCATGCACATGTCTGAATTTAACCTAAAAGCACCTACAACGCTCGATCAGCTCAACACTGTCTATGGCACAAACCAGCGGCAATAACAGCACAATAGAAGGCCAGTGATACACAAGTCAATAATAGAATGTCATCTTGTCTAATCAGCTATCGAATGGAACACTAGTCATCCTGTAACCTGAAACTAGAACATGAAAGTTGAGAGGTAGGGTGGCCGGGGTAATGTGCCCTTTGCCCAACATTAAAAGGTGATGATGAGAGAACAACCTGGATAGAATGAGGGTGATTCTTTATGGTCAGGACTAGACACTCATGCTATTATGATACCATCAAGAACAGAACTGATGCAGCATATACCAGTAGCCAAAGATATTTTTTAACCAAACTTTCTAGTAATAAACACTTTAAATTTGACTGCATAACAAATGCTCTGGCAACAAGTGCTCCGGCAACAAGTGCTCCATGGAGAATATCCTACTGTAGCCAACTTCTCAAATCCAACCCTGACCAAACACTCTACCTATAAACCCCAATCCTTGTCCTAATCCTAACCTAAAACCTTACTGCTACACTGTCCTAAAATCCTGTAAATTTATCAAGCTTTCATTCGGATACCGCTTAATCATTAATGCTGTCATTGCATTTTCATTTTCATTCCAAAAATGGCTTTTCCTTGTAATCTCTGGCTCGGGCTTAAAATAAACCTTCTTCTGAAACCCAAGCCATGTTTTCCCCAAGGGACTTTACTTCAGACAGTACTTATAAAAAGAACACATCTGGTACAGATGCAC